TTGTCAAAAGGAGGAAACAACATCCCATAGGCGATTACCAGTGCTTACAGGGTAAAACTGCGAAGGATTGTCTGCTGTTACAAAACAATTAATCAAGTTCCTTCCCTCTGGACTTTGGTTTTTATAGCAATGTTATCCACTATGTGCACCATGAAGGGGTAAAGACATTAATGAAAAAAAAAAGGTCACAATCTTCATCAACAAATATTTCATTCAAACAATAATAGAATATTGAGTGTAATTAAAGAAGATCCAGTGAGTGTCCCGTACAATACTGATTAAAGAAATGAAAAGGCCATTAATGGTTTCTACATGCTAATGTTAGCCTTGGGTTCTCCAAAACATAAGCCTCTCTAACACAAAGCCTATCAGTCTGTTTTAAAGAATTGCGTAACAGTCAAGATCCTCACCTGATCTTACTAATGTTAGCACATGTTAGCTAATGTTATCAAGCGTGTGAAAGGATGTTAACTGGCAACAGATGACTAAATGCAGAGCAGAGCACTTGCATGTTCACACTACATTTCCAAAGTTGTACGTTTTTTTTTTTTGTACACGCACACATACAACAGTGGGAATTAAGTACGTAAGCCACACCATTTATTGCTGATCTTAAAAATCCTCACCATTTGAGTGAATGCATTCCCATAACATAAACTCTAAAGGGCTAGTTCACCCAAAAACAAGAATTTACTCGCTCGAGTGCTTCTAAACGTTTATGAGTTTCTCTCGTTTGTTGAACATTAAAGACATTCTGAAGAATGCTGAAAGAAAAGCTGCCACATTCGTAGTAGGTACAACAAATACTGTGGCTTCTTTTCTTAGCTTTCCTCCTTTGTGGAGGATAAGTAAATGAAAGAATTTGTCATTTTCGGAGAACTATCTTTTTAGCGATAATAAGTTGCGAAGGATTAGAAACAGATTCTATGGCATTATGTACTCAGCATTATTACAAACTTAATAGTAATAGCAAAAGTTTGAGTGCTCTTTAAAAATGTCTGCCATCATTTACTCAACATCAAGTCATCTCTTTGAAGTTTTTAGTCTTCATTGCCATCCACAATGCATATACATTTTTTTTTACTACAGAAGTCAAACCAGACCACTCCAATGTGTAGAATGACTTGAGGGTGAATAAATGATAGCAGAATTTTAAATTAGCAGGTGATATAACCCTTAAATGTTTAGTGAACTAACCTGTAAATTCGAGATATGAAGACAATTAAATCATCACAGCCTAATTTCATACTCGTTTCTAACGAATGCAAGCTTTAAAAACATGTAGTCTACTTAACTTTATTGCAGTATTGCAATCCTCCAGAATTACATTCTGCACTTATTATCCTTTTAGGAGTTCACACTTAGCTGATGATTGATTATAAAGCTTGTTTGTCATGCTGTCCCCCTGAGCTCATAAGATCCTCGAGCCCGGGGCTTCTTCCCGTTTGCAAGGCGAGAGGGGAGTTTGAGCTCAGGTAGATCTCGAGAACTCCCCTGCTGTAGTAGCTAATGAACAGAGTGATTGCTCTTAAGAGACAACTACTTACTAGGATGTAGGTAGGCATGTCTATGGTGCCGATTTGGATAAGTCAATTCACTTAAATTGCATGTTTTTGGATGGTAGGAGGAAACCGGGGAACCTGGTAGTGATGGGTCGTTCATGAACGGTTCGTTCATTTTGAACGAATCTTCAATATGATTTGGGAACTACGAGTCCTCTCAGGGAGTGATTTGTTCATCCGCGCGTGCGCACATTTGTGCAGGTATCGTTAATTTCAAGTCTTCATCACATTGGCAGAAGCCAATCATATGCATTTAGAGCCGGAAAAAGAATTGATCCGCTCACCTCTCGAGTCCTCTATCGGGTCTGAGTCACTCGTTCATCACGGGCCAATCATACGCGTTTAGAGCCGGAAAAAGAATTGAACCGCTCACCTCTCGAGTCCTCTATCGGGTCTGAGTCACTCGTTCATTACGGGCCAATCATACACGTTTAGAGCCGGAAAAAGAATTGAACTGCTCACCTCACGAGTCTTCTATCGGGTCTGAGTCACTCGTTCCTCACGGGCCAATCATACACGTTTAAACCCGGAAAAAGAATTGAACCGTTCATCTCTCGACTCCTCGGGTTTGAGTCATTCTGTCACGTAAACAACGAATGATCATGGCTCCTATCGGCTTAGACTGTGCATTGATTAAGATTATATGTGACTGTCAGTGTAACGTGAATGAACCCCTGACATTTGAAGACATGAAGAGGTGAGCTGAGCAAAGAGACAACATGCCTTCATAGACAAAAGAGCAGGTAAACATTGAATTATTATTTTCTCCTTCTTATACTGTTCTATTTATGACTTATTTGTCGTGCAGTCAACCGTTTGGGTTAGTTGTAGATGTGTTTGGAAGCAATTCGTAACATTTTAATAATATTTTGGCAAATTGAACCAAATGAACGAAATAACTCGAAAAAAGATTCGTTCATCTTGATGAACGAGACTCAAAGATCCGAGTCAGTAAAATGATCCGAACTTCCCATCACTAGAACCTGGGGGGAAACCCACGTGAGTACGGAGAGAAAGTGTAAACTCTGCACAGGAATGTCAGCTGGCTTGGTAAGGACTAGAACTAGTGATGTTTTTGCTGTGAGGCAACAGTGCTAACCACTGAGCTAACGTGCTACTCATCTAGGAAAGGAGGAGGAGTAGGGGTGGAAGGGAGGATTCTTCAGAATGAAGATGGCTGTTATATGAAACTTAGGGTATTTATAGTGACTTAATGTGTTATTTTTTAACATGGTGCAGATTGTCACATTCTGGGCAATTTAGTGCCCATACACCATACCCCTGTTTGTGACCACAGTTTAAGTGCAAATCTGTTCGCTATATTCCAAGTCTTCCAAAGCCACTTGATAATTTTTTGTGCGACAGGACTAATATTGTTTACTGAATCAATTCAAATGATTTTTAAGAGCTGCAGTAGATTACAATTAAAAATTTCAGCCAATTCTCTAGTAAAGGTTATGATTTGGTGTTTTTTAAGACTGAACATATGCTAATGCCAAGGTTCTTGCAATCATCATAACTTTTAAAAGCCGTTCCATTGGACAAAAAGGAAAAAGTTTGAAGGAATAACATGAAAGTGAGTACATAATGCCAGAATTTGTTTTTTTAAGAAAAAACTCCTTTAAAGTTTCCTCCAAAGCCCAAAGTATACTTTATTTAAAATAAAGTCACATGCGCACTTGAAAAATGAATCTATGTCCAGTGTTTTTTCTTTTTTTGTAGATTAAGATTGTATATAAATGCTGATTTATATTTCTGAGTCCAGTGTATGCCGTAGGTTTGGTGTAGCCTTTGCACAGTAGAATAGCCTTTGCCCTTCCGTGCACCTCACAAAAGGGAACCAAGATCTGTGATTGGTCAGCTTAGTATGATGAATGTAGGAGGGCAGAGAGGGGATCAGAGAGCAGCTGATGGCAGGACGTGTTTATCAAGTCTTGCAGATTTATATTTTGTTTGGTGTTTATTTTATAGTTAAAGTTGTTGAGCATTCACTAGATCCTGCCTCTGTTCTCTGTATGAGTTTGTGCTACTGCTATAGTAGCAGGCTTCTCAAAACACAAGGCTAAAAATCTTAACGCAGTGGAACACGGAAACCCCACTATTTAGTGTTTGGGATCAATTATTGCAGAGCTACACAGACAGAACGTAGTATAAATTAGTGGTATAAATGCTCGTCAGCTAGATTTAAGGTTTGTGTTTTGAGGTACAGCGATCACGACGCAGAAGTATAAATCAAGCTTAACTATGAACCCATCAACATGGGCGTCTAATGGTTTTGCCATCTACAGTAGTTTCATCAATTTTTCCACCTTGTGGACATGAGTTAGTGCAAAACAAATATAAAGAGCATGTGCGAAATAGGCATGGGCCGGTAAAAGATTCTGACGGTGTGATAACCTTGGATAAAAATATCACCGGTTCACGGTATTGTGATTACTGCTCTAAAATATATATATTTTTAAATGTCTGTGTAAACAACAAAAACTTTTTTACCCTTTGAGAACAATATATTTTATTTTTTGAAAGATTTATAATAGTTTGGAGCAGTAAACATCAGGCTAAATAATTGAAATGAATCATTGACTTCAGTCTTCGTTAATTTCGAAAACCCAGATTTCTTTACAATTTAAAACGAAATCTTTGGATATTTTTTCTGCTGGAGATACCGTTGTCTTGAAAAGAATTTAAATAAAAATCTTACTCATACCTTGGGAATGTTTTTACAGAAAATGTTGGCAGTTTTAAAACCTTCGCTGCGTCCGAAACCTTCCATACTATACAGTACGCTAAAATCAGTATGCGAGCCGAGTAGTGTGTCCGAATCCATACAATTCGAAAATCAGTATGCGAGAAGTACCCGGATGACTTAATACATCTAGCGAGATTCTGGAGTGCACATCCCATGCAAGCTGCTCTATCCCATAATGCCCCGCGAGAGAATTCATGAATGGAAGAAGCGACGCAACTGACGCAGGTAGGTCACGTGACCATGACAAAATGGCGGATGTAGTACATCCGAATTCCATTCATACTTTTCACATTCGTACTGTATAGAACGCACTTTTATAACGGCCAAGCAGTACGTTTAAATTCAAATGCAGTACCTACTGAGTAGTAGGCGGTTTCGGACGCAGCCCTTGACTTTTCCAAACCGCGTTATACCTTGAAAACGATTATCGTCCCATGCCTAGTGCGAAACAGCTTGAGGTTACAAAAAAATACAATGTCCACATACTATTCTTCTGATCAAATCCATGTCACGCACACTGCATGCGAACCCTCGCACACACACAAAGTCCAAAGTATACTTTGGGCTGAACCGGGCCTCATGGTGCTCGATCACACACCTCTGCTAAATGAACAGGATCAGTGTTCTATGGATGCGTTAGTGGGGAACTACCTGTAATCAGAGTGGTAAAAATCAAGGCCCTACAATGCAGTCAGACAACCGTGGGCAGGTGAAGGTTGACGTGAGAACTCATGTTTTGTTGCGGGTGAATACGCGCTCACCCCGCAAATTCAGATGCTGCAGCTGGTACTGCAGCACCTCTGTGTCCACCGGCTCCCTGAGGCTCATCTTGTCCAGGTTGAGGTAGTCCAGGGACTTGGAGTAAACCCGTTTGCCCTTCAACAGGCAGAGAGGCAGGGGCCCGTGTAAAGCCTTGCTTGGCTCCCCGCTCACTATGGACTTCAGGCAGCTGTCGCCTGAGCTGGGCATGCGCCGCCTCCTTCGCCCATTGACGGCTGGGATGTCGTACGGTTGGTAGTAACGGCTTTTGGCTTTGTAAATCCGTGAGGCTCGGTGCAGACCTAAATCCACAGGCTTTTTAATGGGGCTGGGCAAGGCCTCTGTGTTGCTGCTGTCAGGACTTGACCATTTCTGGGCTAATTTGAGAAGCTCCTCGCCAGTTGTAAAGCCCACGAGATAGTTGGAGTTCATGTGAAGGATCTGGTATCCTGAGACAGTACTTTTAATGGGGGAGCAGGGAGTGCTGGAGCAGCGGGGTTTATCGGCTTCAGGCTTCAGGGTGCTTTTGACCTCAGCTGCAGGCAGAACAGATATGGGTGCCCTGGACGCTCCACTGGCATCCATTTCCATCTTTAATGACATGACCTGGCTGAAAAACACAAGCAAGTCGTGGAAGAAAAAAAAATAGTACATGTTAAAGGGTCAGGGAACACCAAAACACATGTTTTGAGCTGTTGACAGTAGTATATGTGTCCCACACTGCTATAAACACTACATATATTTCACTAAAAAGGGAAAATCGGTTGTCTTTGCGTTATTTCGAGCAAATTCGTACATCCGGTTTGAAACTAATTTTTGAAGCTGTGTCACAGCCATCAGATTTTAGCGTGTATTCCAGCATGTAGACTGCACGTCTGTACCTGGGAGTAGCTTATGACGACTCTGAGTGTGCTGCATTCATTCATGAGTAAGACTTGGCTCAAGTCAATCAGTGCGCTTTATTAGCCCCTTTCACACAGTGATACCGGTAAATATCCGGAAAATTTCCGGAACGACTTTACCGGTATATTAAAAAAAACGCTGTTCACACAGGCGAGGACGTTACGGAATTTTTCCGGAAAAGAGCATTCACACATCCATCGCAAAATGCCGGTAAATTCTGACATCATTAACCAGAAATGACCTCTAAACAGCTGCGCTTGTGTTTGTAAACATTTGACTACATTACAAACTCTTCGGATGGATCAGTATTGAGTACAACTCTAATGAAAACATAGAGAAACACTTTCGCATGTCGAGATGTTCATGATATGTGTGTGTGCTGGCGCTATGGGTGCTCACGGGCACACGCAAAGCTTGAAGGTAAACAAACAACGGATTATCATAAACATTTTATCGATAATTATTTATACAGTTAGCATTAAGAAGGAACATATACACGTTATCTGACTAACATCTAGCAGCTAAAGGTGTCTGGAAAAAATATTCAAAGGCTTTTATTCTCATAAACCGCACGCACATGAATGCGTCTGACTGTTGTGATTGGCTAAAGCAGACGTCTCACGTCAGCCCGTTCTAGACGTGGACGCACTCTTTCCGGCTATCTTCCTTCTGCATTCACACAGCGCAGCATTCCGGCAAATTACCAGTAATGTTACAACTTCTCTTTCCGGAAAATAGCCAGAACGAATTTACCGGTATTTTCAAAAGGGCCTGTTCACACATACAACCTTTCCGGAAAATTGCCGGTAATTTTCCGGAAAGGTCTGTATGTGTGAAAGGGGCTATTGTGTATGCAGTGCAACTTCATTAATATGCATGATAGCTTCGAAGACTGTTTGTACCCAAAACAGTGTTCAGACGGCAGAAAGATGCCACGTTGTGTTGCCAAAACAAGTGGGAAAAGAATAAGAATTGTTTGGAGATACCGGTCGTCAGTGTTGCTTTTATAATGTGCTGTAGTGAAGGTTTTGTTTTCATTTTCCAGCTATGAGAGCGCAGCTGGAATCACGTGTGGATTAGTGCACGCGACACGAGGCAGAAATATGTTTGTACGGAATATTTTTTTACCCGAGAGCTTTTCGCATGTGGAAATAGTGAGATCCGGATTTGCTGCTCGTCTCCTTTTAAAAAAGACACAGCTCCAGTTGGTGTTGATAGTCCTGTCTCTACAGATTTGGTAAGTGTGTGCGATCAGTGCCCTTTCTTTGTTCATTTAGATGGCAAAGTAAAGTTCGTATCGTCAGCAGTACTCTTCCAGTGTTTAAAGACAGACCTTAGTCAAAATGATTTACTTAGTTTACAGCACGTTAATATCACTACAATATTATGGGCTGAAAGCTGCTGCTCTCCGAGTGTAAACATGTAAAAACTGCAAGCAAACTCTTACCGACCGTCGAGTTGAATTTTCGACGCATTTTGTGTCTGGATAGTCACACACACACAGCTTTCTGATCTACCAAGTGCATCTAAGTTAACAAGAAATGCAGAGGATTTTTCTCTTATACGACTAATGGTGTCAAACATTCCACCATCATTAAACACAGTCACTGTCTTTCTCCCCTGCGTGTGTTTTTGTTTTGCCTCGGGGTTTTATGGCCCTTTAAAGTGACAAAAATGAAATAGTACATGCTATACAGTGCTTAATAGTCATCATATTTAATTTCTTTGTTCACTCACAGCTCTGAGAATAACTCCAGCCTGCATCTGGCATTGTTTGCTTTTCATTAGATTATTTAGGAGTATAATCCCCGGCAAAATAAGAAATCATTTAAGTAGGATCTTAGAGTGAACAAAAACTCACTTTCCTAGAGATCAACAAAACCACTGAGTGTAAACTGAAAAGCTAACACCCAACATTTTATTTCTCAATCTCACTTGTTTCATTGTCCTTTCTGTCCTCTTGTGTTGATACACATGTACCTTGAGCTCCTGTAAACCACAACGGTTGATTTGGTCCAGCGCAGAGCGCGTTAGTTGTGCGCCTCACGCCGAGTTCAGACTGCATGATTTTGAAAGTAGCCGTGTCACAGATGTTTTCACACCGCATGACTATCTGGGCTAGCGTTTTGTCGCTGCTTTGTTTACACTGCAAGATGGATCGGCGACAGGGTCTTTTACATTGCATGACTTTACAATAGGAAGAATCACCGAAAACTTCGTCCAAGCTATGTCTCACAGCCAAAAACACGTAGTGTATCTTTTGTTATTAACTACAAAACGAGAAAAAAGCCTTTAATGGGGTAGAAAATGTGCATATTTGCTCACCTGGGTTTGAAGGGAATTTGCAATTTCTCCTCAACTTTCTTTTTTAACTTTCTAAACGAAACTTCAATCAGACACAGTGCTCCTGTCAAACCTCCACTAGTTTTCCTCCATTTCTTGAGTCCAAATAAACCGAAAATAAGCGCTTCTCCACCAACCTCCCGCTGCCCTGCAGGTACACACACACTAGTGGATGCTGCGCTCTCATTGGCTGTTGGCGATCGCTGATATTATTTTCAGTCAAAACTCATTTCACACGACATGATTTGAATCGCCAACAGCTCCAGATATTTAGCATACAAAATATCTCACAGTCATCACCCACTCATCAGCGATTCTCTCAGATCGCGTCTTCGATAGTTCATACAGTGTGACTGCTTCTCACGTGCACGAGCAGCGATTTTCCTGTGATTTCAGGCATTTGTCGGCAATTTCTCAAAACCTGTCGGCGAGCCAAAATCGGGGCTAAAATCATGAGGCCTGAACTCGACATTAAGCGCTTACTTATTGCTTAATATACGCAGGATGTTCAGCAATACACAAATATCTTTACAAATGAAGAGGAATTAAAAGATTAAAATATTACAAAAAATATTATTTTCTACATAAATATAAAAACCACTGCCTGCACGCCTTTATCTCGGGGGGCTTTTTTCTGTTTATTCATGACAATCTGCATTTGTAAAATATTATTATTAGCAGAATTATTTATAACATGCATATTTATATTTGTTTTAATAAAAACTAGTTTAGATTTGTCCACCAGACAGGTTTTGAACTATATTAGGTAGAGCATGCGTGTTTAGATATAACTCAGTTTTTTAACCACACTTCGTTATTATTGTTCATTTATTCGTTTGCTGGATATTAGAACTGAATTTAGAAATTATTTTGAAACAAATCTTGAAACAAACTAAATGAATCATGTATTCTTATGGATGTCTTCAGCGCAGTGCGTACAATACCGTTTCCTTATCCACGAAAGAGATAGAGACAGTAAAGAGGCCGATATTTTTCCATCCTCAAAATAGCAAAAGTGGATTCAGACACACCCTTAATGCTTTTGCGCCATGCACTTTAGACTTTGCACCTAGATCGTTAAAATAGAGCCCTTCATGTTTTTCAGTCTGGTTTCTCAGCATCAGAAGTCGTCACTTAGAGAGCAGTGAACGGGAGAATACCAACTTATTTTTATATTTTTATTTGCTCAAATAACGAAAAAAAAAAAACAAACAAAAAAAAAACCCTCCACAATAGTATTGTCAGGACTTTCAAATTAAAAAACAAACGCTCTTGTGTAAAGCTCAACTTCTTTAAGAGTAATTAGGTTGTTTTTTTTAACATTTAAATTACATTTACATTTAGTCATGAGCAATTCCAGCGTTATGGATGTGACATTTGCAGTAAAACCTCAAAACATAAATTCACATAGAAAGTACACTAAAAAAAGTGTTGCATGCAAAACTATTGCAAACAATTTATTTGTGTTGAATTTAAACAATCAAATTAAGTTTAACAATGGTCAACTTAATTTGTTTGTTTAAATTCAACACAAATAAATTGTTTACAACCACTTAACGTAAAAAAATTTAGTAAATCCAAGGAATCATCTCTGAATAATTTTTTTCAGTGTATATGTTAATAATATATTAAAACATCTGTTTATATTTTCCAGAACAACTAACCACAGAGTTATAAGACCAACAAAATAGCAATCTGTAAATGTGTTTTGTACCTTAAATGAGGAAAATAAACATGCGTTATGAATGTGACCAAAAAAGTCTTCGAGTTTGCAGTATACGACATACTTATGTAGAAGTTCTGTGAATTAAATTAATTAATGCTAATCAACATAAGAGTTGGCTCAATATAGAAAAAAACATGATTGATTTTAAAGTTATTTAATATTTTGAGGAAAAAGCAGCAATATGCACTCAAAAAAATAACTCATCGGATGAACTCAGTTTAATTGAGGGCAGGATTTCCATCCAATATATTTGTTTAGCATCAACTACAAAACAACTATAAACAATACAAAACAAATAAATGCAACTGAATTGGCCCAACATGATTTATCATATTTGTATTTATCACATTGTATTTTTATTTACATTAAACTCAGAAGTCTGATTATATCATATGTCTTTTATGCGTCTTACATTTCGATGTCTCTTAGTTTTTTTTAAAAGTTATCTTAAACTAACCAAAAGAGCCATTTTTAAGCATATTTCATGAGTCACATATACAGTTGATTGAGGCTGATCCTACAACTCATTTTAGGAGTTCAACAAACTGCATTTTTGCTAAATAAGCTGCCAACACCCAAAGCATGGGTGCTTCTGGCAGGTGGTAATCTCAAAACTCAAAGCATTACATGTAAGTCTTCTAACTCTTTGAACTAAAGTGAAGATTTAACTCTAAAAAGGCTTTCTATTAACTTTAAACACCTAAGATTACTTTTATTGTCAACATTTCGCTCTCTTAATTCAATCCCATCCCATGCAAAGCTTGCTGGGAACTACAAATCCCCTAACCAGGTAGTTGGATCAACACAATTTCTTCTTGTTGTCCCAACACAAAATGCTTAAGTTAACTTAATGGTTTACAAATTTAAGTAGACTGAACTTAAAACAAATAAGATGGCAAAAAAATAAAAATAAATAAATAAAAAAAATTTTTAAAAAATCACAGGAATTTTGTTGTTTCAGCTCATTTTAAACAGGTAGTTTGAACAAGCAGCAGGAATCGTTTTTTGAGTGTGGATGTAAAATTGCCATTCGTGTGACTTAATAAAATAAAATAGTTTAAAAACATTGGCAGAGACATTTTTTGAGTATTTCTAAAGTACTGTAAAATACTTGATTATACAAAAAAAAAAAAAAAAAAAAAAAACGTAGAAACCGTCTCGGTATTTTGGTGAAAACTTAATTTTCTTCCTGGCAAGGTTGCCATTTACATACAACTGCTCTTATTTAGCAGATATTTTTGTCCAAAAAGTGACTTACAATTTTCTTTTTGTCATTTGATGCAAAGATAAAATAATACAAAATATAGCTTCATACATAAACATACATTTAAAAAAAATAGATATTTCAGGGAATTAAGATGCTGATAATGTGCGTTCGCCGCTGTTCAAACAGTTAAGGAATGAAAATGCTGGCTGTCATTTTGACACAAAACAACAAGAAAGAAAAGCATCTAGTAGGCATGAGCTTAAATCCAGCACTTGGATTACAGTCTGACGGGAAATAATGCCTCTGAAAGCTGTTAAAGCCTCAAAAGGTGTTGCTCAGTGACGATGAAGCATTTCTACTGGCGATGGTCCTGATGTGCCAGTGATGTTGGAAAGGAGATCCAAGAATATTTTGGCAGCCATAAAGGTCTGACACATTTGAAGGGGACTTTAATAAAAATCAAGCCTTTTCCTGAAATAAAAGGCTCTCAGGAGACCACAAATAAATCCCTCAGAGCTCTAAACACTTACTGAGACATTTGATGAGAGATGCTAGAAAAATGATCCACAAATCCAAAGCAATGCAGTGCATGAGCTGGATTTACCATATGTTTTACACCAGTTATTTTTTTCTGAACCGTATCTACAAAATTGAAGATACATTAAACTGGGTTTATCACAGACAAATATATTTTCAAATGTTTGACAGTTCTTAAGATGTTAACTACAGGCTGGTGAATGGCTAATGATTCTGCAGCTGTCTGCTTTTGAATTAGATATATGTGTTTTTTTAATTTACTTACTGTGAACTCAATTCAGTTGAAGTCAGAATCATTAGCCCCCTTTGAATTTTGTTTTCTTTTTTAAATATTTCCCAAATGATGATTAACAGAGCGAGGAAATTTTCACAGTTTGTCTGATGATATTTTTTCTTCAGGAGAAAGCCTTATTTGTTTTATTTTGGCTAGAATAAAAGCAGTTTAAAATTTTATTTATTAAAAATTTATTATATTTTTTAAAAGCCATTTTAATGACAAAATTAATAGCCCCTTTAAGCTGTATATTTATTTCGATAGTCTACAGAACAAACCATCGTTATACAATAACTTGCCTAGGCCCACACGGAATCTGCGCGCGCAGAATTCCACAGATTTCTAGCCCATCATTAATTCTGTTTATTTACTCAAGTAAATGTGTGTAAATCTATATATATATTCAGTTTTTAAATTAATTTCAGTAATATTATAGACTAATATGAAAATCTTCATCTGATTCATGTACAATGCAGTTTATACAGTAGTATTTTCTGTCTTTTAGTAGATTTATTACATAAGACTTGCTTTGTTTACCAAATAAAGTGAATCTAATTTGCATTTTAAACATTAAAAGTTGAAAAGGTAATACTTTTTATTTCACATATTAAGGTTTTAGTTATGATACTCTCAAAATAATTCTGCAGAAATCTGCAGATTTTTACCAAAATTCTCAGCAGAAATAGCAAAAAAACGTCTGCAGATTCCGTCTGGCCCTGCTAATTACCCTAGCCTGCCTACTTAACCTAATTAACATAGTTAAGCCTTTAAAAGTCACTTTAAGCTGTATAGAAGTGTCTTGAAAAATATCTAGTCAAATATTATTTACTGTCATCATGGCAAAGATAAAATAAATCAGTTATTAGAAATGAGTTATTAAAACTATTGTGTTCAGAAATGTGTTGAAAGAAATCTGCTCTCCGTTGAACAGAAATTGGGGAAAAAGATAAACAGGAAGGCTAATAAATCAGGGGGGCTAATAAATCTGACTTCAACTGTATATATATTTTATCATATTAAGAATTTTTAATTCTGAGATGTAAATTCAAAGTAAGAATATTGAGGTAATACTCTAAATTCGTTTAATAATATTACTATTCTGTGGTATAAAAAAAGATTTTAGAGAAAATATATATATTTTTAGATTTAAAAATATATATTTGTGGAGACTAAATAGTGCAATACTTATCTTCATTATTAAAAAATAATCTGATAAAATCAAATTACTAGGAATCACAGCCTAACTGAAAATGTATCATTAATACATTAACAAAATAATGACACAATAATTGCACATGTTAACTGGCAACACTGAAAGATTATCATCTTATTCTTACACCAGTTATTTTATTCTGAACAGTATCTACAAAATTAAAGATACCATAAACTGGGTTTATCCCAGACAAATACATTTTTAAATGTTTGACAGTTCTTAAGATGTTAAATACAGGCTCGTGAATTGCTAATGATTCTGCAGCTGTCTGCATTTAAATTAGAAATGTGTGTTTTATTAATTTATTTACCGTGAACTCAATTTATATACATATACTTTAATTATATTAAGAATTTTTAATTCTGAGATGTAAAATCAAAGTCAGAATATTGAGATAAAACTCTAAATTTGAACATTTTTAGTATTCTTTGGTTGAAAAGAGATTTTAGAGGAAAGAAATACTTTTACATTTAAAAAGATAAATTTGTGGAGGCTAAATAGTGTAATAACTATTTAATCACATTACATTATTAATACAAAATAGGCTGCACGGTGGCCCAGTGGGTAGCACGATCGCCTTACAGTAAAAAGGTTGCTGGTTTGAGCCTCGGCTGGGTCAGTTGCCGTTTCTTTGTGAAGTTTACATGTTCTTCCCGTGTTCCGGTGCTCCGGTTTCCCCCACAAGTCCAAGATATATTTAACTAGGTAAACTAAATTGACCATAGTGTGTGTGTGTGTGTGTGTGTGTGTGTGTGTGTGTGTGTGTGTGTGTGTGTGTGAATTATAGGGTGTCTGGATGTTTCCTAGTGATGGGTTGAGCTGGAAGAGCATCCGCTGCATAAAACATATGCTAGATAAGTTGGCGATTCATTCCTCTGTGACGACCCCAGATTAATAAAGAGACTAAGCCAAAAAGAATATGAATAAATTAATATTACAAAATAAACTGATAAAATCAAATGAATAAGAAACACTACTGTAACTGAAGATGTATCATTAAAACATTAACAGAGTCACCACACAATAATTGCACAAATTAACTAGCAACAATGTCAAAGAATACTATCTTATTTCTTACGCAAAAAAAAGCATAGATTACTAATATAATTAATGATATGCATTTAAAATATCAGTTTTTATGCATGTTCGGCTCTTGTTACTCACATTCCTAAATCTTGAAAGTAAAATGCTATCTAAATTAAATTAAAAAAGAAAAATATATATGCTATCAAAACAGTACATTTAACAGTAAAATGGTGTGTAGTGTGGGATGTGACCACTATCCATATGGAAACGTGTTTAATGCCAGTCATGATGAAGAATGAGCCCCGAAAAACAGGCCAATGCTTTACAGCTTAGAATGAATCAAACATCAGTGTAATATCGAAAGAAATCATATATAATCAAATAATAATGACGATAATCGGAAATGTCGAAGGTTTAGTGAGAGCTCTGAGAGGAATCATCCTGTTTCTCCTGATGGGGAGGATAATGAATAGGAGGGTGATGAAGATGCTCGACTTCACATGATCAAATACTGAGCTTTAACATATGTGCTATAAAAACGCCTCCCTCAACAATATAACGTAATCGGAAAATGTCGAATATACGTCTAAAACGGACAAGCGTCCTTCATCCGCTATCCTCATTCTGGGCTGTGTCACTGCCACCATTTCGCGATTTACAACAGCAGCACGGCGATCTGATAATACCACCGCGGCGTGCTCGCCTACCCTGTTTTATTCCTAACTGAGTGTTCTATGAGGAAATGAGACGAAAAAAGGGTGGGAATTCAAACCTGTTCGGAAAAACTGCACCCCTTGGCTTGAGAAAACCATAGACGAGATCCCAGTCGGAGGAGAGCAGCTCCCGATGTCTGCTGTCGACCCCGGTCACGTGACGCGCGCCGCGGATGCTTCGGGAATCGGTCACGTGACGAGTAAAAGGGTCGGACAGTCTTATATAAAGCAGTGCCACAGCAAAAGAGGGCCCACTAGGGGAGCTCAGCAACAGTACAAGGGCACAACTTCGAATTAATCACGAAATGAGCTGCTGACTTTATACATGGAAGGAATTCGTTTTACCACAGTAAATAAAAACAAAGTAAGTGTTGCTTTAAAATTATATTCACAAAATATAGTTGAAATTTAATTGAATGCAGTGGCGAATTTAGGCATGGGCAGTATGGGCGATCGCCCAGGGCGGCATCTTGCTCGGGGCGGCATGGGGAGATGGTGTAAAAAAGTGCCCCAGTTAAAGCTTTGAGGTAAGATTTACTTTATGCAAGTATATTAATTTAGAATTGTTATCCCAGAATAAAGATGTTAGGGGCTTTTCACATTTGGCATCTTTTGCATGTGCAATGTTATTTTTCTTTATGTGCAATAGTGCAACCGAAACAACACTGGTGAAAACAAATTGACGCATTTGTGCAGTAAGCCATTCCTTCGGTCCTCACATGCGCTGCTCCTGACCTCGGTTGTTTACTGTACATGCACGCCTATATGCAAGTAAACAAAGCTAAAGTTTATATCAAATGATGATTCTACTTTGACTAAGCATGGCTATGAAGCAGAAAGGAGGAATAATCAGTCAGGGAAGTAACTAAGACTTCATAACTTTAATTCTCAGCCATAAGTCGGGTCCAAGACAACAGATAAATCTATAAAACAATATTTTTTTGTATTCTATAGAACTGTCATAGTTAATATTCATGCAAAAGTCTTAGAATATTACTTCAGTTGTGTCTTTTCATTGTTTTTCAGTTCCATTTAGGATTGATTTGTTATTTATTTAGAATAATAGTTGTATAATAATAAAATAATAATAATAATAACCAAATTGTTTTATTTATTGAAAATAAATAAATATAATTAAATGTATTTATAATTATTATTTTAAATGTATATATTATTTATATAAATATAAAATATATAAATATATAAATATTATATATTTATATAAAATATATATATAGAAGTCATACCACATAGTGTCTTTATTTTTTGGGAGATGGGGAGGGGGTATGTTTGGGGGTGGTTTTGTCCAGGTTGCCATTTATAATTATTTTTTAGGCTTTTCACCTTTATTGTGACAGGACAATAGAGAATTGACAGGAAAGCATGGGGAGCAGAGAGAGGGGAAGGATCGGCACAGGACCGCAAGGTGAAATCGAACTCGGGTTGCCGCGAGCACCGGAGTGCATGTGTCGACGAACTAACCACTACACCACTGGCACAGACCCAGGGTGCCATTTAAACTAGAACCGCCACTGATTGAATGTAACTGAAATTATATAAGTGTTTGGTGCTTTAATTAGAACGATTCATTAGAACTTGATTGTTTTTATTATTTTTTTTAAACAATTATTATATTACAGGACATCATGGATAGGAACGCAGAGAGAGAAAGCGAGAAGTGAACTCCAATACATGCAGACTCAGACATGCACTCAATAGTTTTTACATGGCAGCCATTTTAAAAGTGAAATCGAGGCTGCGGTGGGTAGAAACCTGGAAGTATCGCTTGGAGTCACACAGAAACGGGGTCACAAATTTATCATTTCACCAATCTCCAAGTGCCACAAAGGTCCATTCTGAACAGATAGAAAATAAAAAGGCATAACAGACTTCGTTTTCAGCTAGGTTAAAAGGAAATTTAGCAAACATTATCTTTGATAACACAAGTTTTAGATGCCATTTATCAAACTAATGAACTGATTGTTTCACTATATTACACCCGATAATGGTTCTTAAACACACTGCAAAAAATGCTTTTCTTGCTTAGATTTTTTGTCTTGTTTCTAGTCTAAATATCTAAAAGTTCTTATATTAAGAAGCATTTTATAAACAAGCAAAACATATTGTTTTGTTTTAAGAAATAATATGCCAATATTAAGTAAGTTTTTCCTTAAATCAAGCAAACTAATCTGCCTATGGGGTAAGCAAAATAATCTTGTTTTTCCTTTTGACGTAAGATTATTCTGCTTACCACATTGGCAGATTATTTAGCTTGTTTCAAGGAAAAACTCACTTCATATTATTTCTCAAAACAAGACAATATGTTTTGCTTGTCTAGAAAATTCTTCTTGATTTAGGAATTTTTAGATATTTGGACTAGAAACAAGACAAAAAATCAAAGTAAGAAAAGCATTTTTTGCACCGCTGATTTGCCATCGTATTCACCAATGCTCAACAGAAATGACTGTGATTGGCCATGTAGGTCATCAGTTCAGGGTGCCATCAACTGAAGCTTATAGGAGAACACTTAAGCTTTATTACTCTTAAATAGATTATGACTTTGTTTGATGATTATTATGCTTTTCATTATTTTAATTAATCTGAACTGAAGGATATTAAAGTGATGTTTACACCACATCTGCATTTTGAAATCTCAGCAACAGCTGGAGGTTTGTAGTCCACAGCACAGCTGATCCTATACCTTCGGGTTTCTTCCCACCGCAGCCTCGCTTTTGTGTTTTAAAATTGGCAGCCACATGAAATAAGCGTGAAAAGCTAGTAATGTCACTGTGAGGGGTAGCGCTTGGTGTAAGCATCGCATGCAGTCTCAGCGTGCACCTGCAGCCAGACCCAAGAATCAGCAAAGAAGCTAAAGCCTGGAATCAAACTCAGATCACCATGAGCACCTTATAGCTATGCCAAAGCACTAACCAAAGGGGGGGGGATTCTTCAAACCAAAGGTGGCTGTTATACGAAACTAAAGCTGCATCCCAAATCGCATACTTATGCACTATTCTATGACATTTTGTAGAATAAATAGTGTTAGTAGTGTGTTCACACTGAAAACTCTCAAAATAATAAGTGCACTTTAATTACCCGGATGATGCACTCATTCAGCTGGTAAAATGAAGTGTGTAATGATGGACACTTCACGCACTCAACGACCACAGGTTTGCTTACGTAGCGGAAGGGGCGGAGCTATCAGACGCACATGTTGAATAACTTTATTTATTTTGGATGGTGAAAGCAAAATTCTCCTACGAGAGTGATTATAGCGCCTCCCGATGGTAAATGCGGATATACTCACGGCAGGTACTATTTGATAATTCGGTCGTTTATTTCCCTGATTAGGCAACCGTCAAACGTCATCAAGGAAATGGTTTGAATTTCCACTTAGTAAAAAAACATTAGTGTGCCATTTGGGACGACACTACATACATGTACTATCCTGTTGAGTGTGTAAGTGCATAAGTACATAGTCCATGAGTGCATAGTGTATAGTGTGCCATTTGGGATGCAGCTTTAGGGTATTTATAGTGGCTTAGGAGTCGTCTGATTGGTGAATCATGAATTGAATAATGCAGGACCAGCTGCAAGCAATCATAACCATGTGATCCTCTCGAAATCAGTTTATAAATAAACTTCACTACAAGCTTTCACACATTGGCAAGACATAAAAAAGCAATGGTGCACTGTAAAAAGTTAGTTTACTTGAAAAAAGTAAACCCGTTATAACTTGATAAGCTGACTTATTGCACAGATGATACACAGATCATTTACATAATTTTAATGCAACTGGTTTACTCATTTTAAAAGTTTAAGCCAACTAATCACCTTTTGCAGTGTTTATTCAAATGCTATATACACTCACCTGACACTTTATTAAGTACACCTTACTAGTACCTGGTTGGACTCATTTTGCCTTCAGAACTGTCTTAATCCTTCTTGGCATAGATTTAACGAGGTACTGGAAATATTCCTCTGCGACTTTAGTCCATATTGTCATGATAGCATCACGCAGTTGCTGCAGATTTGTCGGCTGCACATCCATGATGTGAATCTCCGGTTCCAGCACATCCCAAATGTGTTCTATTGCATTGACATCTGGTGACTGTGGAGGCCATTTGAGTACAGTGAACTCATTGTCATGTTCAAGAAAGCAGTCTGGGATGATTCATGCTTTATGACATGGTGCGTTGTCTTGCAGGAAGTAGGCACCAGAAGATGGTCATAAAAGGGATGGACATGGTCAGCAACGATACTCGGGTAGGCTGCGGCGTTGACACAATGCTCAATTGGTACTAATGGGCCCAAAATGTGCCAAGAAAATATCCCCCACACCATTACACCATCACCACCAGCAGCTTGAACCGTTGATACAAAGCAGGATGGATGCATGCTTTTATGTCGTTGATGCCAAATTCTGACCCTACCATCCGAATGTCGCAGCAGAAATCGAGACTCATCAGACCAGACAACGCTTTTCCAACCTTACATTGTCCAGTTTTGCCGAGCCTGTGTGAATTGTAACCTCAGTTTCCTGTTCTTAGCTGACAGGAGTGGCACCTGGTGTGGTCTTCAGCTGCTGTAGCCCATCCGCTTCAAGGTTGGACGTGTTGTGTGTTCAGAAATGCTCTTCTGCATACCTCGGTTGTAACAAGTAGTTATTTGAGTTACTGTTGCCTTTTTATCAGCTGGAACCAGTTTGGCCATTCTCCTCTAACCTCAACAAGGCATTTGCGCCAGGGCCGGAGTGGGACTCATTTTTAGCTCTGGAGATTCAAGCCTTATATCCTTATAGCCTTTAATATCGACGACTATATTAAAATATCGTCATTTCCAATTCAGTTTCAAATGACACTAACACATCTTTTTCAAGGACACAGCTGCTTTAGAACTTCAAATGTTTTTCATAAATATGAGAACATTAATTCTTTATAGATATCCAGTCCTTTGTAACAGTCGTCACACACACACACACACACACACACACACACACACACACACACACAAAAAAATATGTATCCCTACATAAGTAACCCAAACAGTATTTATATCTTAACACGTAAAAAAAACATATTATACTCTGGTGAGGTTCGAACTCGGGTCGGTTGCGTCTAAGTGTAACGTGCTAACCACTAGACCACTATGGCGCTGTTAAGCAATGGATTGTCATCTGCTGCTATTGATGTCTACTCTTTTTGCAACCCTACTCTTTTTCTCCCCATTTTAGATTTCTGATCAAGTTATGTCAGATTTATTAATGTAGTGAATCGTCTGATTTTCATTGAGCAAGTGTAATATTCATTAATATGAATTAATATTCACTAAGGTGCCGCTGTTTGGGGTGATGATCATCATTAACCTACGGGCTGCATTTTGCTCACGGGGCTGCGAGACAATAAATAAAAAGTAATGATTAAAAAGAGTGAGGTTATAGTCAAATAAACAAGTAAATTAAAAAACTGCAACTGCTGAGAGTGCAAGCTGCTAGGGACACCGGCCCTCGTGGCCAAAAATCGGACCGGCCCACCGGGAATTCTCCCGGTTCTCCCGATTAGCCAATCCGGGCCTGATTTGCGCCAATTGCCGCTCACTGGATATTTTTTTCTTTTTCTGATCATTCTCTGTAAACTCTAGAGATGGTTGTGTGTGAAAATCCCAGTAGATACACAGTTTCTGAAATACTCAGACCAGCCCGTCTGGCACCAACATCCATGCCACGTTCAAAGTCACTTAAATCCCCTTTCTTCCCCATTCTGACGCTCGATTTGAACTGCAGCAGATCATCTTGATCATCTCTACATCTTGAGTTGCTGCCATGTGATTGGCTGATTAGAAATTTGCATTAACAAGCAGTTGGACAGGTGTACCCAGAGTCTATATGCTTTAAATAAGTTCAGATGAGAATGTGTGATAGTAGAAACATGAGGAAAAACGCGGTGTACAAAGAATTATAAAGCCGACCGCAAGAAAGTAACAAACACTACTCACAAGGCATATTTGGAAAAAAATAATCATAAAATGTACATTTATTTGCAACAATTATATTAATAGCAGTAAGAAAATCATTTTCTACAGTTGATGGTAACATTCCAGGTAAAGAGAATGAAGAAATGACTTTGCCTTTCATTGCTCCCTTCAACAAGTGTGTTCCTAACAGCTGCATTATAACACACAAGCACCCCGCTCCCTTTGAAGAGCCCTCAGAGGTCAGTGATCACTTCCGATTAGAATTTGAGCAAACATTTTATCATTTCGATGTGTCCGAACACAAATGATTTTTAGGACAGAGAACTGGAAAAGCAGCTTCCACAGAAATATCCCTCTATTGCTTACATACTAATGTCCAATTAAGTTTTGATATACCAACGACCAAAGTTAAATTCCAACAGTTGCTTCACTTCATTTGATGGAAAGGTAATTGTTAACATAAGGCAGATGTCAATTACAATGGAGGCAAATTCTGATTGTAATCAAATATATGTATTAAAATATGTTTCTAAAGAAGAAATGTCACTTCAGGCCTTGTTTGATGAGGCCACAGAAAGTGCCGCATTCAACATTTCAACATTCGTATATACAAGATAAATGTGACACATTCTTCTGAACCATTCCAGAGGAATGGAGGAGCTAAATAAGCCATTGATATGATTGTAATTACAACGGTGTGATATTTTTTGGTATCATACATTTAATGAGATATTCCTTTAGATGCAAAATGTACAGCTATTTATGAGAGAAGCCAGGACTGTAACATGCTCTATGATAATCTCGTCAGTTTACACAAAATTATAAAGATATAGTTTTAGTTGATTGGGATTTACATGTTTACCCATTTACGTGTTAGCCGTCCATGATTTTGGACATTGTGGTCTGTTTAATGACCATGTCTTAAAGCACAGGTGTCAAACTTGATTCCCGGAGGGCCGCAGGTCAGCAGTTTAGTTCCATTCCTAATTAAACATACCTGATCAAACTAATTGAGCCCTTCAGGCATGTTTGAAACCTACAGGTAAGTATGTTGGAGCAGAGTTGGAACTAAATTGTGCAGGGCTTTGGCCCAGGAACTTGAGTTTGACAGCCCTGTCTGAAAGGGACATTTCTGTCATTATTTACTCATCATCCACTTGTTTAAAGTTTGTTTTGTCTGTCGAAAACGGAAAATGTTGCAAACTAGTAGCTACTGACCTAAATAGTATATTTGGTTTCAGATATGGATATCAATATTTGCTAGTTTCCAACATTCTTTAAAAGATCTTCTTTGGAAAGAACTTCATGAAGGTTTGATGATGAGTAAGTTTCTCTTTGGGTGAACTATGCCTTGATTAAGCCTGTGATTTGACTTTATTTTGTATTACCTGCGTGTTGGTTTGCCGATGAGTGTCATGAGTTAAAGCCTGACATGGTGTTTGTAGGGTTTTTTAGAACTGACGCTTCATGTGAGGGTGTGCCGCTGGATGAGACGCTTGAGAGAGTGGACTGCTGCTGGGTTTTATCTGTAGATTCAGGTGGTATGATGGAGATCTGTGGAGCGGGTCTGAGCTGCTTGCTCTCCGCAATCTCTGAGGTTCTGCCATCATCTGGAACATCTTTTGAAAGCGTTTTGGGTTTATTGGCAGGGGATTCATCTTTATCTGAAAGAGAAAAGATTGGGACACATTGGATTGGGACAGATGGTTGAATAATCTGATGAATAACAGGAAGGCCCTGTCACACAAGGAGAGAGGAGGAACAAATAACTTGCATGAGCACGTGATCAAAAACCATTTGCTCTTCTCTGTTGGAGACATCTGACCTTCATATATTATATTCAACAGCGTTAGTCTGATGAGTGATATCATTCAACTAAACTGCACATCCATTTCAGAAAATGATGGCTTATTTCTACACAGCAGGAACTGGAAGACTAGTCAGGATAGAGGGAAAGACGAATGCAGCAATGTAGAGAGACATCCTGAATGGAAACCTGCTTCAGAGTGCTCTTGACCTCGGACTGGGGCGACGGTTTATCTTCCAGCAGGACAATGACCCAAAGCACACCGCCAAAATATCAATGGAGTGGCTTCTCAACAACTGAATGTCCTTGAGTGGCCCAGCCAGAGCCCAGACTTAAATCCTATTTAACATCTCTGGAGAGATCTGAAAATGGCTGTACACTGTCACTTCCCATCCAACCTGAAAGAGCTTAGGGGTATTGCATAGAGCAGGGGTGCTCAATTCTGTTCCTGGAGATCTACCTTCCTGCAGATTTCAGTTTCAACCCATATCAAACAATTCAATTCAATTCAGCTTTATTTGTATAGCGCTTTTACAAAGTAGATTGTGTCAAAGCAGCTTCACATAAACGGTCATAGTAACTGGAACAGTGTAGTTCAGTTTTTAGTGTTTAAGTTCAGTTCAGTTCAGTTTAGCTCAGTTCAGTGTGATTTAATCATTACTGAGAGTTCAAACACTTAAGAGCACATTCATCGATGCGTAGCTCTACCAATCCTGAACCATGCGTGCCAGTGGCGACAGCGGAGAGGGAAAAAAAACTTCACCTGATGGGAGTGAAGAAAAAAAACCTAGAGAGAACCAGACTCAGTTGGGCACGACCATTTTAATTTCTCCGCTGGCCAAAAGTCTTGTGCAGAGCTTCAGTCACCGCGGTGGAGGCTGGAAGATGGCCTCAGCGAAGACTCGTCTGTCCCTGGAGCGTTGCTGGAATAAGACACATGTTCTCCACTCCCCATGACCATCAGCGCAGCAGCAGCTCAGGATATGGCCTGGTCCCGGATATGGAAACCTTGGGATCATCTCGTCGCTGGTCTTGGATCCAATCAGTGACTCCGCACACACCTGAACCAATTAATTAGGACCTGAACACCACTTGATAATTACAGGCAGGTGTGTTTGATATGGGTAGCAACTGAAATCTGCAGGAAGGTAGATCTCCAGGAACAGGATTGAGCACCCCTGGCATAGAGGAACGGGCAAAAATGACCAAAGACAGGTGTGCCAAGCTCGTGGCATCATATTCAAAAAGACTTGAGGCTGTAATTGCTGCCAAAGGTGCATCAACAAAGTATTGAGCAAAGGCTGTGAATACTGATGTACATGTGATTTTACAGCTTTTTTATTTTTAATAAATGTGCAACAATTTAAAAAAACTCTTTCACATTGTCATTATGGGGCATTGAGTGTAGAATTTTGAGGAAAAAACAGAATTTAGTCAATTTTTTAATAAGGCTGTAACATAAACAAATGTGGAAACAGTGAAGCGCTATGAATACTTTCCAGATGCACTGTATGCATCGTATCATATATTATATCACTCAGTTCTTATTGTGTTTTGTCAGGTATATTTATAATTTACTCCATATTTCATAACGTGAACCTCTTCTCTACATTGCTTGAAATGATAGTCATCTAACAAGGCATCTATTCGATTTATTCAATTATTTTGCACGTGTATTTCAGAGTAAATCACGCTGTGAGAGTATTAGAGATGTGATCTGAAGCAGCATGTGAGCTCATTAATATTCCTAAACTTTCCAAGTAATGTGAAAACGGATCTTTACAGTTTGACAGCCCTGTCTGAAAGGGACATTTCTGTCGTTATTTACTCATCATCCACTTGTTTAAAGTTTGTTATGTCTGTCGAACATGGAAAATGTTGCAAACTAGTAGCCACTGACCTCCATAGTATATTTTGTTTCAGCTATGGATATCAATATTTGCTAGTTTCCAACATTCTTTAAAGGGTCACGAAACACCAAAACACATTTTTTGAGCTGTTGACAGTCGTATATGTGTCCCACACTGCTAAAAACACTATTAGGACACCTATATTTCACTAAAAAGTGTAAACTGGTTGTTTTTGCGTTATTTCAAGCAAATTCATACTTCCGGTTTGAAACGAATTTTTGAAGCTGCGTCACGGTCATGACATAATAGCGTTGTATTCCAGCGTGCAGACTGGACGTCTGTGCCAGAGTGTGTCTTATTACGTCTTACAGTGTGATGCATTAATGCATGAGTAAGGCTTGGTTCAAACCAATCAGCGGGCTCTATTGTGCAACTTCATTAATATTCATTACTGTCACAGTGTTTAGACGACAGAGACGCCACGTTGTGTTGGCAAAACAAGCGTGAAGAGTTGCTTTTATAGTTTGCTGCAGTTAAGTTTTGTTTTAATTTTTTCTCTGTGAGAGCTCATCTGGAGTCACGCGTGGATTAACAGTGTACGCGATGCTCGACAACAATAACTTACGTGTCTAATAAGGAGGCACATTGTTTACCTGAGAGCTGTTCTCATCTGCAAACGCTGAGATCCGGATTCGCTTTAGTCTCCTCTTAATAAAGATTCGGCTCTAGTTGCTGGTGATTGTCCTGTCTCTACAGATTTGGTAAGTGAGCGACCAGCGCTCTTTGTTTATTCAGTTTGTTCGTATCGAACTAAGTTAACTATTGCACCGAGTGTAAACATGTTAGCACTACAACCAAACTTTAACCTCGTGTAGGGTTTTCACCATATTTTGTGACCGGAATAACACACGCGGCTTTCTGACGCTACCTGCCGTGTGCATCTGAGTTTCCAGGATATGCTGAGGTTTTTTTTCTCTCATTCGCCGTGCGGTATCAAACATTGCATGAAAAATACACGCTTAGAGCAGATCCTCGAATCAAATATCTCGTTTGTCGCGAGGGACATGAATGAATTCCCTGAATGAAAGAGCCAAACTGCAGTTAAAGTCCACCATTTAATAATTTGGCAAATAATTCGACTACAGATGTCCATGTAAACACAGTCACTTTTTCCCCTGTTTATGTGTGTGTGTGTGTGTGTTTTGACTCTGAAAGTCAGCGCGCCCAAATAGACACTCCCACACCATGCCTCTTTTCTTCCTCTGACACTCCCCCCTAAACAAAGCTGGACACGCCCACTTTTTTCTGACTTTTTCCAAAGTAGAGGTGTGAAAACACCCTGCTGAAACGAGGGGGTTTCATGGCCCTTTAAAAGATCTTCTTTGGAAAGAACTTCATGAAGGTTTGATGATGAGTAAGTTTTCTCTTTGGGTGAACTATCCCTTGATCTTTACATTCCAGTGGTAAATTACAGGGTTCTAAACGGACACGTAAAGCAGTTTCTGTAATCTGCAAAAGTAAAAGAGCTGCATATAAAGGTTAAGGTAATTGAAACATGCCTTTTGCACTTTTCTCCGGTGAGCATGTCCTCTTGCCGAGTGACTGGGTGAATGGACAGGGCAGAACTTTTGCTGGGGTGTACGTGTTCAATGGAGCCTTCTTTGTGGGCACAGCTGAGGGATAAAGCATGTAAAAGCAGAATAAATCAAATGTACCGTAAACTATAAACATCAGAGCATGTTGTTTTGACAGTACCTGGAGATGATGTAGATATGTCCAGTATTGAATCGTGGGATATGGCTATGGCGGAGAGAAAGTCGTCCACTTGTTTGAGAGACAGGGAATTATGAAGGGTCTCCAAGGGGCAGATTGAAGGAACCATGGAGTACAACTCAAAACCTTCAACGAAATGTACAAGATTAGAATCTGGAAAATGGCGAACAAACATCTTAAGCTAGAATTGTCATACATCATGACCTATGACTTGAGGTCTCGGACACATGGCAGAAATATGACGTTCCATTTCCTTTGAAAATGACAAGCAACGACACCGTCAAACGTGAGTTTGAGGTGGGCAAGATGGAGGCAGATGAGTCACACAAAGAACAGCTCACAATACCTTCAATCTACCAAAAACGTCACTTGGCCAAGATGGTTTCATGGAGCGAAAATGATAATCGACCTACCTTGAACATATAATAGCTCTATTTACTCAGATGAAACCAGTGGAACAACATGATTATGATTGGATTTGTTCACATCATGCAGTTTGGCACAGGATGCCTGGTTAAAACCTTCATGTGTCCATTTATAAAAGCAATAAGCAATGAGAGTTCATCCATCAACTACAGTGATTAAACCACTGTAAGACACATTCTTTCATAGTTTACTGCTTTTATACAACAGCAAACAGTTGTACAATATAAATACAGTCATTAAATAAATATATATGTTATGTTTATTAACATACAAAAGTCAGGTAAAAGCAGTTAACTAGCCTGACCGTGGACTGTTTGTGGTCACCAGTTAATGTAAAAGTTTAGCACAGTCATATGCAATGGTCGGACATAAGTTTTATTGCATTTTACTGTATCTTCAAATGGGACTTAAACGATTGGAATGTAAAAAAAAAAAAAAAAGGGATCTAGCATTTTACACTTTCAAACCCTTTAGTGTGTAATGTTTGAACATGAAAAAGATCTGCCAAGTTAAAGAGTGTCACTCCAAAGTGAGTTACTGTCTATTATATTAAGCACAGTTTCTGAACTTCGTCCAACTCCTTCACTGTTCTCTTTTTAGCATGTACAAGCCGCAATACCCTGAATTGAAATAAAAATTATTGCTGTACAGTGGTGGCAGGTTTAGCTGTGTGTCTAAGACTAAGCCTAATACACTAACATATACATATTTCTTCCCTACCTGTTTATATTAGCTTGTTCATTTTTTTTTTATGCTTTTTGACATAAGTGCGAGAGTGAAGCGGGAGTGAAACGCGGGAAAAAAAGAGAAGCCGTCAAAACAGGAGCAAAATCTTTTTAGTAACCTGAATCATGAACAAACTGCCATGTTTACCTTCGTCTTTTGGATTATTACGAACTGGGAATGCCAAAATGACTCTCTAACAGAGCTTACATGTGCTGGGGAAGATTACAGACGCATAGGAGAGGTTTGCGCTGACTGTGGGCTATACTGCGTGTGTTTTTTAACTAAAATAAGTACTAAATGTTTGCTGTGTGTAATTGTTCTGTAACTAATAATAAATCGGAGACTGTGAGGGGCTGTATGTGTTCATATATGTTGCATTAATGTATTTATTTTATATAATTACAGACGTTACAGTAGCCTATTTCGCAATGTCATTGATCTGCAGTTATAATCAAATCATGTTCATAGAAAAGTTAGTAATAAACATTTATAAACAAGTATTTATGTGTATAAAGCATCTGTTTAGTGAGAAGTGCAGCTCATTATGATATGTGAACGACCCGTACAGCTTTACTGTAGACATTTATTCGAGCGAGCATGACCTTGACTTAAACTTTGTCATACACCATGCCCACCAAAAGGGTACCCTTTGTGGTGGAAACGCAAGCCTGATAAAGGTGACCCGTACCAACCCAAGCCGTACCATACCAGTCAGTGGAAACGAGCCATTAATGTACCAGTTGACATATTAGAGAACTTCATTTAATCCTCACAGACTTTGTCTGTTCTCTCAGAAAGCTACTTATCTAGAGTTTAAACTGTGAAACTTTTAAGGCACAGTATGCAATTTTGCAGATTTTCTGCACAACTTCCTTCTCCACGAACCACCACCTTATCATGGTGGAGGGGTTTGAGTGCCTGAGTGATCCTAAGAGCTATGTTGTCAGGGGCGAATGCCCCTCGTAGAGTCTCCCAAGGCAAAAAGGTCTTAGGCAACAGGTCAGACAAAATGTGGTTCAGAAACCCTTTATGAGTAGACCCACACGGAATCTGCGCACGTAAAAATTGCGTAGATTTTCCACAGATTTCCGTAGATTTTTAGCCCATCATTAATTCTGTTTATTTACTCGAGTAAATGTGTGTAAATCTATATTTATTCAGTTTTTAAGTTAATTCTAGTGACTAATATGAAATTGATGAAATGATTTATGTACAATGCAGTTTGTACAGTAGTATTTTCTGTAAATAGATTTATTATATGAGAGACATGCTTTGTTTACCAAATAAAATGAATCTAATTGGATTTGCATTTTAAACATTAAATAAAAGTTTAAAAGATATAATTTTTTATTTCACATATTAAAGTTTCAGTTATGATACTCCCAAAATAATTAAGCAGAAATCTGCAGATTTTTACCAAAATTCTCTGCAGAAATGGCAAAAAACGTCAGCAGATTCCGTCTGGCCCTGCTTATGAGCAAAACAATATCAAGGATCATGACGTTGCCCAGTATGGCGCAGCTAGGGGCCCACCCTGGGGCCAGGCCTGGGGTTGGGGCTTGTATGAGAGTGCCTGGTGGACTGAACCCGGCCAGGCTAAGTGCAAAGGAGTGATGTGGGACCATCCTCCTGCAGGCCCACCACCCGCAGGGGGAGCCGTAGGGGGCCGGTGCATTGTGGAACAAGTGGTGGTCGAAGGTTAGGACCACAACAACCCAATCGTCAGCACATGGACGCCTACCTAGGGAGGTGTTCCAGGCATGTCCCACCAGGAAAAAGCCTCGGGGAAGGCCTAGGACACGCTGGATTATGTCTCTCAATTGGCCTGGGAATCCCCCTAGAGAAGCTGGAAGTATCTGGGGAGAGGGAAGTCTGGAGTTCTCTCCTAATGCTGCGTTAACACCAGATGCGGAAGAAGCGTCAAGCGCATGTGATTTACAGTACATGTTAAGTCAATGCAAAGACGCAAACAGACATCTTGCGGCACCATTTGCGCGAATGAAGCGGCGCGAGTTCAAAAATCTGAACTTCAGTGGACATTTCTGCCACTTAAACCAATTAGGAGCTTGCTTTTGTGGGGGCGTGATTATGACGTAGCGCCTGTTGTTGGTGTCCCGGGGGAAAATCCTGCTGCAAACACTGACAATAGTTTATCAAACTGGGCTCGGCTCAGTCAGAAGCACCACTAAAAGCCTCCATCATCCAGGTACAGTTTCTGGAGAAGATGATGAACTCATAGAGCTGTGTGCACCTCTGAAAGGATCTAGTGGACTCAGACACGGCTCCAAACAAATCGAAGCAGTTTATCAGCCTTCCTAAAGAACATAAACACAGCCATTCTCTCAATAAAATTTATAGAATAGCTAACATAAGCCCTGCCCATCATGCGAAACCTAAAATGCGCACGCGTCTATTTACGCGCAAATAGCGTAATTTATCCATGCTTGCTGTGTCTGGTGTAAACACAGAGACTGCTGCCCACGTGACCCAGTCCCAGGAAAAGCAAGCGAAAATGAAATTAAATGAAATTCAAGCTATATGTTTTAATATTGCAGCACACACATTTTAAAAAAAAGACTTATATTTAAACTTTTAAGCTTGTTTTTTTATAGTCAATGCATTCATACAAGGACCCTGACCTGCTTATGACAGTGTACAGAGCGTCAGATGATGGAATTACGCAAATCTGTTCCAAACCTAAAGAGATTCATGCTGAAAGTAAGACTGAAACTACTGGCGACATGCAGTTCAGAATCAGTACTTTCTTTTTTGGGGGGCAATAACCCAATTATCATACACTTTTAAAATGGTGCAGATCTTTCACATACACAAACGGTTATTTTACACACTACGTAAAAAATAATATGCACTTAACAGAGGAAGCACTGTAAGACGAGAGAATGAGGGAAGGAGTCAATCACAGAATAACAGAGAAAAAAAAAAATCAGGCAATTTTTAGATTAAGTTTAAAGATAAACCTAAAATAGAACTAAATGTCAGAACAACGGTTAATAAGAAATGTAAATAATAAACCAAAACTACAATGACTTTTTCCTTTTGTAAATGCAATGATTAAAGCAAACCATAAGATGCATATAGGTGATGCTATATTCGACTAATGCATGGGTTTCATCATTACAGGACTGATCCAAGTGGAAACTACAGGGTTGAAAATAGAGGACTAGATCTGAACTAGCTACAAAAGCTTGGGAAGCAGAGCCAAAATAAAACAACAAACACTAATTAGACAGGATAGAATGATTAGCACTTACCACTGAACAAACCGGATAACACTGACCCATTTAGAAAAGCAGATTAAAAGAAAACACAAACAATAAAAACGATATGCTAAAAATGGGCAATTTTTCTAAAAAAACAACAACACTTTAAATATTATTTATTAACGAAACACCACATTTAATCCAAAGGCATTTATTATCCTAAATACATGTGCTTAAGGGAATAGTTTACACAATTGTTTACTTGTCCACAGGTCATTTAAATCTTCTACTGAAGAAAAAAAACTGAACTACATCGTGGATGACCTCTGGGCAAGTAAATCAACAGGAAATTTTAATGTTCGGGTAATCTATCCCCTTAATATCCAAGGTTTGATATTTTATATATGACTCCGTTAGATTATAAAAGCTGATGAATATTAAACATCCTTCAAATAGGACAAAAAGCAACAAAATTGTATTCACCTGAAAACTCCCAACATATTGCATCAGTTTTGTAATAACTAAGTAGTAGCAAAAAAACAATAGGAACAGCAAAATATTCCAAACTTAAGGCTGATTTGTACTTCTGCATCAAGCACAAGCCGATGTTCCGGTGCAGCGTTCGCGTGGTCGCATATGCTTATTTCATGTAGCCGCCATTTTAAAACACGAAAGCGAGGCTGCGGTAGGAAGAAGCCCGGAAATATAGGATCAATTCAATTCAATTCAGCTTTATTTGTATAGCGCTTTTACAATGTAGATTGTGTCAAAGCAGCTTCACATAAATGGTCATAGTAACTGGAACAGTGTGGTTCAGTTTTTAGTGTTTAAGTTCAGTTCAGTTCAGTTTAGCTCAGTTCAGTGTGATTTAACCATTACTGAGAGTTCAAACACTGAAGAGCACATTCATCGATACGTAGCTCTACCAATCCTGAACCATGCATCATACATCAGCGATGTAGACATTGCTTCAACATGCTGTGGACTACAAACCTCAAGCTGTTGCCGCAATTTTAAAATGCAGATGTAGTGTAAACATCACTTTAATATCATTCAGTTCAGTTTAATTTAAACAATTAAAAGCATATTAGGCAACAAATAAAATCACTCTTCTAAAGAGTGTCCTCCTAGCCTTCAGTTCATGGCACTAGGTAAACACAGAGGGGATGCTTCCCTGCTTCAGCCTATGTAACCTGGTGAGCGATAAATCAATGTAGTCCTTTGTAGCACAACCTTGTGTTGTCTGTAATAGTGTTATCCCAGTACTGAAGTTTTAAAAATGTCCATTTCTCGCTAACATTTAAGCGCTGTTGAGTGTGTTCTAAAACATCACTGATTTGCCATAGTATTCACCAATGCTCAACAGAAATGACTGATTGCAGGGGCGTCCCCAAGCGCACCCCTGTGGCCACATTAATATGGTTGATATTAAATTATTTAAATGTGCTTGCGTACATTCACAATATTTCAATAAATAAATAAACAGCAGCCACTAAATTATTGTGAATTGATTGGTGCCACTGACGGAGCTGATTAACTGCCCCTCCTCTATTGACCTTATTCTAAAATGCGGAAGTGCGCCTGTTTTCGCGATTGTCTTAGAACTTCCGATTCAGTCGCCTATGGGAGAAATGACTAGGAATAATAAACGTCAGAAAATGGCCTAACTACTTGCTCTACAAACAAATGTTTGCATGACTACAGACCAAGTAGCATATTATAATAAGAAAATATTAAATTGCAACATCAAGCAGCATAACGAGCAGTTGTTAACGTCAAAAAATGAATGGAAGTGAATGTGACCGGAAGTCGCGAGACAAAAAGATTCAAATGGCAGCGCCCGCTCGACAGCTGAGAATAAGGTGAATATATATACAATAGAAGAAGCTGTATTTAAAAAAATGTGGCTCAAAAAGGAATATAGATAAATCATATTATTAGAGTCTGTAGTGAGTGTGTGTGTATATAGTATTGCCTTTTGTTCATTTGTCGATTTAAATAATTAATTAATCTTAACCTTATATATATATATATATATATATTTCCCAGGGCGAGGCAGTGGCGCAGTAGGTAGTGCTGTTGCCTCACAGCAAGTATGTCGGTGGTTCGAACCTCGGCTAAGTTGCCGTTTCTGTGTGGAGTTTGCATGTTATCCCTGCCTTCCCGTGGGTTTCCTCCGGGTGCTCTGGTTTCCCCCACAGTCCAAAGACATGCGGTACAGGTGAATTGGGTAGGCTAAATTGTGAATGTGTGTGTGTTTCCTAGAATTGGGTTGCGGCTGGAAGGACATCCGCTGCGTAAAAACTTGTTGGATAAGTTGGCGATGCATTCAGCTGTGGCTGTCTAAAGTGATTAAGCCGACAAGAAAATGAGTATATGAATATATATATGAAAAGTTTTTTTAACTAAATATAGACTTATTTAGTTTTTATATTTTCAATATTTATTGACTTTTTAGAAATTAAATGCAATTAAATTAATTAAATAATTAAATTAATTAAAACCACATTATTTAATTTACCAAAAACAAAATACTAAATTTATAAAAAATTTTGTGTGTGTTCCACCCCATGATCTGATGCGGCCTCTTCTGACCAAACCTAAAAAAAATTCTGGGGGCGCCACTATGTGATTAACTTGAGTTTGATAAATGGCATCAAAACCTTGTGTTTGGGAAAGAAAATGTAAGCTAACTAGTGCCATTTCCCTTAACTTAGTTGAAAATAAGGTTTGATATCCCTTTTTGTTTTCATTTTTGTCGCTTTCTCTTTGCTGATAAGATATACAGCCAGGTACACAACATACCTGTGTGACTTAGGCAATACTTCCGTGTTTCCTCTTACCGCAGCCTCGATTTAGCTCTTTAAATGGCAGCCGCGACAATGGCGCACACCTCTCAAATGTAACTACACGAAGTGTGGTGCAAACTCTTTGATTGGTCGGTTTGGTAGCTACGTGAACCTGTTGGATCGAGTGTTTACAAGTGTCGAGTCCCGTGAAGGAGCTCTAGATGGAAACTTCTGTTTTGTGTTTACCTTATGATTAAAGTTGTTGCACGTCTGCAAGTTCCCGCCTCTTAATTAGCGAGTTTAACTACTTTACATTAATTTAGCGTTCAGAAAAAACAGAACACAGAGGAACATAAAAACCTACTGCCAGCTAGCATTACAATAGTGTTATTGCAGACTAACACAAACAGCATGTTGAAGTATAAATGCACGACTATGCGCAAGGCATGCGCCGTTGGTCAGGACGATCGCTCGATGCAGAAGTATAAACCAACCTTCAGTTTTACCCATTAATGTAGATGATGGAACAAAATGTGCAGCAAATTTTGAAATGTTTGTAACGAGAAATCCATAGCTGCGTCCGAAATCGCATACTACAAGTACGTACTACGCTTTATTTTGAAAATACATCCTGACCGTTAGAAAAGTATGCACTATATAGTGTGAACGGAATTCATACATACTACAGCATCCACTTGTCATTATCACATGACCTACCTGCACCAGTTTCGGGATACTACTCATTCACATACTATATAGTAGGGAAGTATGCGATTTCAGACGCACTGCATGTAATCACCGTGCAACTTGCAGATAAAAAATATATATATATAAATGAGTACAACTATTCTTTGTCCTCTACTCTTAGTCACATTCTCTGTGCCCTACCCTGGCATTGATAGAGGAACTCTATATTTAGGTAGAATAAATGATAATAAATAAATTAAATGAATGGGTGGGGGAAAACTTGTACTAGGAATGAACAAAAGCAAACATACCATTGGTTGGGTGTCGCGCAAATGAGATAGAAAATCTTTTAACAGCAGAACCACGCGTGGCCTCTGAGAAAGAGAAAAACAGGTACCTGAAATGTATAACAGCTAACAGAAAGAGGGTTAAAGAAGGCTCAAGAAGGCAAGAGTCATGCAGGAAAAAGACGCAGAGGGAAAGCCAGGGAGTGCTTGTGTGTTTAGTGCTTTAGACAGCCGTAGGGATAGTGCTTACAAACAAAACAAGAATTAAATAAAACAAATCAAAATGAAACCTTTTCCTCCTTTTTAAGACAACACCCCATAATAACCCTACAATGCTTAATGGGGGAGAAAAACTGACTCAATAAAGCTTTAGTTTTCAATAGAGCTTTTAGTTTTCAATAACATAGAGCTGCTCTAGGCTTGTTTTTAGCAGCAGACGGAACTCTAGGCTAGTTTTTAACAGCAAACGGTGCTCTGGGTTAGTTTATAACACCAAATGCTGAGTTTTAGGCTACTTTTTATTAGCAGATGATGCTCTAGTTTTCAGCACCAGACAGCATTTTAGGCTAGTTTTTAACAGCAGACGGTGTTCTAGGTTAGTTTAAAACACCAGGCGGCGCTCTAGGCTAGTTTTTAATAGCAGATGGTGCTCTAGCCTAGTTTTTAACAGCAAACGGCACTCTAGGTTAGTTTAAAACACCAGGCGGCGCTCTAGGCTAGTTTTTAATAGCAGACGGTGCTCTAGCCTAGTTTTTAACAGCAAACGGCACTCTAGGTTAGTTTAAAACACCGGGCGGCGCTCTAGGCTAGTTTTTAACAGCAGACGGTGCTCTAGCCTAGTTTTTAACAGCAAACGGCGCTCTAGGTTAGTTTAAAACACCAGGCGGCACTCTAGGCTAGTTTTTAACAGCAAACGGCGCTCTAGGTTATTTTATAAAACCAGAAGGAGCTCTAGGCTAGTTTTTTAACAGCAAACACCATTCTAGGCTAGTTTTTTAACACCAGACGATGCTCTAGCCAAGTTTTTTAGCAGCAGACGGCGCTTTAGGCTACTTTTTAACAGCTGATGACACTCTAGGCTAAATTTTATCAGCAGAACTTGCTCTAGGCCAGTTTTTAGCAGCAGACGACCAGCTTTAGGCAAATTTTTTATTAGCAGATGGTTCTCCAGGCTTGTTTTTAAAAAGTAGAAAGTGCTCCAGCCTAGTTTTTAACAGCAGATAGTGCTCCAGGCCAGTTTTAACAGCAAACAACATTCTAGGCTACTTTTTAACAGCAGATGGTGCTCCAGGCTAGTTTTTAACAGCAAACAACACTGTAGGCTAGTTTTTTAACAGCAAATGGCGCTTTAGGCGAGTTTTTAGCAGCAGTCAGTGCACTTTTAGGCTAGTTTCTAACAGCAGATGGCGCTCTAGGCTAGTTTTCAACAGCAAACAACACTATAGGAAAGTTTTTAATAGCAGATGGTACTCTAGGCTTGATTTTAGCAGCAGACAGTGCGCTTTAGGCTAGTTTTTAACAGCAGATAATACTCTAGGCTAGTTTTTAGCAGCAGACAGTGCGCTTTAGGCTATTTTGCAGCAGATGCTGCTCTAGCCTAGTTTTAAGATGCAGACGGTACTTTAGCCTAGCTTTTAACAGCAGATGACACTCTAGGCTAGTTTTTAACAGCAGATGGTGCTATAGGCTAGTTTTTATCAGTAGAAGATACTGTAGATGCTTTACTTGACTGTGATTCAAAACTGTGCTAAAGATTGTCATGCTTAGGACTTAACCAGGTTTTTAGATTTTTATTTTAAGCTAAAGTACCTTTTTGTATCATTACCCCAAGTGTTTGTCAAGGAAGTCAAAATGATTCATTGCTTTTTTGTAAGAAATCCTTCCCTAACAAAATAAGAATGGACAGTCTAAAAGTCAAATTACTTGTATTTGTGTCATTACTTGTTATTGCTTGAGAGAATTATATATATATATATATATATATATATATATATATATATATATATATATATATATATATATGTGTGTGTGTGTGTGTGTGTGTATTAATCACTCAAGAAATCAATTTCACGTTGATTCAGAGACTTTTAAAATGCATCATTATTCCATTTCGATTTAATTGTGAGCTTATTTTTTAACAGCAGACGATGCTGTATTTAAACGGTCATACTGTGCTCACCTCCCAATTCTTTACTCACACCACTTGAATCTAAAATAATCTATTATAAAGTTAGGAAAGGTTGAAGCGAGATACAAGAGTGTTCATAGTTCATTTCTTGTCATAATAAACAACTTGCATAACTCAGCTGGATGCTAAAGAGCTTTTCCTCGTATTTCAGTATACGGTTAAAAACTTGCCTGGAGCGCCACCTGCTGTTAAAAACTATGATCAGAATCTATTAAATAGAGAAAAGCAATCATTTTTGAACATTTCAGAATCGATGTAATCTAATAACTTTCACCTAGTAGTTACTGTAGGAGGAGCTCCAGGTACGTTATGTTGCACAGTTCACATTGCAAATGTCTACATGTTTTGAATTTACTATACAACTCATTTTAGGATTCATTTTCATGGATCCAAGTGAACAAGGAAAAGTTTGACAATATTTTTATCTGCACGTCACTTTTCAAAAGAGAAAAAGAAAACTTACATGAGTTTTAGCACATCATAGTGATTTTAACATACAATTTTAACTATACTCTTCTTTCTATAATCAAATGAATAAGCTAATTAATCTAAACATAGACATATAAAAATATAATGCGATCTCTATAGAAAACCAAAACTGGTGATTCTGTCCCCTTTATGCATTTCTGTAAGGGTTATTGGGTCACATATTCTAATGTTACACTGACAACACCTTTGCTATGCTCTATCTATACAGACTTACAACAGCACTGCTGCTCCATGGACACATCTACGACTGATGCTCTCAATCTTACATTTCTAAAGAATCATTATTCAGGTACCAAAAATCTAAATAAAAATAAAAAATCTATCCTAAATTAAAAATAACACAAAATTACATCTATCAAGTGAGATTTACTCAAATCACTCAAACACATTCACATCATGCAGTCACAGACGCTACAATTATTGACTTATTAAGTTTTTGGCTGGACACATTAAGGAACCATTAACAGACAATAGATCACTGACATATTTCTCAAGATGATTTTCTTCTGCTTGTGAAAATTCACTGAAACACTAAAATATCTAGTGCCCAATCATTTATTTATGTGGCAAGTAGATATCTATTAAATTATATTAGACCGTTATAGCAAAATATACCTATAGACAATAGTATATGATCACTGAAAGTTAACAAAATATCCATACACACATCTATGATCAAAATTATATTCTTGGCTTACTCCAATTCACTATAGTAAGTCTACAATAAGTAACTAATAATAATAAATATGCTTTATCTTGTATACTCAGAAAAAAGGATTTGGATGATATGGTGCAGATGTGGGAGCTGGATATACACTAAAGCCAGAATACTCAATAGTGTAAATCTGATGAAAAAAAAATAAATAGAAACTATTTTGAATTGATCTTATCTTGCTTTAGGACAGGGCTATTCAATTGGCTGCAATTTGTTCCAGTGCTCCAAATAGTGTGACCAAGACATCAAAAATAAATTTTGTTCAGTCAAAAAACGGCAGCTATAGTTATGAAGTGACGTGCGCCTGTTCAATTCAGCATGAGCTGGAGTTGAAAGCTGCGCAGAGAGCGAGTCAAGTGACATTAAGGCCGTACTCACACTAGGGCCCCGTTTACACTAATGCGTTTTAGTTTGAAAACGCATAAGTTTTGCTACGGTTACGCCATCCGTCCACACTACGCCGGAGTTCTCGAGTGCCGAAAACGGAGCTGCTGCTCCGTCTCAGTGTGGATGATGGAAAACGGAGACATCTGAAAACGGAGGCGGGGCTGCAGACGTTCGCCTCTCTGATTGGGGCTTTTCCTGAATATTAAGTAGCCTAACACGCACAGTTCAGTTCTGCATCCTCTCCGTGTAAGTTCAGACTTCGCAAATTTGATCAAGGCTGCAGTTTCTTCTTCTCAGTTTGATATGGACAACAGACTATACCGAGGAAACGGGTAAATCTTCAAAGGGAACAGTGCACTTTATAGCTTCATTCACATCACACTGGCTTCGTTGTTTCACTTTCTCAACAATAAAATGTATACATGATTTAAGGAACTGCCTATTTTCATTTTAATATTAGCAACTTAGACAGCAGAAATGTTGAGGTGTCGTGCTGCATATATGAGCGTCATCTTCACTGTGTGGATATTTATAACAAAACGGAGCCGATAACAACTGCCTCCTTTCAATTTCAGTGAAAATACGGAACACACCCTCTCTTTGCTGAATATCAGTTTTAATAATCGATAATGGCCATTTTAAAAGTATAACATACAATAAGTTTATATATTATAGGAAATAAAGGCAAGCGATCAGTCAATATACAGAATGTACGTGCTTACATTAATCAATAACTTATCTTTGCTCTCAGCCAAAACACGTTACCTGAGAACAAGTAATAGATTCCAATGCCCAAAGTCAGGGAATATGTCGTTAGATAAAGACAACAAGATAAATGAAATATCCCGTTTAATAAATATAGTGATATTAGATCCAGCGGGAGATGCTTGATGAGAAGTCCGACTAGCACAGCTCTCATCTGGGTATATGGGCTGCAGCGCTTGCCCGAGAGTGTGAGTGTGGTCACGTGATGTGCGTTTTCAGCGTTTTGGTGTGGACGGAGAGCTGTTCAGAAACGCTGGGTAAAACGCGAGTGTGGACGCGGATCGTTTTTATTCTAAAACGCCGTTTTAAAACTAAAACGCACTAGTGTAAACGGGGCCTAGGTACAGTTACCTTGAACCGGGCCAAAGCACGCTTGTCCCCCCTTCCTGTCTCCCTCGACGACGGCCCGCACTCACACCACAAATGGACTTCGGCACGCTTACGTCATCGCTGCTGCGCTGTTCAGTGAGAAGCGCTCTCTCACTCAGCAGCACAGTGGAGATTTCTCTAGTTATATAGTTTCAGTCGTTTGATATGCAGTCAAATATTTCGCCAAACAGTCCTTAGGGATGCGGAGACACGTCTGCTGAAGGCGCGCAGCTGTCGTACAGTGAGGAGTTTGCGTCTTTAATCAACTACGGCAGTTTGCGTTCACTGAACAGTAAGAATGATTGTGTCATCATTTGTATTGCAAGTCAGATCTCTCCAGTCCCTCATTTGGGATGCTTTTCATGAACTGGCCCCCATGACAAGCTAACTGAATAGCCCTGCTTTAGGTCTTTAGTCTCGTTATTTTGGAGCATAAATAAGAGACTAATTACGATGACATAAAACTGCCTCATACGCTGCAAACTAAAGTGACTCAGTAAAACGGTTATATTTATTAAATGGAGCAAATTAGCATCAACACAAGTATTATAGTAATAACTGTTCATATTAAGCAGAAATTAAGATTCCATTCACAGCATGCTTTGCTTTAGACTAATGTTGTTTTATATTTTTAAATAAGATTAGATCTGTTAGTGTTTAATGTTACGTTATGTTGGGATTATTATTCTGGTCAATTCAAATTTGGAGGGTTACCATTGTGCTGAAAAGTCAAGTATTTAAGCCTATTACGATGAACCATGTGGCTTTATTTGAACAGACAATAGTCATTTAATGAGGTTTGTTCTTCTGTGCAAGCATGTTTGAGCTTCTGCAAGAATCAACTGGGGTTTGTTCACATCAAGCAAGTACGGCTGTGCTTTTGTTGACCACATCTACAGTAACATATGCAATGTTTATGTGTGGAAAATGCCTAAATTAACAACTTCAAATCCTCTAGGTGTCATTAAACATCTTTGCACACAGAGTACGAACTTTACTTGTGCGTTTTTCATTGTACATATTTCATATTGATAAATGTATTGTGGGAAACAAACAGGAAAATGTGAAAGGTGTGCGACGTGCCAAGCATTGAAACCAGCATGAGCTACAGCAGTGGTTCTCAACCATCTGCCAAAATCTGTCTTTATATTTCACATTTGTTTGTCATAAAGTGTTCTGTGCTGAAAGACATACAGTTGGAGGCAAAATTATTAGCCCCCCCTTGAACTATTAGCTCCCCTGTTTATTTTTTCCCCCAATTTCTGTTTAACAGAGAGCAGACTGTTTTATTTTATCTTTGCCATGATGACAGTAAATAATATTTGACTAGATATTTTTCAAGACACTTCTACACAGCTTAAAGTGACATTAAAAGGCTAGGTTAATTAGGTTAACTAGGCAGGTTAGAGTAATTAGGCAAGTTATTGTATAACGATGGTTTGTTCTGTTGACAATAAAAAAATAGCCTAAGGGGGCTAATAATTTTGTCCTCAAAATGGTGTTTAAAAAAATTAAAACTGCTTTTGTTCTAGCCAAAATAAAACAACTAAGACTTTCTCCAGAAAAAAAAATATTATCAGACATACTGTGAAAATTTCCTTGCTCTGTTAAACATCATTTGGGAGATAGAAAAAAAAAAGAAAAAAAATGCAAAGGGGGTTAAGTAGAGTAATAACTGTTAGTTAGTATATATACTAGATTTTGGCTTGCACTTGTACAGTTCTCTGGATTGTGAAAACACCTCCCACAATGCTTTCTAAGGATGTAAAAAGTGTGAATGATGCGATGTAAGGTCGTATTTATTGTAAGCTAAAATTTCAGACTCAGAATGCAATACACTTGACTAGAATTTTTCTTACATTTTCACTTTAAATTGATTTAATCTTGGTAAGTTAATGGTTTAACATTAACATGATGTTATATTTAGCTACGTAGCATATTTACATGTCTTAATATTAAGAACAAAAAACTAAACAAATGCTTGTTAGTTGTTCTTATTATCAGTGTAAAGAATGACTCAAATTAAATTGTAAACGTTAAATGTAAACACCGTAATAAAAAATGTAGGGAAAGCTGCAGTACAGGTGAGCTTCTTTTTATGAATACATGAGGCTGAAGTTCCAAACAGACTTTCATTCATCTTTGGATCGCAAAAAAATATTTGAAAGAAATCTGAGACATTTAAAAACTCAAACATTTAAGACTGCAAAATGTTCAGAACTACAATGCAACATCAATCCATGTAACTGCTGTGATTTAATCCCAATTTTATGAAGCGATGCAAATGCTTTTTGCCAAACATTGTCTAAATATCTTCACTTGCCCAAAGATATCTGACATGCTGTACACAAACTTTTTATAGTTCATCTGGGCTTTAATATGGTGTAAACATGTGCATTATTTTATCTTTGCCATGATGACATTAAATAATATTTCTTTAGATATTTTTCTAGACACTTCTGTGCAGCTTAAAGTGACATTTAAAGGCTTAACTAGGTTAATTAGGTTAACTAGGTAGGTTAGGGTAATTAGGCAAGTTATTGTATAACAATGGTTTGTTTTGTAGACTATTGAACAAAATAATTTTGTCCTTAAAATAGTTTTTAAAAAAATTAAAAACTGCTTTTATTCTAGCCAAAATAAAACAAATTAGACTTTCTCCAGAAGAAAAAATATCATTAGACTTACTTTGAAAATTTCCTTGCTCTGTTAAACAACATTTGGGAAATATTTAAAAAAGAAAAGAAAAAAGAAATCAGATTGTGTGTGTATGTATGTATATATATGGAAGTGATTTGGTCATACTCACTGTTTTGTATAATTGGAGCATTCTTATTTTTTATTAATTGGGATTAAACCAATGAAGCCAGACTGATTACTTTTCAATTTGGATGACCTTTGGATGAACAATGTTGTTTCAGTGGAATATCTACTTCTGTGCTAAAAGATGAACTAAAGTCTTATGGGCTCGAATCGACATTATATTGAGCAAATTATGGCAGAAATTGTATAGGTCTCCTTTACAGAGATTAAAAGTATCCTAATATGTCTCAAATTTCACTTACAGTGGTGAAAAAGTAAGGACACCCTATTGAATTTCATAATTTTCCATATTTCTGAGTGTATACGCAGTACAGTACATCATAATATTAAAATGTTTCACAAACTGGTCATCACATACAAGTATGCATGTGATAGCAACAACCAGACGAAACAACCCATGATTGCTAAATAAGAAATTCAATACAAAAATGTATATTAAAAAAAACTAAAAGTTGAAGAAAGAAATGCACAAAATGAAAATACAGTTCATTTTTTAAAGTCCAGCAGTCTTTGACTAAATTTGCTTCTTTATGTAGGTCATATTTAATCCCAAATAGACAAAGGCATTTTTTTATTTTGATTTCTTTAATTTCAAAGAGAGAAATTGACATTTGTTGGTTTTTATTATTAAGTGCTGTATTATTTGGTTACTTGAGCAGCAATACATAACACTTTAAAACAAAGTTTATTTTAAATAAAGGAATTTTGTGTGATTTTATAAACTAATAGGGCTCTATTTTAACGGTCTAGGCACAAAGCCCAAAGCGCAGGGTGCAAAAGCATTAAGGGCGCATCCGAATCCACTTTTGCTATTTTAAGGATGAAAAAATACGCTCAGCGCCGAGGCGCATGGTCTAACAGGGTTGAGCTTATTCTATTAATGAGTTATGGGTGTGTTTTGAGAATAAACCAATTAGAGTCTCATCTCCCATTACCTTTGGGAGTCAGTTGCATCGCGCCATGGCTATTAGCCATTTACATGGCGAACTTAGTAAGTGGATAAACTGAACGCTTTACTAGTGAAAAAAAACAGTTAAACGGAGCATCTGCAGCACAAGGATAAAGAATGAGCCTCCTCCAATCGCCTTTTACTTTCACTTTCTCTCTTTTGTGGATAAGGAAACGCTGACATAATTTGGTTTGTTAAGCGCAAAGATTTGTATCAAACTATTTCTAAAGTCAGTTCTTATTTCCAGCAAACGAATAAATGAATAATAATAACAAAGTGTGGTCAAACAGATGAGTTATATCCAAATACACATGATATGCTCCATATGGTCCAAAACCTGACAGGTGGACAAATCTAAACTTGTTTTTTTTTTTTTTATATATATATATATAAATATGCATATAATAAATACTACTACTAATAATAACATTAAAGAAAAGCAAATAGTTGTGAATAAACTTTTTTTTAAAAGCCCCTGGAGATGAAGAAGGCATGGAGGCAGTGGTTTTTATATTTATGTAAAAAGTAATAATTTTTGTGATATTTTAATCCTTTTTCATTTGGAAAGATATTTGTGTATTGCTCTACATCCTGCGTGTTTTCAGCAATGTTTAAGCAAGGTGCACAACCAACGCGCCAACAATGCGCCTTAACACACCTCTTTTCTAGACCGAAACACCCACGAGTCCACAAAGTACAGCAAATAGATTTGCTATTTAAATAACGTGGCGGAAGACGGGAAAATTAATGTTGCGTTGGTCTGAAATTAGCAATACGTTGCGGAAACATATCTTGCGTCTTATTGCGCCTGGTGTATGATAGAGCCCCATAGTGTTAAGGAATTAATGAATATATAATAATCTGATAACTGTGATAAACTTGAAATCGTGATTACTCCTCAAACTATAATCATTCCCACAAAATCTATAGCCATTTCATCTCAAGGCAAATACAGATCAGAGTCAAAAAATGGATTTGACCTGCCAAAGATACGATTTCATATGTCCTGATATGAAAAATTGGAATATCAAAGGGTGTCCCTTAACTTTTTTACTTACTGTACATTACATATTTCCTGCACAGGCATATGAGATCTAAAAAAGATTCTGGTATTAAGAGTAATTTCGATTTCACACCATAAATAAATCTATCAGTGCTGTTCATGAGTACCACAACAACGAAACAACAACAACAACAACAACAAATGGATGACTTCTTCCAATGCAACCAGTTTGAGAACAATCCGAGCTCCGGTAGCTTCACACAGAAAACATAAGACTCCAAGATTCCCTAGAGGTAGGGACGGGGATTCACCATTAGAAGGTGTGTGTGCGTGTTTGCACATACCATCTAAGAAGCCAGAGGAGGTCAGCTTTTTACGGTGTGCGTGAGCGTAATCTTGTAGGTTAGGTGCACTGGAGGAGCCGCCCAGCACCATGGTGCTAAACAAGCCAGCACAATGAGACCCTGATGGGAGTTAGAGAAGATACATACAGCAATCGGGTGTTCCAAGAGATACACCTCGCAATGCATGCAGCATGCATTTCGACAAGATTCTTGCCACAGAATGAGTAGTGCAGCCTCACTGAAAGCATCCCATAATGACAGTAATGTCTTTTGTAGGTGGAACCAAAGAATGAAATTTCGAAGAAAGACGATTTGAGCAGAAGACAAGAAATAACAAGCAATTACTGACTAAATGAAATGCTGATCCATCTACCATAGTAGTTTTAAGCACTGTAGCTGACTGTGATTATATCATATGTACCATACTCCAATCTACAAAAATCTTTGATTACACTTTATTTTAAGTCCCAATTCATGCTGTTAACAAAACATTAACTAAAAATGCTAATTAGCTAGTAAAGTGAGGGTTTAGGTTTTGGGTGGGATTAGGGAGGTAGAATGAAAACAATACTATATAACTACTATAAAATAGAGAATATTGTAATAATATGTACTATAGGTACGATGCTAGCAGTTAATAGTATGAATTGTGACAGACTAAAGTGTTACCAAATCTTCCTAAGACAGAATCTGAGAAATTTCATAGGAATAGATATACTTTGGTGTAGGGCTGCACAATATATTATTTTAGCATCGATATTGCAATGTGTGAATCTGCAATAGTCACATCACACAACATGCAAACGGTATAGATGAATATAATGGATCTATTGTGTGCTTTTTAAGACCTGTGACAGTCTAAGCATTTTAAAAATAAAGTTTAAAGCATTTTGGCATAGGGAATTATTACGGGGCAAAGCAGTGGTGCAGTAGGTAGTGCTGTTCGTAAAAATCCGCTGCGTAACAACGTGCTGGATAAGTTGGCGACTCATTCCGCTGTGGCAACCCCAGATTAATAAAGAGACTAAGCCGATAAGAAAATGAATGAAATGAATGAATTATTACGTTTTTAGCTTTAACAAAGATTAACTGTATTTAATTATTCATACAATGAAGACTAGACAGTTTTATTGTACATTTGATTATTTTATTTCTGAATCCTGTTAGACTCCTTCAGTTGTATATTCTCTCTAACTGCATTTATCCATGTTTGTAATTTGTTTATTGCTGTATATCCTATGCAGATACACTCTCCTACAAAATCATCAAACTAATCTAAAACTATGAATTCTTTCCAAACAGAAGCTATATAAAACATCACAATATAACAAATAAAATGTACGTTTTTCCAATATCGTGCAGCCCTATTAGTGTCATCTGGTTGAATAGTAGACTTAAAAATGATTAATCAGGAGTTGTCTATAGATTATTAGTGTATAGAGCACGGCTCATACAAAAGCTACCTTAAAACCAAGCAGCTTCCCATTGGTGAATGCAGAAATTTGAATTTATAAAAATCCAATCGCTGACACATTCCAGTTCAAATGAATTGGCTGAGCATCTTAAAGTTCTGTATCTGGTCATCATTTTGTCCTCACATCTTTTAAATTACCCAGTAGTACTTTTTTCTTAATTAAAGTGATTCAAATCATTCACCTCATCATACAAGTAAAGAATTAATAATACTTAAATTAGGGCTGTGCAATATTGAAAACAAATGCAATGCTAAAACAATGAGATAGTCTATGGGTGATAGGACAACCTTGAAAAATTGTTATAACTGACATACAGTTGAAATCAGAATAATTTTTATTATTTTTTTTTAATAATCTGGTTTCAAATTAACAATAATCTATATATGAAGAGTTCAGATGCAAAAAACTAAACGCCACCTGAAATTTTCCTGGTAACACTTTACAATAAGGTTGATTAGTTAATGCATTTACTAAAATGAACTAATCATGAACAACACTTGAACAGCATTTATTAATCATAATTGAACATTTACTAATGTATTATTAACATCCAACTCCATGCTTGTTAACATTAGTTACATGGCTTGACTGCTTGGTCTTTTTAATATTCAGCATGCATTAAATTATTCATGCAATCATTTTTCCTTCAGCTTAGTCCCATTATTTATCAGGGGTCGCCACAGCAGAATGAACCGCCAGCTTCATTCATTCATTTTCTTGTCGGCTTAGTCCCATTATTTATCAGGGGTCGCCACAGCAGAATGAACTGCCAGCTTATCCAGCATATGTTTTACACAGCGGATGCCCTTCCAGCTGCAACCCAGTATTGGGAAACACCCATAAACTTTCACATGCACACACTTATACACTACAGCCAATTTAGTTTATTCAATTCACCTATAGTGCATGTCTTTGGACTGTGGGGGAAACTGGAAACCCACGCCAACACAGAGAACATGCAAACTACACACAGAAATGCCAACTGGCCCAGCTGGGACTCAAACCAGCAACCTTCTTGCTGTGAGGAAACAATGCTAACCTCTGAGCCACCGTGTAGCCTTCAATTAAGTTATTTTTGCATTAAATCACTTATTTACTGCAAACCATTGCAATGTGTATATTGCCATAACTCAATAATTTGGATATATATCACACAACCCTAATCAAAACACTGTTTAATGTAAATCTTTGTACATCACATGACATCCGAAAGAATTTCAGGTCACCTGTCCTTCTATAAACCACAAAGTTGCCATTTAAAAGAGTATAAATGAATTAGAAATTGAAACACATGCTTGGAGATGTTTTGAATAGTTTGTTTGTCAATGTGTGATTATTGTTAACTGTTTTTTTGTTTGTTGTCTGTTAGACCTATGTGACATGTACAGTGCATCCGGAAAGTATTGATAGCGCTTTACTTTTTCCACATTTTTTTTATGTTACAGACTTATTCCAGAATGGATTAAATTCATTTATTTCCTCAACATTATACACACAATACCCCATAATGACCATGTGACAAAAAGAGTTTTTAAATTGTTGCCATTTTATTAAAAAGCAATTACAGCCTCAAGTCTTTTTGAATATTATGCCACAAGCTTGGCACACCTGTCTTTGGGAATTTTTCCTCTCTGCAGTACCTCTCAAGCTCTATCAAATTGGAAGAGAAGCAGCAGTGTACAGCCATTTTCAGATCTCTCCAGAGATCTTTAATAGGATTTAGGTCTGGGCTCTGGCTGGGCCACTCAAGGACATTCACAGAGTTGTTGTGAAGCCACTCCATTGATATTTTGGCGGTGTGCTTTGGATCATTGTCCTGCTGGAAGATGAACCGCCGCCCCAGTCTGAGGTCAAGAGCACTCTGAAGCAGGTCTTCATTCAGGATGTCTCTGTACATTGCTGCATTAATTTTTTCCTCTATCCTGACTAGTCGTCCAGTTCTTGCTGCTAAAAAACATCCCCACAGCATGATGCTGCCACCACTATGCTTCACTGTAGGGATGGTTTTAGCCTGGGGATGAGCGGTGCATGGTTTTCTCCAAAGGTAACGAACAGCATTCACTCTAAAGAGTTCAATTTTAGTCTCATCAGGCGAGAGAATTTTGTTTCTTATGGTCTGAGAGTCCTTCAGAAGCCCGTTGGCAAATTCCAGGCAGGGAGTGGCTTCCATCTGGCCACTCTATCATACAGGCCTGATTGGTGGATTGCTGCACAGATGGTTGTCCTTCTGTAAGGTTCTTCTCTCTCCACAGAAAAACGCTGGAGCTCAGACAGAGAGAACATCGGGTTATTGATCACCTCCCTGACTAAGGCCCTTCTCCCCCGATCACTCAGCTTAGATGGCCGGCCAGCTCTAGGAAGAGTTCTGGTGGTTCCAAACATCTTCCACTTACAGATAATGGAGGCCACTGTGCTTATTGGAACTTTCAGAGCAGCAGAAATTGTTCTGTAACCTTCCCCAGCCTTGTGTCTCGAGACAATCCTGTTTCTGAGGCCTACAGACAATTCATTTGTCTTCAAGCTTGGTTTGTGCTTTGCCATGCACCGTCAACCCTGGGACCTTATATAGACAGGTGTATGCCTTTTCAAATCATGTGCAATCAACTGAATTTACCACAGGTGAACTCCAATGAAGCTGCTGAAACATCTCAAGAATGATCAGTGGAAACAGAATGTACCTGAGCTCAATTTAGAGCTTCACAGCAAAAGCTGTGAATGCCAGTGTGCATGTGATTATTCAGCTTTTTATTTTTAATAAATTTGCAACTATTTCAAATAATCTTTTTTCACATTGTCATTATGGGGTATTATGTGTAGAATTTTGAGGAAATAAATTAATTCAATTCATTTTGGAATAAGGCTGTAACATAAAAAATGTTGACAAAGTGAAGCCCTATTAATATATTCCAAATGCACTGTACACTGCCTAATCTTGGCCAGGATGCTCTTGTAAAAGAGATGTTTAATCTCAGTGTTACTGGTAAAATAAAGGTTTTAAAAATACTACTACTAATAATAATAATAATAAACAGTTACCAAAACACATTATTTAAAGGTATATTTTCCCAACCATGTCCCTTTAAACACACAAAGGACATTACAAGCATTTATGAGAGTCAGCACTGTATTAGTCAGCTGTGTGGCAAAAATCTTAGAACACAGTGTGTTTCAGAGTAAAGCGCTCGCTAACAGAATTACAGGTTCAGTTCCAATTCAGACCTAAATTAATCGGCTGTTAAGTTTAAAGAATCAAGAGAGAGCAGCCACACCAACATCACACACAACAGAGATTAGAAATGGAACGGCAAACATTATTTGGACACTGAAAACCAGCACGGTATGTCAGAGTTCCTCCGTAATGAACATCCAAAAACATACACATATCAATGTATTATAAAATATCGGTGTTTGCTTTGTAATATTAAGATTGTGAGTGTGCTCTGTCATTCGTGAGTGTATATCTTACCTAATCCAGTGGTGAGCTTGTGATCCGCATGTAGTCGGCTGGGTCTGGCGTGGCTGTTGTTCTCTGACAAAACCTAAAAGCACAAAAAATAACTTCTCAACAATGACAACAAAAAGTCATCCTTCTTTGTTCAAGTAAGCCCTCTCCAGATAGACAGATGTTAATAAGCGGCATTGTAAATATGTGAGTTCACAGGTCTATACCAAAATAAAAGACCAGCAGGAAGAAACCGAAATGAATCATGCATAAACAAAGCATTTCCACACAGACTCCATTCCATAAACCAGAAAACAGGATGTGAGGTCAGGAATGCAGGAAGGTATGAGGACAAACATGGCAACAGTTTATAGTTAAACAAATTTAAATTTTAACCAAAACATCCATTTACATCCATTTAAAAACCCAACAGAGCAGGGAAACAAACACAGCCCGGTTATGTTTTGGTTTCATGCAAAACTAAAGAAAAAAAACCCAAATTCTGAGCTTTAATTTATTGAAAAAGAAGGTTATACTTGGCACAAGAAGAGGGTTATTGGAGTTTTTATGCAGTCCTTCAAATCTGAACAGGTTATGCCTGGATTAATACTGATTAGGTTTACAGATAATTGTTTTTGCAGATATTCATTCATTCATTTTCTTGTCGGCTTAGTCCCTTTATTAGTCCAGGGTCGCCACAGCGGAATGAACCGCCAACTTATCCAGCACATTTTTACGCAGCGGATGCCCTTCCAGCTGCAACCCATCTCTGGAAAACATCCACACACACAATAGCCGCGTTTCCACTATCGCGGCTAAAGCGAGCGAGCCAGGGCGAGTCAAGGCCAGTGGCGTTTCCACTGTCACTTCCGGGGCTTAATCGGGCCAAAGCGGGGCTTTCTTGAGGCCAGCGGCCTGCCTTTTTCGGCCCGCCGAATACCTTGGGCCAAGGAGGGCCAGCTGGGGCTTCTGGGCGGAGTGAAAGGAGAGGTGGGAAGTTTTTTGATCGCACATGATCTAGCCTTATAGTCTGGGGTCTTTTTGCGTTTGATCACCCTTATGTTTCCCTTTTAAATGTAAGGCTGCTGCATAAAATAATAAAGTAGTTTTAATTTATAGTGACGTTCTTTGCTGCGTCCTCGTTTATGTTTCAATAACGCATAATAATCTTTACACCATATTAAAGACACAGCAGACAGTAAAGGTTTTCGAGAGTTTTTGTCAAGTTTAAAATGTTTGTTTGTGCGCGTTTAGATGCCTGTATGTGTGTGTGAGACCGGACAAGAGCGCTTATTTATTTTGGAGATAATACACAATATAAATACAACAGAAAGATATAAAACTTAACAAATTACGTGCCCACTTTCGTAGACTTTAAACAATATAGTGTCATATCTTGATAAAATAGCCTAAGCTATATTGAAAATATAATTTAAAGAATTACAAATATCGGATATATATAAAATCGCATTAAATAAATAAACCAATATAAAATAAACAAAAAATATAAAATAAAATAAACAAAAGCTAGCTATATGTAGGTAGCCTATATACAAAACATAAATCAAACCATTTTAAAGCCACATATAGCCTAACTTTCACTTTACCAAGACCTATCTGAAAAAAAAAGATGTTCGATATTTTCTAAAAACAATTAACACCGGAGAAATTTTGTCTTCATTTTAATAGTTTCGTTTCGGGATGATTCTATGGTGTGCTTTATCTGCCTGTCCTCATTCCCGCTGAAGTGGGCGGGTTGTGTGACGTTTGATTCGGGGACGTTCTGTGGGCGGTGTTTGCGTGACGCGCTGTGAGCTACTAGCCCGACAGTGGAAACGCGACATGATTTCGGCCTCATTTCTCAACCTCCCGGGCTATTGGCCCGGCCAGGCCCGATTAAAGCCTTGGCTCGCACTGGCCCGATAGTGGAAATGCGGCTAATCACACAGACATACACTATGGACATTTTACCCTACCCAATTCACCTGTACCGCATGTCTTTGAACTGTGGGGGAAACCGGAGCACCCGGAGGAAACCCACGCGAACGCAGGGAGAACATGCAAACTTCACACAGAAACGCCAACTGAGCCGAGGATCGAACCAGCAACCCAGCGACCTTCTTGCTGTGAGGCTACAGCACTACCCACAGCGCCACTGCGTCGCCTGTAGATATTAACTTAATCTAAATGTTAATCTAAAATGTTTAAAAATTGCTTTGACATTCTTTTCTGTGTAGGTTTTTTGCAGAACTGAAGCGCAGTGTTGGGCAAGTTACTTCAAAAATAGTAATTAATTAGTAATTATATTATTAAACTTGTACAGTACTTCTTCGACAAAGTAATTTCTCAACATTACTGAAAGTCCCTTTTCAGTATTACTGTAAAAAGACCATTTTAACACATAGATAGTACAAATTTAAAGGACAAATACATGAAACATGAAAATATTTTAACGTAATGCCACCATATCTCATACATTCTATATACATTGGTGTGAAGAAGTATTTGTCCCTACCGATTTCTTATTTATTTTGCAAGTTTGTCACACTTTAATGTTTCAAATCAAACTAATTGAAATATTAGTCTAAGACAGTGGTTACCAAACTTTTTGCTGTGTGCACCCCTTTCTAATATTTGACACATGTCAAGCCCCCCTTTCTCTGATTAAGCTCATTTTGAACTTTTCTGTATACGCAATTAAAATTAATAAATGTTAACGACGAGCTTTTATGAAGTTGACAATTTTCACAGTGTCATTAAGAACAGACAAAAGCTCATCTGGCATGTTTTTCCATCGCTAGAGCTTCTCGGTGGATGCTGCAGTGTACCGAGGAAACCAATAAGTTAAGGCAACTCAAACCGTTTGAGGAAACCAATTGTGACAAACCATTTGAGGTAAAAAAAATAACTAATCTATAAAAACAATGTGAACTTAATCCATTTAAATTGAAGTAATGAGGTATTTAATTAACTTCAACACTTCGGTCAAAACTCTTTTTAAATGAGTAGAATTAACTTTTTGTAAATTTTGAGTTAACTACACTCATTTCATTTGATAAAGTTGACTGTTCTTATCAGTTCACCAAGGTTAACGCAACAATATGCCGTAGCACTCATTAACAAAGTGTTGTAAAATACTATTTATACAGTATAATACACTGTACTATAGTATTTACTATAAATAGCTATCCGCTTAAGTGTGACGTCACGCGAAGCAGCTTCCAAGTCCAAGCGCTCTATTCAATTGAATGGGGAAACTCGTGAAATGGTAATAATAAACGTTTACAAAGCGATGTAATACTTTCGAAAATCACAATCGCAATATATATAGTTGAAGTCGGAATTATTAGCCCCCTTTTTTTCTTATTTTTTAAAAATATTTCCCAAATGATGTTTAACAGAGCAAGGTAATTTTCACAGTATGTCTGATAATATTTTTTTCCTCTGGATAAAGTCTTATTTGTTTTATTTTGGCTAGAATAAAGGAATTTTGAATTTTTTTATTAACCATTTTAGGGACAAAATTATTAGCCCCTTTAAGCTATATTTTTTCTCGATAATCTACAGAACAAACCATCGTTATACAATAACTTGCCTAATTAACCTAACCTGCCTAATTAATTAACCTAGTTAATGCTTTAAATGTCACTTTAAGCTGCATAGAAGCGTCTTGAAAAATATCTAGTAAAATATTATTTACAGTCATCATGGCAACGATAAAATAAATCAGTTATTAGAGATGAGTTATTAAAATTATTATGTTTAGAAATGTGTTGAAAAAAATCTTCTCTCCGTTAAACAGAAATTGGGGGAAAAATAAACAAGCGGTCTAATAATTTAAGGGGGCAAATAATTCTGACTTCAACTGTATGTCCATGCCTAATATCCAATGGCCAGAAAGTGATTCATTTTTTTTTATAAATTGTTAAAATTTTGTTATTTGGAATGCAGCAAGCCCAGAGATTGTTGTGTACACTATGAATTTATCCAAAAACAACTTTAACGTGTGATATGAATAAAAAGTCATCATAAACGAATGATTTCTCAACTCAAATGAGTGGCGGCTTGGACCCGGAAACAGCATTACATACGTCACCAACACGTTACCACTTAACAATTTTTATTAGTTACTTTGTAACTAATTACACCCAACACTGCTGTAGTGTCTCTTTATTGGACAGCTATATGACGTTTCGTAAAGGTGTGTTAAGTACTTGACAAATGTTCCCACTTTGCTCTAATGTTGTGTAAATTGGCTAGACAACTGACATGTATCAACTTAATTAGGCAATAATTTCTTGCAAAAACAAAGACACAAGTGTAACTATAACACATTGGTTATAATTACTATAAACGTACAATGTTGATACGTACAATGGTTCATCACCCAAAATACATTGTTGATTTATACACTGACATACTTGCTTTGTACTGAACTGGACTTAAAAGAAAATGTACCCTTGGTTGAGGACAGTGACAAATGAATATTAAAAGCATCAAAGCAGAGGAGAAATAAAAACTGTGTCCTGGAAAAGATGAGTGACAGCAAATCCACCCTAAACATACATGATATGACACACATCCCAGAGCAGCCCAGAGGTCAAATCATTACTGGACACTGAAATGGAGCAGAACGCAAAGGACAGCTAATGGGACAGCAGATGAATGAAAAGAGTTGAAATTTGCCACACTAAACATGGATAAAGAAAGTAGACTGGTGCAGAGTGAACAAAATACTGAAGGCTAGTCGTGAGAGGTTTAGCTTTTGGGCTGAAGCAGCAGCAAATGCCAAAAGAAGCATTTTCACAAAATAAAGATCTACAAATTTGTATTTTCAACTACATGTTATAAAATTCAGGTTATATTCAATCTGTATCGATTAACAAGCATTAGTACACACAATTAAATGACAGACATTGTAAATATAACATTTAAAGTCAGCCTGAAATGGTATTTGCAAATCCTTTGACTGCCTTAAAATATTTCTAAAGGTAAGAACATGTATGCGAGAACAAGTCTATCAAGACGCGACTGAATATTGAGGGAAATCAAAAAGAATGAGATCTGAGTAGGGTTGACTGATTATTACACTGTTTTTGGACTTTTCTAACAGCTTGTAAATTTAAGTTCCCCGTGTGCTGCAGCAATGGCTGTCCACTGCGCCGAGTATGTTTACGGTGTGGTTGTGCGTCCTTGGATGAGTTGAATGCAGAGCACAAATTATGGGTCACGAGTATATATGCTGACTTTCCTATTCAAAAATGAAAGCTTGAGTGTTTTCCTTCTCATCCATTTGTTCCAAACATGAGTTTTATTCACCTGTTGAACACAGAGAAAGATATACTGAAGAATGTTAGTAAAAAACCCATTGACTTATAGTGTTCCTACTATGGGTGTCAATGGTTGCTTTTCTTTCAAACATTAATCAGAACATCTTGTTTAGTGTTAAACAAAAGAAAGAAACTCATAAAAGTTCAGAATATCTGAGTAAGAGTAAATGGGTTTGGGGCAAATTGTCCCTTTAATTGCAGTTATTTTTAAAACCCAACATTAAATGTCATTAACAAATGTAAAATGTAAAAAATGTACTAATTGGCCAGAATACAGTATTGATTTGAAAACCTAAAGTACACACATATTTTATGTGTATTATGGTTCACACAGCGTCCACACTCATTTTATGTTAATTAATATGAGACCATGCAGGTGACACTGTGGGGCGTGACAGAAATATGAGCAGTGTCCTGAGTCATAGCTGGGCACCATGGACAGCCGCAGACTTTAGGTGCTGGTGTACGTGCCCTGATACTATACTACTTCCATAAGGTGTATAAGGGATACTACACTTGTCTGAAACATTTTTTTATTATGTATATATTTTGTTAAGGTATGACCATATTTAGACAGGAAGCAAAGTTAGAGAGAGACGTGCGTCGATGTGCAAGTCGACAAAGCTAAAGTCTATACTGTATGATGATGATGATGTTACTTTGACTAAGCATGGCTATGACACAGAAAGGAGGGATAATGAGTCAAGGAGGTAGCTAAGGCTTCATAACAATAATTCTCGACCATGAGTCAGGTCTAAGACAACAGATAATTATATAAAACATATACTTTTTGTATTCTATAGAACTGTCATAATTAATATTCATGTAAAGAATATTAGAATATTACTCCAGTTGTGTCTTTACATTGTTTTTCAGTTACATTTAGGATTGATTTATGAGATTTATTTAGAATAATAGTTGTATAATAATAATAACGATAATAATACACACATTGTTGCATTTTTTGAAAATAAATATATTTAAATGTATTTATAATAATTATATAAAATGTATAAATTTAAAATATATATTTAAATATTTAAAATATATATCAAGTCAACCACATAGTGTCTTTATTTCTAGGAGGATGGGAAGGGGGTGTGTTTGAGATAGTTTCGCCCAGGGTGCCATTTAAACTAGAACCGCCACTGGATAGTAGTGTTTATCAGATACAATCAGGCTACAAAAAATTGTTTTGTATGCATGTACTTCTCTTGTAGACATAAAAACATTGTAAAGTTCGAGTTACTGTAAAGTGTTAACTATCTTACAATATCCTACAAACAATGCTAAAATTTTTGCCTGTGTGGCATTTTTTAAAACAGAATATTCATTTCAAGGTGACTTTAAACCATAACTATAAACATAAAGACCGGGTTTAGTCATTTAGTAATGATCGCAGTCAACTCAAGCTACATTAAACAAGTTAGTTAGAACAATAACACTGTTTATGCGGAACATAAAGAAAATGCATATCAAGATTGAGTGTAATGAAAACTAAAGATACTTAACTCAAGTTGAAAAGCTGATATTCCAGAACACAACCTGTGCATTACACATCAACAAAACATGACCAATGAGGGAATAGCGGATCTCTTTTAATTCATCTGCTCATTAGGTGTCCTTGCTGACTGCCACCAAGATCTTGAGTGTGAATGAACAATACGTTAGTGGTTGGTGTGAAGAATGAATTAAATTGGTAAAAACCTGTTGCCATGAGCCAAAAATACTGGATGTGAAAGCCAGTGATTTGGGGGAGACTGGGGAGGAAGTTATTTGGTCCCCTGATCTGCGTCTTCGACGCCCAGTACCAACACCACAGGTGTAATGAATCCAGGTACCTATAGAGTCAGGGCTAGACACACTCAGGGGGCTTTCTTCCTGGAAGTGAGACAGGGGGCAGAAACAGCACAGTCATGCAACGTTAAACAACAGTCCGGCTACGTGTCCACCAACATTCACTACGAAGGCCTTTTGCTCAAGAAAACACAAACAGCTATAGGTGCTCATACTTTGCCAGCTGGTGTCTTGATAAAGTCTTTCTGCAATGGGGACTAAAAAAAAGAAAACAAATAAGAGACGGTGGCAGTTTCCAAAAGAACACACATTTTTGGATGAGAATTATGGGTGACTGACATGCTTTTTGAGCCCACAATATTATATACACGAATACAAGGCTGTGAGCTTATTCTGCTTGACTGAAAAGTGAATGCTTGCAACAATACTGTGACTGTAATATGGCAAGATTATTAGCACATCACTGTACAATCAATATGACAAGCCATATAATGAGAATAGCATGAAAGTGAACATTTATATTTTTTTTTCCCATTTTTTGGGAAAAAAACTTGTTTGAAATGACGTGAGTGATTCAAGGTGAATAACAGAATTTGTATTTTCATTTTTGTTAATGCCTTTACATTTTGTCTGTATAGGCAATGGCATGTGCACTAATAATAATAAAGGCCCTGGAATACTTCAAACTATTTTTTTTTTCATCCTTCGTTTGATGGCAGAAACAAGTTTGAAAAGGCAGTGTGACGTATACCGTTTTCAAACCTTCGGACACATATACGCCCTATTTCAGGGATGAAGACTACTGCCCCTCAAAATGTAGCTCTAGTTAGCCTCAACACACTGACCAGGATGTTGCTAGCAGGCCTAGTAGAAGCTTGATTAGCTGGTTCAGGTGTGCGTTACTAGGGTTGTAATTTAAGTATGCAGGACATTGGCTCTCCTGGGGTCCATTCTTCGTACACGGATCACTCAATTAGCTGGATTTGGTTATTGACGATTTGACATGATCCAGGATTATTTTGTTCTTCAAACCTCATCCGAGGGTTGTTGTCACAGGAACAGTTCTGGTAGCTCAAACCTACTGGGGAGCAGGCTTAAACAGGATTAGACTGTCTTTTCAAGTAAAGGTAATACTAAAAGTATGTACCAAATGCTGATATTTTCTTGCAGTAGTAGTTATATACCTTTATTGGAAATAAGTAAATAGTTTTTTTTTTTATTGTATATATTCAAATTTATATATATATATATATATATATATATATATATATATATATATATATATATATATATATATATATATATATATATATATATATATATATATATATAACATATGCAAATATGTTATATATATAACATATGCAATCTGCACTCCGAAATTAAAGTGCAAAGACTGGGGTAGTTCTCCTTATTGGTTTCAAAGAGAACATTTATTAATATGGAGTTTTTAGACACAAACAGGTATTTTAAGGTACCGACCCAGCTTCAGTACAATTTATGTATATTAATAGATATACACAACAGTTTTTGTTTTTTTTTGTTTTTAAGGAATGCAGTCATGAACATGTTTTAACAGCTAATATGACGTTGATTTGATGCTTTGTAAAAGTTGCAGACACATTTACCGATCAAAATGCTTTTTTGATGCAAAATTCATTTAAACCGTTATTATTCCTTAGGCCGATTATGAAACCTAAATAGGCCTAGGCTACTATAATAAAGAACATACACTGTAAATGTAAAACTAAATAAATTGCTAAATACTCTTGACACATGAAAGAAAAAAGCCTGCAGTCCACAACAATGGTGGAAAGTTATTGCATATAATATTTACCAAACTTAAATTCCTCCGCATTTTAAATAATTTTGCTCACATGGATAATTGAATATTAAATCAGATGATGTCATTACGCTGCTGTGCCGTCAGCCAATCATTGCACTGCTGATCATGATTTCGTTGATCAATAGATCTGTCCTTCACAACGCACGCAGCAATCTCAGATCAGTTTCCAGACATTTTAATCTGATTCGCGAACTTGTTTTTTAGGCTTGCCACGATAGACGGTGTTGACGGTGATACCGGTTTTAAGACGCAAAACCGGTGACATCACTTTTCCACCGTGACACCGTCCCCACATGTTTTTTTAAGTATACGTTTTTTTATTAAACATTTATTTGAATTAAATGGAAAATATAATTATAAGTAATTGACTTAGGATGAGAGCATGCTCTATAATTAAAATCTGAACATAGCTACAATGGGTCATATTTTATTTATCAGAGGAAAAGAGGAGTCGTATTTACAGAAACAGGATAACGGACGATTTATTGTCAAAACGCAATGCAAAAGCGCCTGTTTGGCAATATTTTGGGTTCAAACCAAATGCAAAAGAGAACCTGAAGACGTTAATGAGGCAATCTGCAACCTTTGCCTGACAAAGGAGGCAGTATCTAGAGGAAACATAACTAATTTATACACGCACCTTCAGCGCACCTTTATGTTTAACTATGAGTGGGTCGCGGTCTGAAGAACCAAATTAGCCAAAGATGAGTTATCAAGATTAACAGATCCAGGATCTGCTAAATCATCTTAGATCATTTAAGCGAGGTACGAAGAGCGGACCTCAATACTGTAGTTCACTTTTCAGTTTTCAAAACAACTTACATAGCAAGAACTTAAACCTTTACCCAAAATGAAAAGCCTGAGCTTCTGTTTTAAATTCTTGTTATTGACAGACTCCATTCATAATTGGGATTCAGTGTTATTTTTAAATTTTGTCTAATTAGTATAAAATATATTCACATGTCTATAGATAGGCAAACAAACACTTTTCAGTCAATCAGAATCACACTCAGACCATGTGCAATGAAAGATGATAGAATAAATCATCTTGCTACTACTAAAGCCAAAGCTGAGATTATTTGGTTATTTAGTGCATTAATGCAGTATGAGATGGACATTAGGAGGAAAAGGGAGTTTTAGACACATACAGTCAAGGGAATTTCATTTGGGCTAAATTAAAAAATCTGTATCAAGAAAGCTATAGTTGCTTTAAGTTTGCGGAGTAAACCACATGGATATTACACTGCCAACTATAATGCAATACTCGCCACTGAAGTTGTTCAACAGAATAACGAACCTTGCAACCATTTTGAGCTTGGTTATGTACTTTAAAATAAATGTAACTGAAGAAAAACTACAGAAACAACCTGCTTGAGAAATGCAAAAGTCAATGGAAGGAAGCTGAAAATGAAAAGAAAGCTTTGGCACGGTCAATAAAAACTAAAGACATTTAAAAGCATATTCACATTAAAAGAGATTGAAATTGAAAACTGATGTTGAAACTGATGAAAACAGCAAGCATATTTTCACATCCATTCCTGATGTGAACGTCACAGCAATGGAAACACATTTACAAAAGAAAAAACGAAACAAGACAAATGATATGCAATGCATAAACCACAAGTTGAAGGATTTAAAACATTGAATTTGCTTCTTGTGATCTTAAAAACATTTTAATAAAAAAAAAAGATTCCGTTTTCTATACAAACATACAGTTGAAGTCAGAATCGCTAGTCCTCCTGTTCAATTGTGATTCAAATACATTTTCCCCCAATTTCTGTTTTACGTGAAGTGAAGATTTTTCAACACATTTCTAACCATAATATTTTTAATAGACAATTTCTAATAACTGATTTCTTTTATTTATATAAAGTTGAAGTCTGAATTATTAGCCCCCTTGTTTATTTTTTCCCCAATTTCTGTTTAATGGAGAGAAGATTTTGTTCAACACATTTCTAATCATAATAGTTTTAATAACTCATTTCTAATAACTGATTTATTTTCTTTGCCATGATGACAGTAAATAATATTTCACTAGATATTTTTAAAGACACTTCTATACAGCTTAAAGTGACATTTAAAGTCTTAACTAGGTTAATTAGGTTAACTAGGCAGGTTAGGGTAATTAGATAAGTTATTGTATAACCATGGTTTGTTCTGTAGACTATCAAAAATAGCTTACAGGGGCTAATAATTTTGTGCTTAAAATTGTTTTTAAAAAATTAAAAACTTCTTTTATTCTAGCCGAAATAAAACAAACAAGACTTTATCCAGAAGAAAAAATATTATCACACTACTGTGAAAATTCCTTGCTCTGTTCAACATCATTTGTAAAATATTTAAAATAGAAAAAAAAAAAAATCAAAGGGAGGCTAATAATTCTGACTTCAACTGTATTTTACTGGATATCAAGATACTAGTATTCAGCTTAAATACATTTTAAAGACGTTAAGTGAAGATTAATCTAGTAATTAGGAAAGTTCTTCCTAAAAAAAATCTGAAAACAAATTATTGCTTAAGGGGACTAATAATATTGGCCTTAAAATGTTCATAAATAAATGAAAACTAATTTTATTCTAAACAAAACAAAACAAATAAGACTTTTTTAGCAGAAAATATATTATAGGAAATACTGTGAAAAATGTAATTAATCTGTAAAATAGATTGTGTTTAAAGAAAGAATAAATATTGCTCAGGAGAGCTAAAACTTTGCCCTCAACTGTATCTAATGCCAGGATAAAAATATCTGAATTCCCACCCATGATATGATCATCTCATCTGTTCACATCACTTTACTGCATTAATTAACATAAACTAACAATTGACAAAACTTTTAAATATAATTTCTAAAATCGAACAGTTAAATAATTGTTATTTTAATGATTTACTATTAATTGGCTAATTAAGAATTTCCCAAAATTAACAAATAAACTGTAATTATAAAGGAATACCTGAATCTCTTAAAATATGTATTTATTCTTTCTTATATGACTATTCATAACATATTGGCAATCAAAAACGACAATGTCACCAACTTTCTTGCTGTAAATATAAAATGTAGGTTTTACAAACGTAGCAGGGCAACTTTTCTACATCATGTGGCATCGAAAAAATGATTTTATATATACAGTTGAAGTCAGAATTATTAGCCCCCATTTTAATTTTTTTTTGTTCTTTTTTAAATATTTCCCAAATGATGATTAACAGAGCAAGGACATATTCACAGTATGTCTGATAATAAAACAAACTGTCGTTAAACAATACAATAACTTGCCTAATTACCCTAACCAGCCTAGTTAACCTAGTTAACCTAATTAAGCCTTTAAATGACACTTTAAGCTGTATAGAAGTGTCTTGAAAAATATCTAGTCAAATATTATGTACTGTCATTATGGCGAAGATAAAATAAATCAGTTATTAGAGATTAGTTATTAAAACTATTCTGTTTAGAAATGTGTTGAAGAAATCTTCTCTCCGTTAAACAGAAATTGGGGGAAAAATAAACAGGGGCTAATAATTCAGACTTCAACTGTAGATGGAAGGGTATTCTTAATCCAATTTGCTTTATGCATAATAAAAGCATAAACAAAATGGGTCACACTTTACAATGAAGTTTCATTAGTTAATGTATTTACTAACATTATTGAGAACAGTACTTGTACAGTATTTATTAATACTGTTTGGGTATACTTTATCAGTATTAACAATGCATTTTTTGCATGTAAATTTATACTTGTAAAGATTAGTTAATGAACTGAGAGTTACCGAATTAGCAATGAACAGCTGTATTTTCATCAACTAATGCCGAGTTCAGACTGCATGATTTTAGCCCTGATTTTGACACGCCGACAGGTTTTAAGAAATCGCAGACAAATGCCTGAAATCACAGGAAAATCGGTGCTCGTGCACATGAGAAGCAGTCACACAGTATGAACTATCAAAGACGCGATCTGAGAGAATCGCTGATGCCTGTGAGATATTTGGTATGCTAAATATATCTGGAGCTGTTGGCGATTCAAATCATGAGTTCTGACTGAAAATAACATCTGCGATCACCAACAGCCAATGAGAGAGCAGCATTCACTAGTGTGTGTGTGTGTGTGTGTGTGTGTGTGTGTACCTGCAGGCCAGCGGGAGAAGTTAAAAGCGCTCATTTTCGGTTTATTTGGACTCAAGAAATGGAGGAAAAATTAGTGGAGGTTTGACAGAAGCACCGGTGTCTGTTTGACGTGTTATTCAGAAAGTTAAAAAAGAAAGTTGAGGAGAAATTGCTAACCCAGGTGAGCAAATATGCACATTTTCTACCCATTAAAGGCTTCTTTCTCGTTTAATAACAAAAGATATACTACGCGTTTTTGGGTGTGAGACGTAGTTTGGACAAAGTTGTCTGCGATTCTTCCTATTGTAAAGTCATGCGATGTGAGAGCCCCTGTCGCCAATTCATATTGCAGTGTAAACAAAGCAGTGACAAAACGTTAGCCCAGATAGTCATGCATAGGGTTGTAACGGTATGAATTTTTCACGGTATGATAATCGTCTAAAACAATACCACGGTTTGACGGTTTCGCGGTATACGGTATGTTACAAATGTTACAAAATAATAGAACAGTGAAGCAAATTTGACTTTTTCCATATAATATATTTTTAGTTACTATAAACAACACCACTTACAATGAACAAATAAAAATAAGAAAATAATAAATAATGTGTCAAAGTCCAAATAAAGTCCAAATAGACATGGTGCAAATCCTCAGTAAAAAATAGATATAAATATTTACTATACTATAAATAGTTACATAACGAAACTAGATTCAATATGGAACATCCTTAGGTTCTATGTGCCAGCATGGATTTGGATGTGGTTGTATGCAATGCAGACAAACAGCTGCATCTTCATTTGCGTCTTTTGAAAACAGCAAGAGCAGCAGTTCGTCTTTGCTGTGTCACTGTTTTGTCATGTTTCTGTGCTGCTGTGCATGCAAAAGTACTTAGTATGAGAATTATTTCATGCAAAACTTTTTTTTTTTGCGTTTTATTTAGCCGCGCATAAATGTATGCCTTTCTCTCATTCCGTGTTGTTCAAAAAGCTTGGTCCACAAACAAAAGCGAAACCTATGCTTATTGGTCGTGATATAGCGAGTTTGAACCAATCTGGGCATGGAGGAGGGACAATGCATCAATTTATCATGTCTGATTTGTCCGGAGACACAGTGACGAGCGTTTCTTTGTCAAATCAGCGTTGTCAAATGTTGATGACGTAACCGCACTGATTCCGGAGCCTCTGAAAGTCCGCGAATGTTATGTGATACAGCACTGGAAAGCTGAGATTCTCTTCTTTATGCCAATCTTTGAATTGTATGAATCGGATCAGCGGATCAAAAGTTATTAAACATTTAAGAGCAATACTTATTTTTAGCCGCGGGCGGCTGTCTCGGTCTTTAAGGGTTAAAACCGTTGATATGCAATTGTTCATGGTATGATAATCGTGCACGTTCAAATCGTGGTAAACCGTCATACCGGTATATTGTTACAACCCTAGTCATGCAGTGTGAAAACACCTGTGACACGACTACTTTCAAAATCATGCAGTCTTAACTCGGCCTAACCTTAACTAGCATGAACAATTATATTGTTTATTGTTTGCTCTTGTCAGTAAATACATTAACATTAACTAATACAACCTTATTGTAAAGTGTTACCGCAAAATGTCTATTTCAAAATATGGCTAAAAATAAACCTTCAATCATCATTCAGCATAACAGATATATACAACGTATGTAAAAAAAAAAAAAAAAAAAAAACATACTTATTTTGATCTTTATTATACAGAAAATATATAATATTCAAAATAATCACATTATAAAAATTATATAATATGTTTTAAATCATAAAATGGCAAGATTAAAGTGAAAGGTAAATATTTGTGGAGCATTTTTATATGCCATTATTTAATATGTTAGCAAATGAGTATTGTTCTAGAAGTTAAATATGCTTTGGTATTTAAAACTATTAGTTACACTGAATGATATTAGTGTGTATCTTCAGGAATCCATGTTAAAGTGTATGATATTTTACACTATGTATAAGAGATTCCAGCACTTTAATGTTTATAGACTTTTATTATGACATTATATTCTGTAATAACTTACTTCCACAGAGCCAATCTTTTTGGAGCGGGGAAGAGGGGACTTCCGGTGGATGTAGATGGGATCTGACACCATGGGCCGGAACATCATAAGGGCTCGATCGGGCTCGTCACGTTTAGCACCGCTTGCCTCCTCATCGCTGTCATTATTGGATTTCTTCTTGGGGCCTTCATTCTACAACATGAATAACAACTCAGAAATACTGCAAATAAAACCGCTTCAAAGAACATCAACAGCAACTTTCATTTCACACTTCTTCACAATTCCAAGCGGAGCAAAATTAGTAAACATGAAAAACTAAAAGTGACTTGCTCATCTGTCACTGCTAACCTCTCTGGATGCTGGTCGATATCCAAATCCAGATGGCAGGTTTTTGTCTTCTTCACAGCCTTTAGCTCCTGGACTGAAATGAAGCTCCACATGGAAACGATCCTCTGACGAAGGATCCTACAAATCCCAAAGCACTCATTAACACCTAAACCAGGTCACAAATCCTTATACATAATGCAAATATATTTTATTAAATATAAATTACATCTTATACAGCAGTATAATAAAATACACAGTACTCAGCAAAAATGAGCACACCCAATAATTTTTTTCTGAATTTCTCAGTGAATATAGGTAATATATTTTTGTACATTTGAACAAAACGTATTTATTAAACATATTTATTTATGAAAATAATATTTTTTAAATATTTAAATATTAAAATATATAATAATTTAATCACATTTAAATCCATGCTAAATATTTTTCAGAATTATATGTTTTTTATTTGTCTTGATATTTGCTCTTTTTTATTTTTATTCATTCATTCATTCATTTTCTTCTCGGCTTAGTTTCCTTTATTATTCCGGGGTCGCCCCAGCGGAATAAACCGCCAACTTATCCAGCAAGTTTTTACGCAGCAGATGCCCTTCCAGCCGCAACCCATCTCTGGGAAATTATTTTTATTTAACATAACTTTAATAGAATACAAATTTGGGCTACAAATTTTTGGACCATTATCGTAAGTTATTTTGTTCGATTTGGCTTTAGTACTAAATAATCTAATGTATATGCAGAAATATAATATTGTAAAGTACACCTTACAAAATATTCATATAATTGAGAGATTTGTGAGGGGTGTGCTCATATATATGGAGCAGCATCCTTTAAATACAGTTGAGAAGTTCCTTAGCGGTAATTTTTGGACTAAATTTACAGCATAACCAGGGCGCATTAAGGGGAGGACTGACTGAAATAAAATAAAAATAAATAAATAAATAATATATTGTTTTAAGTTTGATGATAATGGTTCTGAAATCAGTTCTACACTTTAGTAGTAATGGCAAAACAAATGTCTCCAACAGTGCCTATGGTGTACAACTCTTGAAAAGCTGATCAGGCCGTGAAACAGTCTGTTTTGTAGCCTGCTGGAAAGTGACAGATGGGTAGCGGAGCTGAACCACAGATACAGTTTATACTATCAGGTGCAAAAATAGTTTTCATTTTAATTGAATTTCACATTATGTTTTTATATTAGGACTGTCAAAATTAGCGTGTTAACGCACGTGATTAACTTAAGATATTTAACGTGTAAAAAAAAAAATAACGCAAACACCGCAGTTGCAGTTGCAGTTTTTATTTTTATTTTCTGTTGTGGACAACGTGTGTTCAGGGACAACGCGTGCATAGAGGCGACCTAGGCGGCCGCCTTGGGCAGAATAGTGAGCGAACCCCCCGTTCTTCACTTTCATCCGCTACACCCACCCCCTACCTCACGGTCCTCGCTTTTATCCGCGAACTGGTCACTTTTGGGTTGAGGGCGGCGTGATTGCCGTTTGCCTAAAGCGCCAGTTCAGCTTGCTCCGGCCCTGCGTGTGTTTAACATGCAAAGAAATTTGGATAAGACCAAGGATGCGCTTTTAGAAGGAAAGATTCAGTATATAACAATTAATGTCGCATCACCAGGCTATTCTGCATTTTCTCCAGAGTTTCATGCAATTTCGGGTGTTTCATTTTTAATCTTTAGACTTTAACTGCAGTTCAGCAGTTCACTCTCATTCAGCATATTTTCATTCAGAATTTTTTTATTGGAATTTGACACCTCATGGCGAACGGAAAGAAAAACCTCCGCATTTCGGGACTTGCATGATCCTTTAAGGTAATCAAAAAAAATTGCTGCTTACATGGTAGACTCCTAATCAGTATTATCTTAATCATAAAACGTGGAGTATTGGTGTCCATGTAAATGTACTCAGTGAAAATGGCAGATGATGTCACAAGCTGTCAAAGAATGCCTCTTCCTCTGCTTTTAAGCTGCTTCCATGTACCCTGACGTCACAAGTTTCACATGTTTTCCCCCTACACGCAACTTTTGTAAAGCGTCTGCTTCACGTTGCTGTGTCAGAATTTTTGCTTGTAAAATACAGCCATACTTAAAACGCTTAGTTTAAGCAAATTTGAAGAACGAGATCGTGTGTGTTGATGAATCTGAAGGGATCCCTCGCTCACCGGGTGCGCTTAACTGCGCGTGTTGAGTGTGTGTGTGTGTGTGTGTGTGGTCCACTTAGAATCCAACATGGAAATATTTGCATTGATTGTTTTGGAATTCAAATGGCCCTTACATGCCTGTGTTTTTATTTCTGTAATAAATATGGCGTTTCGTGATAAATCATTATTAATTACGATAATTACGTTTCGTGATTAATGTGCACACGATGCAGATAACTGAAGTTTGATTGCCATTTCAAAGTGTCGAAACGAAAACACTTAAACAGGATAACACGTTTTAACTAGGGTTGGGCATCTAAGCTATAATGCCGATCCGATACGCATCTCGATACAAAGAATACGATCCGATATATTAGCGATACATTTGTGACATATTGCGATGCAACACGATACGATTCACACCCATATCACGATATACGATGCGATATTTCAGCACTAACTAATTAGATCAAGTTTATGAGATGATGTGAAAGAGGATGCTGTGCCATTGAATGAGTTTGATTATTTATTAACCAAGCAAAACCAAGACTTTTTTACAAACTGGCTCTTCTCTCAGAGCCAGAGTGTCAGTTTACAGTAGAGGGGCATTTTAGAACATATAGCACACATTATTTAAGTATTTTCAAGATAAACAGAATGTATAAGTGCAATATATATTAAAAAATATATATATTTGCACTCTTTCAACATAAATAAATTTAGCATTGCACAACAAGAATTGTGATTTAACTTTTCAACTATGAAAACAAGTTTTACAAAGATATATTTTGCCACTGATTATTCAAAACTTAAGGTCGTGAACTAGCAGTGTTATGCTACGTTGAAACATCACTGTCACTGTAAACAACAGGCTAATAAAAATATAACAAACCAGCAATCTTCTTGCTGTAAGGTGGTCAAACTACCCACTGTGCCACCGTGACACCCAATTATTTTTATCATTATTATTATTAATATTATTATTATTAAATAAAAATTAACAGGAGGAGGTGTTTAAAACCTTCGTTCTCCGTGACACTAGGCTGAATATCTTTGCAGATGAACAATGCAATAGCATTCGTTATTGGCGTAGAGCGAGCAGAACTGTTGCGCATGGAAAAAAAAAACTTGCAATGCTTTTCTCACCACTTTTGGAGCTGGTTGAAGCAGTGCGAAAGCCGGGGATGCAGAAACACTAGAAGATGCTTTCACAACAACACCGTGGCGCCGCTTCAAGTGAGATATCAGATTAGTCGTACTGCCCGCGTATTTTACAGATGCGCGGCACATTTTGCAAATTGCATCTGTCCTGTCAGGTCGTCCATCCTTAAATCCATAATGTTGCTTGCCATACTTTAGATTTAAAACTCAGTGGGGAATAAAATGTTTGTTTTGCTTCTCGCGCTTTCTGAGGGCGCTCCACTAGCTTCATCCGCACACCTGATACACTGAGTTGTAGTGTGTGCACATCCGCAAATCCGTTGCTAAGGCTTACTTTATGTAGGTCGATTAAATTATGCGCCAAAAACAGGTTGACAACACTTGTTAATAAATAAAAAATACATTCTATATTAAAAATATAAGCTGTATCTCGGAAAAATCGATGCATCTCGCAAAAACCGATGCATCTCGATTTGCTTCCAAAATTTCATTCATCCTCTGCTGCTCAACCGATGCACTCGCATCGTGCACGCGCATGACCGCGTATCGATACATATCGGTTAATCTTCCCATCCCTAGTTTTAACATATTGTCTAACGAAACATACCGAAAAACTACCAGACGTGAATGAAGTGTCATGCGTGTGTTTTACATGTTAAGTCAATGCAAAGATGCGAACACACATCCTGCAACGCATTTCAAGCAAATGATGTGAATGAAGCGGCGCGAGTTGAGCGTTTTGCACATTTGACAAGTTTAAAGTGTGCATTGTGTGTTTCGCAAGATTCGCTTGAACTTCAGCGGATATTTGGCCACAATAACCAATTATAACCTTGCTCTTTTAGGGGCATGATTATAACGTAGTGCCTGTTGTTGGTGTCTCGAGAGTAAATCATTTTGCCGCCACCAAACAACAGTTCATCAAACTGGGCTCAGCTTAGTCTGAAGCACCGCTTAAAGCTTCCATCATCCAGGTACTTCTGGAGAAGTTGATGAACTAGTGGACAAGTGGATTCTAGTGGACACGGCGCCGAACGAATCTACTCTGTAGATGCATAGATTTGCTGTCAGCCTTCATAAAACATATTAAGCACAGCTACTATTTCAATAAAATGCATCTTAGCCATTTAGCAACAAAGCTAGAGTCACCAGGCGGACAGAAGCCCTGCCCATGACGCGAATCCACGTCTACTGTGAAGTGAATTTGACAAGCGAATGAAGTAAACCCAAAATCTTCACGCGTCTATTTACATGTGAATATCGCAATTTATTCACACGTCCCGCATCTGGAAAGCCACGGTCACACTAGTGTTTGAGCTTTCAGAAATCTGTTATATGGCAATGTGAAATGGGGCAGAATAAAACAAGATGACTAGACGCACTGAAAAAAAAACAATCCAAAGATGATTCATTGGATTTACAAATTATTTTTACGTTAAGTGGTTGCAAAAAATTTATTTGGGCTAAATTTATATACAAAAAAATTAAGTAGAACATACTAAATTCAACACATATAAATTGTTTTCAACCCCTTTGCAGAAAGCATTTTTTTCATTGCATCAAAAGTGAGTGATTGCTCCATATTTAAAATTTCTGTACAGAGAGGTCATATTTTGATCTTCTTTTGGTCTCACGCAATCACATGATTTAACTTTGCTAGTTAAAGTTTACCAAGCTTGAACTTTTTAACACAGCAACATGCAAAACTTGCAACACAAGCTTGCGTTTCAGGTCTGCCGCATTGGGGTGAAAAGTGCAGTGTGACCACGGCTTTACTCAGTACTACATGTGTGCTGACTAGGGATGTAACGTTATCAGAATTTCCCGGTACGATAATACCTCGGTATCAATGGCACGGTACGGTACTCATTGAATAATTTACAGGAAAAACAAAACTAATGAAGAGACTCGAAAAAAGTGCCAAAAGTGTTTATTTACCTTAGCACTGAACATATCAATGACATACAAATTAGCCATCTATATGTAAGCTTTGAAACAGGAACGTCAATTTTTCAATTTTAATAAAAAACTATAAAACCATATAAAAAAAAATAAAGTTTCAATTTAGTACTTTTGAAAACTCATCACATTCAACATTTTATCACTCACTCACTTAGAGATTTTAAGGAAATTTATCATATAACTATAATCTGGTAAAAGCCGGGATCTCTGGGCATGTCCCCTGTAACAGAAAAAAAACTCTCTCATTTGAAGGTTTCTGGGACAGAGAGATATGATTTAGCCAAGGTTGACCGCAGTGGATAACGTTGTGCATTGTCTTTCCACCACTTGAGAGGACAAGCCATAAGTGAGACAGAGGTCTCTTTGCGGTACAAGTCAATGTCTGTATCAATCTAACAAGAGAGCGGTGTTCTGCAGTCCCCATGACTGTTTTTAGTCGTATTCCTTGACTTATATTTCACCACAGTCTGGCAGTGCCTGCATACTGTTTTTTTCTTTGTCTGTCACCTTTTCTCCTTTTTCGTATCTTTTTAAAAAGAAACTGAAATGCTTCCACACATCCGATTTAAAACTCGCTTTAGATTCGATCATTTCCAGCTCTTTTTCTTCCCCGCTACTAGCAACACACTCCATTTCCGCATTACTGGATCTGTAGTGACAACAGACCGCAAAGGATGATGGCCACGCCTAGGCTGATGGGAATTGTAGTTCCCCCTACCTCCCGTTCGCTTCATTCGCCCAAGCAAACTTTTCTCAGAAATATAGTTTTATTGAGTCATGCGCCTACGGTAATATTGAAAAAAATTACTATTGCGGTATGACGGTATTTACAATATTGTTACATCCCTAGTGCTGACATTATGTTACCTTGTTTGGGTCTTCATACAGCATGATGACTATCTGTGTCATGTAGTTCAGCTCACTGACTATTTTCAGGTAGTCCATGGCTCTCTTCCACTGGTCATCTTTCGCCTCCTGAGGATACAGTGAAACAAATTCCTTATCATTTAGCAGAAAATAAAGACATAAAGCAAAATAAAACAACACTATATTAATGAAGGCATACATCACAGAGGGCTCCATAACGCAGTATAGAGAGCAGTGAGTGTACGTGACTTTCACTGGTGAAGTACAGTCTGGTCCGCACATGGCGTTCTGGAGACATCACTCCTCTGGAATATCTGTGCACAAAACAATCAGCCACATTCACTATTCATGTCCAATATTCACTCCAAAATTTAAGTGCAGGTCAAATGGGGTTTTGAATAATGTCTTATTTGCAGTTTATAACACAGCTGTCCTGAAATATAAAAAAGTTAAAAGTCGGTAATCAAAAAAGTGTGAGATAAATAAAGATAGTGTCTCTCAAAAGAAAGAGTCGACTACACATCTCCTTAACAAATCATTATATTTTTTGTAATATTTTACCTGCTAACTATTTATGTCAACATAATTTAATGAATACATTTGCATGATCCCGATTATCCATAAAATAAAAACATTTTTTTAAATGAGGTGTATATTCTAGGAAATAGAAGTTGACCAATCAGAGCATAGTTGGCTTATGGAAGGAGGGGTTTACAGACCTTTGGCTACATGCTTACAGCTGCCTGTTTGTTAGACCCAATTCCAACAAAATTACTGAACGAATTGCTACCTGTAGTAGGAGAACCTCTTCTTAACCCCATAAACTCTTCTCTATCTTTAGGCAATGCTCCAAATCCTTTCAAGCTACCTGTTAAGTCTATTATTAAGAAACCACAACTGGAACCCAGCAACTTAGCTAATTATATACCCATTTCAAATCTTCTACTTATGTCTAAAATACTAGTAAAAAGTTGTTTCTGCGCAACTATGCTCTTTTCTGCAGACAAACAAGGTTTTTGAAGTGTTTCAGTCAGGTTTCAGGCCACATCACAGTCCAGAATCCGCACTACTGAAAATAACCAACGATTTACTCTTAGCTGCTGATCAAGGGTGCATTTCGCTATTAGTTTTACTAAGTTTTATTCTAAGTTCTGCAAAGCTGCATTTGACACCATTGACCACAATATCCTCATAGACCGCTTAAATTCTACAGGTGTCCAGGGACAGGCTCTACAATGGTTTAAGTCATACTTAGCTGGCCGTTACCTGTTTGCGAATATTAATGAACAGCTTTCACAAGTCAGCCTAGTAAAGTATGAGGTGCCTCAAGGATTAGATTTAGGCCCTTTGCTGTTTACTTGCTAACTCTGGGAGACATTATTAGACATTATTAGAAAACACAGCAATTCACTGCTATGCAGATGATACTTAATTATATATTTCAACAAAACCTATTAATATTAATACATGTTAAAGACTGGATGACCAACAATTTTTTCTCTTAAATTCAGACAAACAGAATTAGTACTTATTAGGCCTAAATCCTGTACATAGCACATCTCACAACTTGAGCTGCAATTACAGGGATACAAAGTGAGCATTAGCTCTACAGTAAAAGATCTGGGTGTTTTATTAGACAACGACTTAACTTTTGAAAACCATATCTCCCGTGTCACAAAAACCGCATTCTTTCAATTGAGAAATATCACTAAGTTACGAAGTATGCTATCCATCTCAGATGAGGAAAGCTAGTTCATCCTTTTATGACTTCTAGGCTGGATTACTGTAATCCTCTGTTCGCTGGTTGTCCAGCATCATCTGACAAACTTCAGCTAGTAAAATATGCAGCAGCCAGAGTTCTTACCAGGTCTTGAAAATATGATTATATCACCACAAATTTATCCTCCTTACACTGGCTGCCGGTTAAGTTTCGTATTGATTATAAAATATTGCTTCTTATCTAATAAAGCTTTAAATAATCAGCTCCTGTTTATCTAACCAACCTTCTGTCTAGCTACAATCCAACCTGCTCTTTAATGTCTTAAAACTCAGGGCTTCTGGTAGTACCCAGACTAGGAAAATCTGCTAAAGGAGGTTAAGCCTTCTCATTTATGGCTCCTAAACTCTGGAACAGCCTTCCTGATAATTTCTGAGGCTCAGACACACTCTCTGAGTTCAAAACTAGATTAGAGACCTATCTTTTTAGAAACTAGATTAGAGACCTATCTTTTTAGAAACACATACACACAATGCTTCACATAGCGTTATGCATAAGTGTGCTCCACCCAGGTGAGAGGGCTTGAAAAAACCCCTGACACACTCCTCCTGTCTTAATGCACATTGCTATTATTTTTAACACCTTACAAACATGTTTTATCACACTTCTAGCAAGATTTTAAAACTGCCATTTTTTACCCTATTATTATATAGAGTTGCTACTGTAGCATGCAACACATTAACAACACATTGCTGTGGCTTTTTGGCACACCAGTAGCATATTTTAACACATTTAACAACACATTACTATTATGCTTCAATACTGCTAGCAAGAGTCTAACATTATAATATTTCTTTTTTATATTCAAACATTTTCGAATGTCGCTGTTGTGTTTTAGCATACTAATATGTTGCTAGTATGTTTTAACCCATTGCTACAACTTTTTGGCACACCAGTAGCATGTTTCTAACATCTATTCACGCACATGCAGATGAAGAGACAGGCAGACAAAATACAGACTTGCAATAAATTGTGCAAAACTTACACTGGGTGTAGTTTATTAACGGTGTCGTCATCTTGTGTCCTCTGTAGATCAGAGCGGATCTTGCGAATAAGAGGTGTACAGTAACCTTTGGCTATGTCCAGTTTTTCAGCTTGAGAAATACCATATTCCTGGCACAAAAACAGACCCAAAATGTTTTTAATACCATACAGTATAAATTTATACAAACTCCCATAATTAATTTTGCAGACTTTTACATAAAAGCAAATGAAGGAATTAGCGAAAGCAGGCACCTGTGGGATGACAATGTCAGCCAGTGCTTTGGATAATCTGTAAATTTCCATGGTGTTGTCGAGCTTTAGCGAGCTGTTGTGCTGAACATCATATTTGATGCAGTCATAAATATCAGGAATCTTGCTGATGTTGTACCGGCCGTTCTTCATCTTGAAATCCTTCTCCAGTTTCGACCATCGACGCAGCATCAGCTCAAGAGTCTCACTGTGATACAACTGGATGTCTGTTTCAAAAAAAAAATAAACATGGCACAAAATTAGATCTCTCCCACCCACAAACTCTCACTACAAAACACAAATGCCGCAATTTTTTAAAATCATGCATAGTAAATAGCAAACTGCAATTCAGAAATGTTATACGTTCACTATAGATTCACTTTACGTATTTTTTTATATTTCTTTGCACAACACTTCATTCACAGTAGTTTGTCAGTTCTAAATTGAAACTTGCTGATGACTAAAGTTCATAATTAAACAAAAGGTTTAATACAGGGGTGTCCAAACTTGGTCCTGGAGGGCCAATGGGTCCTGCAGAGTTTAGCTCCAACTTTCCTCAGCACACCTCCCTGAAAGTTAAAGTACACCTAGAAAGAGCTTGATTAGCTGGTTCCGGTGTGTTAAATTGGGGTTGGAGCTAAAATATGCAGGACACCGGCCCTCCAGGACCGAGTTTGGACACCCCTGGTTTAATATGTTTAAAAAAACATATGAACAGTTTAAGTCAAAATTATTAGCCACCCTGAATTATTAGCCCCGCTATTTATGTTTTTCTCCAATTTCTATTTAATAGAGAGAAAAATTTTTCAACACATTTCTAAACATAACAGTTTTAATAACTCATTTCTAACAACATTTATTTATACATTAGCATCTTATATTTAATTTAACTTTGCCATGATGCTTAACTAGGTTAATTAGTTTAACTAGGCAGGTTAGGGTAATTTGGCAAGTTATTGTGTAATGATGTTTTTTTTCTGTAGACTATCAGAAAAATATATAGTTTAAAGGGGCTAATAATTTGGTCCTGACAATGATTTATTAAAAAAAATTAAAACTGTGTTTATTCTAGCCAAAATAATACCAATAAGACTTTCTCCAGAAGAAAAAATATTATCAGACATACTTTGAAAATTTCTTTGGTTTGTTAAACATAATTTGTAAAATATTTAAAAAAGAAAACAAAACTTAAAGGGGGTTTAATAATACTGAATAATACTGAGCTGTATACAAATATACTATCTTACAAATATACCTGCTGATTTGGGCTCTTCCATTCTCTGACGAATCTGCAGCGTTAGGTTCTGAATGAGGGAGTACACTTTATCACAGGTCTTCACTGGGTTTTTAATCATCTGCATGGACTTCACCAGAGAAGTGCTGGAGGTGGGCGCCAGCTAGTGCAAAAATAAAACAACAAAAAACAATCTGTGAAAACTTTCAGGAGAAAATAAATTTTTTTTTTTAAATCAATTTGCTATTAAAAGTGCTCCAATGATGCCATTTTCAAAGGTTTGTAATCTATCCAATGTAAAAAAAAATTTTGCATGAGTGCTTACTTTGGAAGTGAATGTAAAGTGGAAAACAGTAGAAAAACATCATCTTGCCATAAGGTGATTTAGATTTTTTTTTTTTTAAGGTGATTTAGATTTTTCTTAAGAAAAACAGGAGTGTCCTATTTCATTGTCAATATCACAAAATCGACAACTTGGACAACAATTTACATATCTCCCGTGTCACAAAAACCGCATTCTTTCAATTGAGAGATATCGCTAAGTTACTAAGTATGCTATCCATCTCAGATGCAGGAACGCTAGTTCATGCTTTTATGACTTCTAGGCTGGATTACTGTAATGCTCTGTTCGCTGGTTGTCCAGCCTCCTCTTAATAAACTTCAGCTAGTACAAAACGCAGCAGCCAGAGTTCTTACCAGGTCTACAGAATATGATCATATCACCCCAATTCTATCCTCCTTACACTGGCTGCCTGTTAATTTCTGAATTGATTATAAAATATTGCTTCTTACCTATAAAGCTTTAAATAATTTAGCTCCTGTTTATCTTACCAACCTTCTATCTCGCTACAATCCAACCTGCTCTTTAATATCTCAAAACTCAGGGCTTCTGGTAGTACCCAGACTAGGAAAATCTGCTAAAGGAGGTTAAGCCTTCTCATTTATGGCTCCTAAACTCTGGAACAGCATTCCTGATAATATCCGAGGCTCAGACACACTCTCTCAGTTCAAAACTAGATTAAAGACCTATCTTTTTTAAAAATGCATACACTCAATGCATCACATAGCCTTATGCATAAGCGTGCTCCACCCAGGTGAATGGGCTTGACACACCACCTGACACACTTCTCCTGTCTTAATGCACATTGCTATTATTTTTAACACCTTACAAACATGTTTTATCACACTTCTAGCAAGATTTTAAAACTGCCATTTTTTCCGTTATTATCAAGTTGCTACTGTAGCATGCAACACATTAACAACACATTGTTAGCATATTTTAATTAAAATATTAATAATTATAATAATAAACACTTTTTGCATGAGTGCTCAAACCTTAGGAGTGAATGTAAAGTGAAAAACAGCAGAAAAACAGCATCTTGCCATTAGGAGATTTAGATTATTTTTCTTAAGAAAAACAAGAGAGCCCTATTTCACTGTCAATATCACACAATCATGCACCTTCAAAGAATGCACAGAACAACATTTGTTTTATTAAATCATAGACCACAAAACCAGAGGTTGACAATTTAGCTACCTAATCTTTGAGAAAGCATCTGCCACCTCTAATCTATTGAGCAACCTAGGGGTGGACTATTCATTGAAAAAAATCTGAAATGTTCAAACTTTAGTTTTTATGATTTCATGATTTCATTCATTCATTCATTTTCTTGTTGGCTTAGTCCCTTTATTAATCCAGGGTCGCCACAGCGGAATGAACCGCCAACTTATCCAGCAAGTTTTTACGCAGCGGATGCCCTTCCAGCCGCAACCCATCTCTGGGAAACATCCACACACACATTCACACACACACACACTCATACACTACGGACAATTTAGCCTACCCAATTCACCTGTACCGCATGTCTTTGGACTGTGGAGGAAACCGGAGCACCCGGAGGAAACTCACGCGAAGGCTGGGAGAACATGCAAACTCCACACAGAAATGCCAACTGAGCCGAGGTTCAAACCAGCGACCTTCTTGCTGTGAGGCGACAGCACTACCTATCATGATTTCAAACTGTCTTATTTAAAAATATATTCATTTACAACAGATACAAGTTTTGTTTTTTATTTTTCACATGATTATTTCAAATGTAATTTTTGTTTTTATATGGAAATATTTCGATCATTCTGATTGCAAAAAAAAAAAAAATGTTGTCTATTTATTTGATCATCTCATATATTTTTATTTAATGCCATGTTAGCAACTATGGCTATTTTTGTGGCAAAGGATTTCATTATTAAATATACAATAAAAAAAAAAATCACAAAAAAATTAGACACGATTTAAATCATCAATACATGATAAAAATTCTAAAAAGATTCTTAAAAAAGTTTTAGGACATTTTTATTTCTAGATGTTTTCATTTGAAGCAATGTGTGCTGTGCTTTCAGTCTGAAATGTTCAATAGTGTTCATTATCATAACGCTAACTATTACCCTCTTTCATTAGATAAAGATGCCCCACCTTTGACAGTTGAATAGATTTACAGTGCAATCTTCTAAGGAAGTATGATGTCATTTAGATAGATATGATTATTGTAAATAGTCTCTGACCTTCTCATAATCTTCCGCTGCGAAGTCTCTGTCCTTCTGCAGAATCTCATGAAGTCGTGCTTTGACTTTCTGCTGGCAGCTGCTTAAGGAGTCGCTGTCACTGTCCAGCAGGCCATTCATATTGGCACTTTTGACCATTTGCACCAGGATAGGCGTCAGCTCACCCTCTAATGCCAGCAGGCCCTGAGGAAACCACATACACTGTTATTCTGATGTCCAGTTGTTAATAGAAGAAAAAAAAAATACATGTTATGTGTCATAACAATCTGTAAAATGTCTAAATTAATTGATGAAATGTAAATATGTTTATACCTTAAAATACTATTTAAAATAAAGTTTTATTCTGCACACTCTCTCTAAACCCATGGTAAAAACTATAATTGTCGCGATACCATTAATTAATCTTACAAAGTTATACCAGCTAAAGTATCACGATATCAAGTAGTTTTGCAATACTGCAATTCATAACTCAAATTATAAAGAAAACTGTCAGAAATATTATATTTTACGTTATAATAGGCCTACTTAAATTTAATTCATAATTCCTATGAGGCCAAAAAGTATTATTTGCACCTCACGTGACCTAAAGTTTATTCATTCTTTTTGTTTACTTTGTAGATAACTGACCAACAACAATACATTAAAATAAAGATACAAATAATATCGAATGAATCTTGTAACAAAAGAGCATTTGTTCCAACAAAATTAGGCTATATGTTGCTATTTTGGGTCTTATAGGTAACCTTTACTTATTCCTTCATTTTCTTTTTAGCTTAGTCCCTTTATTAATCAGGGGTCGCCACAGTGGAATGAACCACCAACTGGAATACGCTTCCAGCCACAACCCAACCCTGGGAAACATCCATACACTCTTGCATTCACACCCACACATAAACTACAGCCAATTTAGCTTGAAACAGGAGCACCCGGAGGAAATCCATGCGAACACACGAATCCACGCGAATGCCAACTGATTTAGCATGGTCTCGAATCAGTGACCTTCTTGCTGTGAGGTGGCAGCGCTACCCACTGCGCCACCGTGTTATCAGGTACCAATCCAAAGTAATTAAAACTTTCACTTTGTGAGTTGTTCTCAAAAGAGATTGTCGCGGTTGTTGTAGCTACAAAAACATTTGAACAGGAACAGAAATGAAACGATTCAGATGTGTGTTCAAACTGAAGCGTTAGAAAAGGTACAATAGGCTACCATAAAAGAAGCAAATTCTACACAGTTTTGCAACCTTAAAGGGCTCTACACACTATTAAAATTAAATGGTTTATTGTTGCACAAATGTGTGAGCATTTTTGGGACTTTTCTACATGCAACATTATCAGATAAACCAGATAAACCATTAATAACGATGCTACCGTTTACAAACTTAAAAGCATCGCCAGTATTTTGGAGTCATATTATCGCGATACTATTATCAGTGGTCACCAAACTTGTTCCTGGAGGGCCGGTGTCCTGCAGATTTTAGCTCCAACCCTGATCAAACACACCTGAACAAGCTAATCAAGATCTTACTAGGTATACTTGAAACATCCAGGCAGGTGTGTTGAGGCAAGTTGGAGCTAAACCCTGCAGGGACACCGGCCCTCCAGGACCAGGATTGGTGACCCCTGCTATTATAGTCTTGGTAAACCGTGCAACCCTAGTAAAAACGAATAAAATAATAACATTATGGCCCAATTCTATTTTTGTATTCTGTCTTTAAGAAATCACTTAAGGCAAATATTTTATCATTACGATCTAATGTGGCAATAAGATGGTAACTATACTGTGCATTTACACAGTAATGTAAACACAAGCAAACAACATTAACATTATGGCAGACACTGTAAAAAGCCCATTCTCAGCCACTAGACTTTTCTGACAGGGTATTCGAGAGTCATCGAGTGTCAGAATGTTGTGGGACTGCTATACAGGAGTTATTATTAGGGATTATAGATAGCAAAATTTATCAGTTTTTATTTTAGCAGGTTTTTTTTTTACATTATAACATTATTTCTTTTTAAATGTCACAATTCACATTTTTTTACCCTCACAATTTGTTAAAAACTACTTGTTAAAATACTATTAAACTCACAATTGAAAAAAAAAAAATTTAATTAAACTAAATGTAAATTAAAATTGCAACGTATAATCGGGGACTTGAAAAAGAAAAAAAGCTAGAAGTCTGAGTTCTTTTAGTTTTTCCTTTCAATTACAATGCAAAGCAGACTTTTAACTCATCATTCTGAGTTTATCTTCAGCAAATCTGTGCTTATATCTTGCAGGTTACTTTTTTGTATTGCAATAAAACCAAAACAAATAAACTCAGAAATGGAGGGTATAAACTTGAAACTGTGATCAAGGCTTAAATCTCTTAACTTTTATTTTTTCCATCAATTCCAATTTTATTTTGTAGAATTCCGACTCTGAATTATGAATATATCTATTGCAATATTTTGTGATCACACAGTAGACATGGGCCGGTATAAGACTCTGACGGTATGATAACCTTGGAAAAAAAAAAACTGTTTTACGGTATCATGGAATTATGATCACTGTTCTAAAATACATTCTTTTTAAATGTCTGGGTTAAAAACAAAACCTTTTGCCCCTTTTGAACACAATATATTTCATTTTGAGAAACATTTAAAATATTGTGGAAGAGTAAACATGTCAGGCTAAATTAATTGACTTCTGATGTTTTCATTTGTTTCAAAAACAGATTTTTTTGCAATTTAAAAAGGCATCTTTGGATATATTTTTTGCTGAAGATACTTTTCTCCTAAAAAACAAAACCAAAAATATATAAAATTATAAATAAAAAAATAGTACTCATACCTTAAGAACATTATTGCAGAAAATTTTGACTGTTTTAAAACCTTGACGTTTTCAAACCACGGTATACCTTGAAAACGGTTATCGTCCGATGCACACAGTATCTTGAAGTTCTGACTTCTTTAATTTTGAGGAAAAGTCCAAATTGTAAGATAAATATTGCCTTTTTTTCTTGTCCTTTCATAAAAATAGTCCTAAATAACTTTATTCCAAAAAAACAATAAAGTTCTTGTCAAAAACCATTTTACAATTAAAATATTTTAATATATGGACAGCTAAAGTTTTAATAAATTACTTGATCTGAACATTTAATCATTTATTTCCAAGTGCCCATTGAAGAAAATAAAGGTGGTCATGCTATACTTTAGCAAATGCCGCAGCAGTCATCTGAACACGTCCTTCATCGGAGGCATATATCTTCAGGTCATGCCGATATGTGCTGTGCAGACGGAGAAGGCCACAGCCAGGAAAGCCAGCATAATCACCTAAAACAAAAACAAAAGATAATTCATTAGCAGTGGACACAAAAGGGACAATAAAGAGCACAGTGGGTGCAAAGTACCTTGACCTCCAGGATACATGCATCGAAAGGCCCGACCGAGTTCTTCAGCCTGAACTCTGCCAGCAGGAGTCAACTCTCCACCCCATTTCAACACCAGCAACAGGGACGGGTCATCCCTCCGCACATCTGAACAAACACACACAATCAATGACAAATTAACAACAAAATGTACTTTTTGGGAAATAGGCAGTTGAGTTCTGCATTTTTGCACCCATTCAAGCCATTTCCAGGTCTTGTGGGAGCACTTTTAGCTTAGCTTAGCATAAATCATTGAATCAGATTAGACCATTAGCATCTAAAATTACTAGTCCAACAGAAAAAGAAAAGTTGCTATCTGTTTTCTAGCACAAATGGCTAGGAACTTTACTGTCATTCTGGCATAACAATCAAAAAAACTATGCTGCTGTACCATGGCTGAAGTAGGCTCAATGATATTGCACAATGCTTTTATCAGATTACTTAGCTGGGGACTATTTTTTCATGTCCTGCATTATATAACTGTGCATACTACAGCAATGACAACATAAATAAAATATAATAAAATCAAACCATATATAATTGAAGTCAAAATTATTATCCCACCTAAATTGTTAGCCTGTTTACTTTTTCCTCAATTTCTGCTTAATGGAGAGAAGATTTTTTTTAACACACTTCTTAAACATAATACAGTGGGTCCCTCGCTTTAACGTGGTTCATTTTTAACAGCCTCGTAGTTTCACCAAATTTTTTCATATGATTTGACATGCTTTTTTTCTACAGCGCAATGTGTTCTGTTTAGATGAGTGCATTATGTTCTGGGTCCTGACTGGCTGTAGACCATTGTCAATCCATCTCCTCTGTGCCAAGTGTCCTGTACAGTACACAATGAGTTCAGCTTGCCAAATCTACATAAATCTTCTATTGCTAGGAGTATGATCTGAAGTGCTGTACTCTCCGATTGCAAGTTTTCTCCCCACAATGTTGACGAAACATTCTCCACCGTCAAAGGCACCTGCAGTAGCACCCAAAAGGCAGAGGAAGAGCTTACCATCGCACAAAAAGTTGAACTTCAGGACATGCTAAAGGAAGGTAAAAGTAACGTGGCTGTAGGGAGCCATTACAGAATAAATGAATGAAGATCAAATGGTTTTGATCTTTGGTTTCATTCTATAATATGTGAAAATGTTAATAGCCCCTTTAACACATACAACCTTTCCGGAAAATTACCGGCAATTTTCCGGAAAGGTTGTATGTGTGAACAGGCCCTTTTTGAAAATACCGGTAAATTCGTTCTGGCTATTTTCCGGAAAGAGAAGTTGTAACATTACCGGTAATTTGCCGGAATGCTGCGCTGTGTGAACGCAGAAGGAAGATGGCCAGAAAGAGTGCGTCCACGTCTAGAACGTGCTGACGTGAGACAACTGCTTTAGCCAATCAGAACAGTCAGACGCATTCCCGTGCGCGCGGTTTATGAGAATAAAAGCCTTTGAATATTTTTCCAGACACCTTTAGCTGCTAGATGTTAGTCAGATAACGTTTCTATGTTCCTTCTTAATGCTAACTGTGTAAATAATTATCGATAAAATGTTTATGATAATCCGTTGTTTGTTTACCTTCAAGCTTTGCGTGTGCCCGTGAGCACCCATAGCGCCAGCACACACACATATCATGAACATCTCGACATGCGAAAGTGTTCCTCTATTTGTTTTCATTGGAGTTGTACTCAATACTGATCCATCCAAAGAGTTTGTAATGTAGACAAATGTTTATAAACACAAGCGCAGCAGTTTAGAGCTCATTTCTGGTTAATGATGTCAGAATTTACCGGCATTTTGCGATGGATGTGTGAATGCTCTTTTCTGGAAAAATTCCGTAACGTCCTCGCCTGTGTGAACAGCGCTTTTTTGAATTTACCGGTAAAGTCGTTCCGGAAATTTTCCGGATATTTACCGGTATCACTATGTGAAAGGGGCTAATGTCTGTCTGAGAAAAGTGTATAAAGTGTGTAGTGAGGGGTTTAACATCTCTAATAATTGTAAAAAATAAAGCGGACTACTTTGCAGATTTCACCTGTTGCGGGTTATTTTTAGAACGTAACTTAGGGAATAACAAGGGACCACTGTAGTTTTAATAATTAATTTCTAATAGCTGATTTATTTCATCTTTGCCATGATGACAGTACATAATATTTTATTAGATATTTTAAAATACTAGTATTCAGCTTAAAGTGACATTTAAAGACTTCATTAGGATAATTAGGCAAGTTAGAGTATTAGGGAATTATGGAAGTCATTGTAAAACAGCGGTTTGTTCTGTAGACAATAAAAAAAAAAGCTTAAGGGGGCTAATAATATTGACCTTAAAAAAAATTATAATAAAAACTGATTTTATTGTAGCCGGAACAAAACAAATAAGACTTTCTCCAGAAGAAAACATATCAATATCTAAGATGACAGCTTAAAGAAGGGTCATGTTTATCAGAGCACATTATCTTCTTTGTTACTCGCAGAACACTTTGCTATTCTTGAAGGAATCAATCACCATTCCTCAACAGAACTCTGAATAAAAAAATAAAATAAAAAAATCAGAGGCAGAAAGCAACTGTTAGAGTGATTATAATGCTACTATCACTTTGGATGCTTACACCAGTGTTTCTAAACTTGGGCATGTGGCAGGTTATAACGAAAATCATGGAAAACATTTCCAAAATAATCAATGAAAAGCTAATTCCACTGTCTCAACTATAAGATGTAACAACAGAAGGAAATACTGTCAATATTTCCTAGCACTGTTCAACATAACTTATGAAAAATTCACAGGAAGGCTAATCATTTTGACTGTATGTAACAGATCGATAACAAAGATATGTGAAAGTCTATTATTACCTTCCTCTTCACTCGATGTTTTAGGACAACCATGTGGCAGATATGTTAACTGAACCTTGCGATTGATCCCAGAGAAATGACCATACCTGAACAAACAAAATGAGACTTGGCATTGAGACAGAAATAAAGTAGTATGCTTGAATATAACAGGGCCAAGCACAAGGTCATTAGCACTCTAACACTGGACTGTGTTTAGTATGCCTAGAAATTAAATTGGGATATACAGATTTAAACTGATACAGCACTGCATGCCAGTGTAATAAAACAATGCACACGAGAGCTTCTGACACTTGAAATTGTTCACAACAGCTCTGTGAAATCCTGGGTATATTGAACACTTGCCATTTCAAATGGCCTCAAAATACTTGTGATTAACAATTAATCATGGGTATTTAAACACTGATGTTTTACTCTGTACAGTTCTAAACTGTTTCTTAAGATCATTTGATAATTTTCAGTGTCGATTGGTTCAATTGATTTTCTAAGCTTTAAAAGCAGGATGTTAAAGGAGCAATAGGTAATTGTTTTCAGAAATGTTATGCTGGTAACAAACATTAAATAAAGTGGTCCAACTGTATTTATATGTAAGAAAAGTGTGTCCAATCAAAACAATCCATCCGAGCATTAAAATACTATAATACTGTTATAATATACATTATAGTATATAATATTACAACACTGTCCTACCTGCCTCTTAAAATATCTAATAGCATACCTCTGCGCAGCCTGTTTGTGTAGAAAGGTTTACAGTATGTCACTGGCACATTCATGGATGTGATTCAGACGGAAAATAGCAGGCAAACATCAACAACAATCAATCTCTTATTTAAAGTTTGATATTGTAATTACTACCTGTACCAAAACGTTTTCTCTCTGGTGAATGTTACTGATGTATTGTACTGATGTTTTCTAGTGCGCATTCATGCATTCAGGCGGCATGGCTTTGGAAGGCAATTTGCAGGGTGGGATGTAGGCTTTCAGTGCTATCAGGCTAACAGCATTTTCCAAGATCTCCTATTGGACCTTTAAAGATAATAACCTTGGGTTGTGGAAAGCTTTAATGCTGTGTTCACATCAGGCGCGGCAGAAGCATCAAGCGCGAGTGATTTATATGTTAAGTCAATGCAAACACACGAATAGACATCCTGAGACGCGAATTGGCTCAAATTGGTGCGAATGGCACAAATTTCGCGAATGGCGCTGCGTGAATTGAAACTGGGCTTGGCTCAGTCAGAAGCACCGCTGAAAGCCTCCATCATCCAGGTTAAGTTTCTGGAGGAGTTTATGAGCTCACAGAGCTGGTGCACCTCTGAAAGGATCTAGTGGACTCAAGACACGGCCCTAAACGTATCAACGTTGTTTTTCAGCCTTCATAACGCACATAAACACTGTTATTTTCTTAATAAAATCCATGTCAGCAATTTAGCAACAAAGTTAGAGTCACCAGACAGACAGAAGCCCAGCCTATCACGCAAATCCGTGTCTTTTCTGAAGTGAATTTGACGCGTAAATTAAGCGGATTTGACAGGCGAATAAAACAGGGTTTAACATGCAAATGAAGCGAGTAAACTCAAATGTTCACGCGGCTATTTACACGCGAATAGCGCGGTTTCAGAAGTTTTTTATTTATTTATTTTTTTTTATTCATTCTAAAGATCATCATTCTAAAGTTCTTTTCTGCAAAGCAGGTTTTAAAGTAACAAAAAACAATTAACTTTTACTAACATGATCTAGTCGAGGACGCTCTAACATTTGTGCTAAATTTGAGGGGTTTGGAAAACTATATATTTAATGACATTCAAAATGTCTGTCAAGCAACACTTTTTCAGACTTTATTATTTAATATGTTCTTTTGTCATTGTTCCTTTTACTTTAAACACCTCATTTTCTATTGCTATATTCAAGGAGAGACTCAGGTCTAAGTGTTCAAAAGCAAAACATTTTCTAAATTTGAATTTAAAGCAGAATAAAAACTAAACCTTTAATAATTTGAATTAAAGTTCCTCTAAGGGGTGAAACTATACGGGTAAAAATACTTGATCATCCATTTTAAAAAAATCAACCTGTATGAATTAGGAAGAGAAAACAATATAGAAGATCTGGTAGAAAAAAACTAGCATACATAAAAGGTTGCTTGGCCCCTAATAATAACATACTTACGAGACCAACTTACATTTCAAGGACTGTTTTGAGCTGTTCAAGCTTAGCTTTACTCTCCTCAATTTCAGAGTCATTATTTTGGCCAAGTTCTACCAACAGTTGCCTGGCGATGTCCAATACTTCCTATCAAATTCAACACAACAAACAAGTTTTGTTAGTTTTGTGAAACAACACTTTAGATATACATGCTAAATAGTTATTAGTAACAAAAACATTTTTTTTTTTTTTACTTGAAGTTGCTTTGGTTTCTTTAATTTCAGCTTTCCACTTTTGTAACCTTCACACTTTTCAAAGAGGTCAAAAAATCTGAAAGACATAACAGGAAATCGAGGATCCATATTACAGTGGATATTTAGCCTAACATAATGTGTTTTGTTTATATATAGATTGTATGCTAACCTTTATCAGGCAACGAACCATATATGATAAAATGTACCTCTGATGTCGAACCTCCATTTTCATCTTCTGTTTGGGCGTTCTGTCACCATGTCGAATCACAGCAATAACACACCTCAACTCCATCCTGAAAGCCACCATAATGCGTTTATAAACTCTTTTAGTGATCAAGTTTCAGTAACAAGAAATTTTGAATGGACGAAGCTAAATCATTCAGATTTCATGTAAAATATCTTAAATTGGGTTTTGAGGAGAACAAAACAGGCTTGGAACATCAGGAGTGTCTGTGTAAATATTGATTTTTTCATAATTTCATTTTCATTTCAAACATTTTTGGAAAACACAAACCAGAAGTTTACATACACTCTAAAAAAGGAACATAACCATTTAAAAAAATGTCTGATGGTAAATTATACTAAACATTTACTATTTTAGGTCTGTTAGGATTACCTAAATGATTCACATTTGCTAAATGCCAGAATAATGAGAGATTTTTTATTTATTTATTATTTATTTCTAGACAGTCAAAAGTTGACATACATTTCCTTGGTTTTTTTTTAGCTTTGCTTTTAAACTGTATAACTTTGGTCAGATATTTTGGGTATCCTTCCACAAGCTTTTCACAATAGTTTGCAGGAACAAGCACAAGCTTTTTCAACTCTGCCCACAAATTTTCTATAGGATTGAGATCAGGGCTTTGTGATGGCCACTTTAAAACATTCACTCTGTTGTCCTTAAAGCACATTTGAACTAATTTGGCAGTATGCTTAGGGTCATGGTCTGTTTGGAAGACCTATTTGTGGCCAAGTTTTAATGTCCTGGCTGATGTCTTGAGATGTTGCTTCAGTATTTCTACATAATGTTCTTTGTTCATGATGCCATCTATGCTGTGAAGGGGACCAGTCCCTCCTGCAGCAAAACAGCCCCACAGCATGATGCTGCCACCCTCATACTTCACAGTTGAGATGGTGTTACTAGGCTTGTAAGCATTCACCTTTGTTCTCCATATGCAACACTGGTCATTATGGCCAAACAGTTCAATCTTAGTTCCATCAAACCACAGGACATGTCTCCAAAATTTATTATTTTTCCCAGTGTAATTTAGCGAATTCTAATCTGCCTTTTTATTGATTCTGGCTTGTTGATTTTCCCATGTTGTCACACAAGGAAGCAGTGTGTTTGAGGTTTTCCATAAATACTATTCTACAGGTGTGCCTCCAATTACCTCCAATGTGGTCAATTAGCCAATCAGAAACTTCCAAAACCTTGACATCATCATCTGAGCTTTTTCAGAGGCAGAATAATCTTACTGTATGTAAACTTGACTTTCAAGAAAGGTTATAACAATTTTTCAAAAAATCTCTCTCATTATTCTGCTATTAAGCATAACAGAAACAAATGTGATAATCCTAACTTACCTAAAAGAGAAAAAATTGTCACATTAACATCTGACTTTTTTTTAAATGGTTATGTGCCTTTTTATACAGTGTATGTAATCTTCTGCTTTCAACTGTATTTATACTGTACAAGGAACAACTATCAGGATGGTTTATTTTGTATACAGACATTTGTATTGGATCTGACAGCAGCTGTATCAAATATGTAAGTTATTAATTTCATAATGCTTTGTCTGTGAACGATAGCTTGTGTGTAATAGCGAGGCAGCGCTGGTGCCGTTCTCTATGCAGTGATGCTAACCAAACAAAACACTAGCCATTTACTGAAAAACACCTGCCTCTGAAAATCAGGCCTTTTCACCAAGAGGGTAAGATATGTGAAAATAAATGTTTTTCTACATGTACAGTTGAAGTCAGAATTATTATTATATAATAATTATTATATTATATCATAAATAAATTATTAATATTTTCTTTATATAATATAAATAAATAATTATATTTATTATATATATATTTATTATATATATATATATATATATATATATATATATATATATATATATATATATATATATATATATAAATTATTTCATATATTTTTTAAAATATTTTTTTATATTTATTACGTATATTTAGATTTACAAATAAAGTCACTCTATCAGCCCCAATAATTTAAATGGTTTTTTTAATGCTGTTTGGACAATCACATCATAACAATTAATTATAACCTGTTTTACAAAACTTTTTCCCATAGATGTGTCATATCAATAAAAATGGGAGAATTTTAGCTTTAATTTGATATATGACACACAGACAGGATAAATATGGTTCAGATATGTTGCAGTTTTAAATATAAGCCTTTGCTTCACATTGGATTTTCTCAAAAAGACGATTTTCAGAATCATTAAGTAAATCTTGGACATGGCCTAACTTTGTCTATAATAAAAATATCAAACAATAAGTGAAGACTTTTATCTGTAAGGACATACATGGTTCCAGAGGTTGTGGGAACTATAGGAATGTCCTCGGCTTCTAAAGGAATAGACCACGGGATCTGGAACTGTGGAGCCAATTCTCTCATGATGATATTCCTGTTAAACAAAAAGATGATGTTATACACATTTCACTGTATAAACTAATGCCCATCTAAAAATCCAAAAAGCCTTCTTTATCATTAATGTCCATTGGGAAAGCAGCTGGTTTCAAAGCAACTACAGCAGCGTGTCTAAAAAGACTGAAGCATTTTTAAATCAAAAAAACAAAACAACTGATTATACAGTATCTGTGCGTCTAATCAATGAATGTTAGATGTGTAATTAATGAGGAAGGTTTAAATCAGGTGTAATAAATAGGAGTAAAAAATGAAAAACACTCTTCTACGAACGATTTCCACAACTGAGGTGCCCTTGAGCACAGCACATAATCCCCAGTAGCCCCCCTGACTGGCACCACAGTGAAAGGATGCTTGCTGCAGAGAGAGAGTGAATGTGAGTGTATCTTTATACCTGGGCCCAAACTGACTCAAACACAAAATGTGTAGCAATCTTTAAGGGTTATACTGAAGAAGCCATATTTATATATATGATGAATTTTAATAGTTTTCACCAATTTACAAATGACCATTTTTTTAATTCAATTATTTAATAATGTCTCAGATAATTATAATATTTAAGATAAAATTTAGTCTGGTTTTAGACTTCATCATACTACTGTGTCTGCATTGCTCAACATGGCTAATGACTTGCTTGATGAGGGGGTATTTTAAAGTTGCTTGATTTTAGTTCAGCATTATGATTCACTTGACCACACTACTGTCCTTATTTGTGTAATACAGGTGTGACCAACCCTGTTCCTGGAGATCGACCTTCCTGCAGATTTCAGTTGCTACCCATGTCAAAAACTAATTTTTACTTGAACTAGATAGCTTTTATAACGTCACATCGCCCCATCACATGTAGTTACGGGACTGTTATATTTATGCCATGACTAAATTGTATGTTGATAATTTAATGTGTTCTGTCTGTTAGTTAGGTGTTGTTAAGTTTCCTCTCTTTAATCTTCTCATTGATCTTGTACAGCACTTTGGTACACACTAGTGTTTTTAAATGTGCTTTATAAATAAATTGACTTGACTTGTATATCTTATAATAAAAAATAAATAAATAAATAACTTTTTTTTAAAGCATTTGCAACGCTCTGCTGTCTGACTAAAACTTACCCTTTACATTGAGTTTATATTAGTTAATGTTGGCTAATGTGTTTTCTAATGAGTTATGAATTTATTACAGTAGTTACTCGTCTTTGTTAACATTAATGAAAATAAATGCAATCATTGTTAACTCAGAATGCATTAATTAATGCTAACAAGCACAACTGGACATTAAAAATACACTATTAAATGTTAAGCAATGATTAATAAATGCTGTACAAGTATTCTTAGTTAAAGTTAGTAAATACACTACCCAACATTAACCAATGGAACCTTATTTGTAAACTGTGATGTATTTTCATTATTATATCTATAGCAAAATAAATCCAAATGCATTATGAGGAATCTTAATGACTAGAAGTAATTTACTGTGTGTATATATATGTATAACATACTGACCCCAGAATTTTTGCACAGTCATCATAGTACTTCATGGAGTTCTTGACAAAGCTGAAGCCATTTACGTCACAGACGTACGACTGGCCATTGGCACGAAGCAGGTCAAATCCACACACAGTTTGCTATAAATGAAAAATTGCCTTTAGTTTACTGTAATAATAATAATAATAACAACAATCAGATTGTTAATATTTACATTTTCAATGCAGGGGGAGATTCTAATTCCTGACCAAATTATAATGCATTTCTGGCTGTAATGAACGGAATCATGAGTTAATTACACTGTTTTCAGCATTATCGTTTACCTTAAAAGCCAAGCAGACTTTCCATGCGATGAGTTTCTCTCTGGCATTGAGGATGACTGGATACCGTACTTCTTTCCCCTCGCTGTCTCGTTCCACCTTCCCATCCAGCGCAGGGGATTTACGGGCCTCTGCATGTGCGTAGTCAGGACCTACAGTATACACCTGATGTCAACAAACACAAACAAAAGCATATTAAAGAGTGCTTATTTAATAAGCAATCAAGCAGTAGCTGTGCTTACATAGAACATCTATGCTGCATCTATCTATCTACCAAGAGGAGGCCTCAGGTAAGACCCAGGAACTCCTCGAGGGACTCGGCTGGCCTGGAAACGCCTTGGGATCCCCCCAGAGGAGCTGGAGGAAGTGTCTTGGGAGAGGGAAGTCTGTAGTTCTCTCCTAAGACTCCTGCCCCTGCTACACGGCCCCGGATAAGCGGATGAAAATGACATGACGTTTACGACCAAAATAATAGTGATTGTGATTTTTCCAATAATCGAGCAATCTCGATTCGACCATCTAGACCAGGGGTCTCAAACTCAATTTACCTGGGGGCCGCAGGAGGCAAAGTCTGGGTGAGGCTGGGCCGCATAAGGGATTTCACAAAAAAAAAGTCCTCAAATGTCATTATTAACAGTTTTAATTATTTCTTCTGAACATGAAGTGTCCTGAACATTAATAGAACATTGAGTGAAGATTATGAACAGTTCTTCTGAACATGGCATCTTTTGCCTACTTCTTGCTGCCAGAGACTTGACAGCGCTTCTTCTCACAAATCTGAACCACATTTGGCTTTAGAGCGGAAGCAGTTGAGACCCTCAGTATGGCTTGAAGATAATCATCATTAAGTCTAGACCTGTACTTTGACTTATTGAAGTCCTAGGGAAAAAAGTGGGGGAACTCACTCAAAACTTCAATTCCCTTACCTAAAAAAAAGGCGTATATATGTATAAATAAAACACCCCCACCCCACTCCAGTCACATAAGTCTGTATCTACCTATAATATCAATATATATAAGATGCAGGGCAGGCACGTACACACATAGGGCTCAACCTGTGCAGAGCACATGCCCTTTTTAGTCTTGCATAGAAAGTGCCCTTCCAAAATGATCAAAAGTGCCCCCGCGACGCGACACACCCTCGGTCCCGCCCTTCAGTAGGCGCGCGATAACACCGCTCTTGAGTACGCGCGTGACAACACAGCTGATCAGAACGCGCGCGACAACGCGCATTGAGTGACAAGCGCGCTGTGTACGGATAGAATCAGCGGAGCGGGGAGCGCTCTCTCTCTCCCCGCTCCGCTGATTCTGTCAGAGTACAGCGGTCGGCGCGGGCCACAAAATATTGCACTGAGGGCCGCAAATGGCCCGCGTGCCGCGAGTTTGAGACCCCTGATCTAGACGATCTTAATCCAGCATTTCTACGATTCTGTCAATCATATTTTCAAGTTCAGGAGAGAAGAAAAGGCGGCTGCACGAGTCTTTTCATTGTTTCACATACGTAGCTCAGTGACATTGACACCTCCAAATGATGTTGAATGAGTCACATACTGTATTTATAAGGTATAATTCCCCTAAAAATGTCATTTTTGTCTTCATATAATGATGTTTTCGCAGCCGGGAAATCACACGTGACGTGAGCTGTTATCACAAAGAGGGTGTGCGTCTACTTTAGTGAACAGAACCTGCATATGTTGCGAGTGACAGGTAATACAGTTGTAAATAATATTTAGTTTGTGGCACAGAGTGATCATTTGGGAGCCGCGCGAGAAGTATGAACAAGCACTTAGCAATCAGAATGAAACTGAAAGTGTGCACTTCATTTAAATGATCATATCGCATTTTAGAATTATGATTACGACAAGCATTTGATATGTTTTTTCTTTCAAAGCGAACCCACAGTTGTGCATGAAAATAAATGTTTACAATGTCACTACAACTACTCTAACCTATATATTGCTGAATATAATTTAATAATGGCAAATGTCTGATTTTACCGGTGAATAAATTTGTCTAATATGACAGATTGCAAGCATATATCTCAAACATGATAATTCAACATCAGAATTATCATAAGTAGAATAGAATTATTTATAGAAACCAGTAGACCTACACATAATATTATTATCGATGTTGTGCCATATGTTTGTTTTTACCATACCTTTATTTTGCATCTACAGAATCGTGAGAGAATCGTGATCTTTATTTTAAGCAAAAAAATCGCGATTCTCATTTTAGCCAGAATCGTGCAGCTCTAATACATTGGTGTGAAAAGTGTTTGCCCCCTTCCTGATTTCTTTATTTTCTTTGCATGTATGTCACCCTTTAAATGTTTCAGATAATTAAAAAAAAAATAATAGTCAAATATAGCACAAGCAAACATCAAACGACAGCCTCTGTTAAAGAAAATGCAGGCTGAGATACCTTCACATCCGTTCCATCAGTAGGCATGAACTCCTCATAAATGTAGGATCCAGTCTTTCTGACATTACTCTCAGGAGAATAGACACTACTTCTGCTGCCAATCTGAAACGGATCAAACGTGAACAGAAATGAGCCAAAACACCACAAGACAAATGGCCAAATTTTCAACAAAGCAAAAGTTTAGACAAGCCCTCAAAAGCTCAGAGAATGATTTGTGTGAGTGTGCTTTATGTAAACGTATTTTCCATTCACTAATACGTAGGGATGTAACAATATTGTAAATACCGTCATACCGCAATAGTAATTTTTTTCAATATTACCGTAGGCGCATGACTCAATAAAACTATATTTCTGAGAAAAGTTTGCTTGGGCGAATGAAGCGAACGGGAGGTAGCAGGAACTACAATTCCCATCAGCCTAGGCGTGGCCATCATCCTTTGCGGTCTGTTGTCACTACAGATCCAGTAATGCGGAAATGGAGTGTGTTGCTAGTAGCGGGGAAGAAAAAGAGCTTGAAATGATCGAATCTAAAGCGAGTTTTAAATCGGATGTGTGGAAGTATTTTGGTTTCTTTCTAATAAGATACGGTAAGCAGGCACTGCCAGACTGTGGTGAAATATAAGTCGGGGAATACGACTAAAAACAGTCATGGGGACTGCAGAACACAGCACACTGTTCAGATTGATGCAGACGTTGACTTAAACCGCAAAGAGACCTCTACCTCACTCATGGCTTGTCCTTTCAAGTGGTAGAAAGACAATGCACAGCGTTACCCACTGCGGTCAAATTGGCTAAATCATATCTCTCTGTCCCAGAAACCTCAGTTCCAAATGAGAGGGTTTTTTTCTGTTGCACGGGACATTGTAAATGCCCAGAGATCCCAGCTTTTACCAGATTATAGTTATATAATAATTTTTCTTAAAAAAAAAAAAACATCTCTATCTAAATGAGTGAGTGATTAAATGTTGAATGTGATGAGTTTTCAACAATACTAAATTGAAACTTTATTTTTTCTACATGGTTTAATAGTTTTTTTGTTATTAAAATTGAAAAATTGAAGTTCCTGTTTCAAAACTTACAGATAGATGGCTAATTTGTATGTCATTGATATGTTCAGTGCTAAGGTAAATAAGTACTTTTGGCACTTTTTTCGAGTCTTTTCATTAGTTTTGTTTTCCTGTAAATTACTCAATAAATACCGAGGTATTACCGTACCGTGAAATTCTGATACGGTTACATCCCAACTAATACAGCAACATGATGCTATTAACTGATGAAACTGAAAAAATTAATGAAATGAAAAAAACATAAGTGACAGTAAGCGACCAGTGTTGATATTAGTCATGCAATTATCAGCTCACATATACATTCACACGTATAACATTCATTTAAAAGCGCAACTGACATGGAGAGCCAACTTAAAGGAACAGTTCACCCAAAACTGAAAATTCTCTCATCATTCTCTCATCATCATTAGAATAAATGGATATGAACTCAATCAAATTTTTATATCAAAATATAAATTTGGCCAAAATCTTTACATAAACTTCTGAAAATTCCTTAAGAAACAACAATCACTAGCAAAAAAACAAGAACAAATGAATTTTCACATTTCCTGAATACTACTGATGGTTTGGAAGATGATGTCTAAATGAGCTGTGTTTCAAAGCTATAGACAGATCACCAGTGTCAATATTTATATTAGGACATTAAAATCTTTTTTTTAGAAAGATTGGAAGTTTTTGTCCTAATTTTCATTACTATTCTGTATCATTATACAGTGGCATAAAATGGTTTTAAAATGACAATAATATCATTTATTGCACTAAATTACGTGATATAAAATTGCTCAACAAGAATTGTTGGTACACTTTATAATAACTACACACTATAAATCATTTATTAAGCATTAGCAAATAGTCAATTCATTATCTGTTAAGCATTAACTCTACATTATTACGCGTTAGTAAGCAGTTTATAACTGCAGCTACAAATGCTGTGTTCTCTATTCTTGACTTACAAACATATTTAAAATGTGCTTAATAATTGTACTTTCATACTTAGTTAATGATTTATTTTTCATTACTAAATTAAGTATCGCATTATTTACAAACCATTTGTATTTAAGAGTAGTTGAGGGTTTTTAGGATCATTCAGTTTGAGTTAGTAAATGATTATTAAACTATTAAAATCATCGTTTATATATCTCATTATTCAGGCATTTATTAATAGTTTCATCCAGTTTTGTAACCTAATCTAAAGTGAGGACTATTTATGCTTTATAAATCCCTTATAAATGACAAATAAAGGCTCAGAATCAAATGAACAATAATCTTTGCAATCTTATCTTTAAACATTGCCAAATAACAGGAGTGTCAAAACACGACATGAAACTGGATAAAACAACAACAACGATATAATAATTGAACAATATAATAAGATGCAATGTTCAAACTCTACAGTGATTTTAGATGAGGTAGCAAAGATTTATTTTTCATATGAAGTACAGTTTCATTTGTGTGTTTTTAAACGAATAGTAATGAATAACGTCATTTTCCTGTTAAGAATTTAACTTAGCCTTTTTTTGTCATTTATTAGGGATTTATAAAGCATAAATAGTTCTCACTTTAGATTAGGTCACAAAACTGGATGTAACCATTAATATATGCCTGAATAATGAGATATATAAACGATGATTTTAATAGTTTATTAATCATTTACTAACTTAATCTGAATTATATTTTTTTGTGCTTTTTTTGCCATAATAAAAAATATATTTGTAGAGCTACTTATGTTCTGTTGTTATTAATATTTTAATAAACTTTAATATGTAAAACTGTCCGAGATAAGAACAAAAGCAAGTGATGCATCAAAGTTCGATTAAAAAAAAACCTTGAATGGTTACAAAAATCCTTATAATTATTAAATTAATTTATAAAAACAATAAAATAATTTGTTTTAAAATGTTGAATTGATATTAATGATATGAGGTAGTTGCGGAAACTTTCTACTTCTCTGTTTATACGTCCGTCTTTACGGCCAATTTCTTTCCTCCCCCACCCCCCCCCTTCTTTTTAAAGAATACCACAACGGCAAACACAGCAAGTATAAAATCCTCGTCTGCTTCGCAAGGTGCACGCACTGTCAGCGGAGGCGACAGGCGAAAGTATAAATCCAGCTTAAAATAAAGCTGTGGTTTATCAAAGTGATGCAAACAGCTGTCAAATCACAGAATGAATATGTGGCCTTCAGGATTATGCAGATTAAACTGTCTTGTCTTGTCTTGTGAGTGAACTCTGACCTGTTTAGTAAACGCTGCTTCACCTGAAAGCAGATTCTGGAGATTTAAAGGTCCAGTGCTTTAAAATGTGCATTTTTTTATTCAAAATTGTACAACCTCAACTGAAACATAAAGACAGGGCAAGACATATAGTATAGGCAAGCACAGTGTTTCTCAACTGGTGGGTCGCGACCCAAAAGTGGGTCGCAGCAACATTTTCAGTGGGTTGCAGAGCGTGTGGTCAAAAAAACAACAAATGTTTCATTTATAACTTATTTTGCTTATATAAGACTTTTATTTTGAAATGCACAAGCGACAACTGTACCATTTGACATGTGAAATTTAATTTAATTACAGCAACAAATTTGTCGAAGCGCAAGTACGACCCCGAATATTGATGACAAAAAAGGCTTAAAACCTCAGTGTGTCATATGTAGTGATGTGCTCTCACGAGAGCACTTTTAGAAACCAAACATTTGTCGTTTGTACTTTGTAATATTTCTATAATTTGAGACATTTTGTTAAATGACAATAATGAAATATTGTGTGTTTGTAAGTCTTGGTGATTTTCTTATGATTTATCTGTCACTACTTGTGTATGTTAACAAATAAATACAAATTAATTATAATTCCTAAAATTGTATTATAGCTCCTAAAAATTTGGCCCACGGGTTGATGACCATGTAAAAATGTGGGTCCCATGGCCAAACCAGTTGAGAACCCCTGCTCTAGCATATACCTGCCCTTTAAAAAATAGCCAACAGTGTTTTGCATTAATCACAGCTGTGCAAGTGAGAGTGCATCAAAAGAAAAGCAAATGAGAAGTCTCTCATAGGGGGCAGGACACGTCAGATACTAGAGAGCATTTGATATTTATAATGCAATGGATGTTTATATCTTATAAATGTGAATATTGTCACTGTTTTGTTGCACACTAGATTATAGATATCCTAAGAACTTGGATTTTAATTTCACAGGACTTTTAATGCTGATTGAACCATCTGGCTTTGAGCAAATGTGCATGAAAATCCCCTTCGATTAATCATGCAGCTCTAATCAGCAGATATAGGAACCCACTCAACAGCTCAAACGTTAACGGAAATGTACATGAATTTTAAAAATCAGTAGGGATTGGTTGCGCAATTGAACAACACTAGTGTATTGCTTTTTATAACCACTGGTTTGTAAATACTTCTGATAAGAATCCTATGTAGAATGTGGTGTGTATTTGGATCCCACCTTGCGGAAGAGCCGCTGACTGCCTCCGCCTGCAGATGTTGGGTAGTAGATGTAGACATTGTGGTCTTCGGCACTCACTGGCTTCTCAACAAAAGGCTTCTGGAAAATCTCCCCATTCACCTCCACATGGTCCTCTCCCTCCACCAGGTTACATTCTAGAAAAAACATCACAGCAATGTCTGCATTTGTGTCCTGCTGGGATGTTTGTACTTCAAGTCATTTTTTCATCACAAGATGGCCGTGTACCTTCTCTTGAAAAAGAAAAAATAATTGATGAAGCCACTGCATATTAATGACAATATGTAAAAAGCTGTATTTTAAAGTTATACAATTTTCTGATTTATATATTTATATTATCTCAAATGTTACAAAGAATGTTTAAATCCAGAGAAATAACAGGCCGTGTGCTTTGTCATCAAGCTAATAATGTCACATAGCCTCGATTTCCAGTATGGTTTTATAAAAATCAGGGAAATGCCAAATATGCTTTAATATGTTGTGCACTTTATTAGTATCATTCTAGTAATTGCTTCAACGCTTTTGTTTGGTTACGATGGCTTTAAGCCTTAAGGTTATTGCACACTGAATCCAAAATGTACGTCCCCAATTTTTGCATGTTAAAATATAAATTTAACTCAATTGTATTGACACACAGCCTCCGAAACCTTTGTCTATCAAAAAAAAACAAACAAAAAAAAAAAAACACACAATTAAACAGGTTTGATTTGAAAAACTCTGAAAAACTGACTTTTGGTGTGTGTGTTTGTCTGTTTTGCATGTGTCTGCCTGTATTGTTTTGCAAATTATTTCACAATGGATTATTCAATATGCATCAGACTCGGTGTGCAAGGTTTGTGTGAGTGACTAACTATTTGGATTTTAAAAAAAAAGTCTACATAATTTTCACACGTCAGTATGCAGAGACCTTATTTTCTATTTCATACTACTATTTCGTCACATCCAATAAGCAAAGCAAAGCAAAGTATAACCACCCGTTATAAAAGCGTGTGCCAGACCACTCACTAGCCCCTTCTCTTCTTTTTCCGCTTGTTTCTGTGTTTGTGTGATGCGTTGCGTTTAGAAAAACCTTCTAACTGTGTATTTTTGTTGTTGCCCGTTTCTGTGTGTGCAAGTTATCCATCCGTTATCTCATTCCATTTTCTCAGTTATGTTGTTTACGAGGCTTGGACGAAACGGACAGGTAAGAAGGTCACGTGACATACATTTTGCAACCCGTAGGACTACTGTTCTGTATAGTACATGAGGTTAGGGGCGAGCGCCACCCCTTGTGCTTTTTGGATAGATAAAGTAGATAGTTAGAACTCGGAAGACTCTTCGCGTGTTTATTATTTTGTTTTCATATATTTAGTTAGTTAGATGCTTCTGGGGAGTTAGATATACAGTAGTTTGAGTTTTGTTATTTTCATTTCTTTAGCGCCGCCCACGTCCCTTCCGCCAGCTCTCTTGTTTTTTTTCTTGTCTTTATTTGTCTCAGTGTTGTATATATTGTAAATTGTATATTTTTGCCTTAGTTACTTTTTCTTTATTTTCATTAATTCGTTGTTTATGTTCACGTTTGGGTATTGTAAATAAAGTCACATATTTTTGGTATCTACTTTGGTTGTCTTTTGCACTTCATTCACTGTTTCTATAAAATTTATTTTAATTGCACATAAATGTCAAACCGGGTGAGGCAGTGGCGCAGTAGGTAGTGCTGTCGCCTCACAGCAAGAAGGTTGCTGGGTCGCTGGTTCAAACCTCGGCTCAATTGGCATTTCTGTGTAGAGTTTGCATGTTCTCCCTGCCTTCGTGTGGGTTTCCTCCGGGTGCTCTGGTTTCCCCCACAGTCCAAGGACATGCGTCCGTAGTGTATGAGTGTGTGTGTGAATGTGTGTGTGGATGTTTCGCAGAGATGGGTTGCGGCTGGAAGGGCATCCGCTGTGTAAAAACTAGCCGGATAAATTGGCGGTTCATTCCGCTGTGGCAACCGCGGATTAATGAAGGGACTAAGCTGACAAGAAATGAATGTCAAACCCCATTCCCTAGACTAACATCAGGGGGTTGTGACACTCAGTCACATCATCATTAACCTACGCCTTTGTTTGTTATGAATACGCACCCTTTAATGGCAAAAATGCACTGTACCTTTAATTGTTTTACTGTAATCTTGTCAGATTAAAAAAAAGCTTTTTTTGTAACAATTACACTGCTTCATCTCACCTGGAAGTATTTTATTCAAGTTCAATCCATCTGCCTCAGTCTGACAGCTTTTCATTATTATTTCAGTTTTAACAAAAATTTGCATAAACATCAGGCGTCACATCCATTAATTCCACTATATTTCTCATCGACATGCCCCCAAACCAGAAACTAGGGGCTTGAAGATATTAACTTTCGACTCCATAACACTTTTGTGGTGTGTTCAACTCATAAATACAATTTATTCAACATAACTTGAACAGAAGATTAGATCAGTGATGCAGGGTTGTTATCTTTAGCCTAAAAGGGATAATAGTTCGCCTAAAAATGCAAATTTACTCACTATTTACTCAACCACAATTGGTTTCAAACCTTGAAGAGTTTCTTAATTCTATTAGGAAAAATATATTTGGAGGAATGTTAGAAAACGGCAAACACTGACTATCATAGCAAGAAAAACATATACTATTTAAGTCAGTGGGTCATCAGTTTCCAAAGTTGCTTCAAAATATTGTTTGTAAAAATTCCCATTTGTAACTTTAAACTTTTTTTATCATGTAGACCACATTATTTTTCATCATATTATTGCATTATCATTATTTCTCGTATCAGTTTCTGTACTTAAATACTGTTAGACTCCCCAGAAAAACAAAGCATGGTTTAATCAACTTTAATCTTTGCTCTGTTGTGTTTATGTATGCTTGTAATTTATTATATTTTACGCAGATGCACAATAAACTCCTACATGAGAACAGACCACTGCGATGTAGATAATCTAAACACATTATCTGATCTCTGGTGCCACAGGCTTGTTTTAATGTCGTCCAAACTAGGTCAGTGTGAGATTTAAGGGAGTTAACAAACCTTCTGGTCGGGCAGGATCTCTGTTCAGAACTGCAAATCGGGGGAGTTGTATTCCCTCATCCTTCAGGATCCGATACACCTCCCTCCTAAACACAAACACATTACAGCAGAATTTAAATCTTGGATAGGGGGGACATATTAATTATTTGAACTACAATCCATCTGTTTTTACCATTGTACATGCACAAATGTTATTAATGTTCTGCAAAGATGCTTCAAGAGCCATTGTTCAAATAGATGATTCTTTAATCTTCTGCTATATATCATTGACATTACTTAACATTAAATAAAAAGGTCAGCCTCTAAAAAAACCTTCATTACTTAAAAGGTTAGTTCACCCAAAAAACAAAAATCCATCATTATCCCTGTATCATTCCAGTCCTAAAACACTTTTATTCTTCTTTAAACAACAAGGCAATGAGATTAGTTCTTGTTCATCAAGCTAGTATCGTCCAGATTTAAATGAGTTCTAGGCATGGAAGCCAATTAATTTTTAAGTGAATAAAAATAACCTAAAATCATACAAACTAATTTTAGGATTTCTTTACAAACATTTGAAGTGAAATCCTGTTTAAAAAGAACAAACTTTAAACTTTCTGTTAAACTTTATTGTTTGCAAAAACATTAAACACCATTATTTAATTGCATGATTAATATTTTTCAATGAATATGACAGGAGGCAGTTATGTTAACTATTAGGCTCCGTTTTATTATAAATATGCGAGCAGTGAAGATGACTGTGATATAAATATGTACACTATGCCTTTACATTTTTGGTGTTACTATCAAAATTAAAAGAGGCAGTGCTTTATATCATGTTTTCGTTTTATTGTAAAGATAGGAAAACAATGTATCCAGGGTACATGAATGACGTTATAATGTAGGCTACACGTTCCATTTAAAGATTTACCCGACATGTCCTTGCATCCTCGGGAGTTAGTTCTTACAAGGAAAAGTTTGAAATTCAGAACTTTGTGTTCTTGATATAGAGGAAAAAGCCTCAATCACACAGAATTTTTTGACACGAAGCAGAAATTTTTTAAAACAAAAAATGGCCTGTTCCGCATTTCCAAGTAGCAGAAGTCTTGTGTTTTAAACAGGGGCATTTAAAATAGATTAAAAACACAGGCATTTAAGTTCCAATTGAATTTTAAAACAGTCAATGCCAATAACAAACAAAAATTGTCTGCATGTTGGATTCTAAGTGGACTGCAAAAAATGCCAAAATACAGGCATTGCAGATATGGAAAATGGAAAATTATAATAATAATAATAATAATAATAATTATTATAATAATAATAAAGTATTGAACACAAACAATTGTACTCATTGTAAAGTTGTATTGCTGTGAGTTGAGAACATTAATTATAAGGTAGAAATAATTTTGCTCAGTGCTCCTTTACATTCATCCAGTTGCTAAGATAGTCCAGTCCAGACATCCCAAGTCTCCCGGAAGTTGCGGGAAAATCCCGCAAATGCACAGAGACTCCCGGATTCCCGCAAATGAATGATAATTTCCCGGAAATCGTGCGTCTCCCGCCAGGTTCTTAAATACGTTGCACACCCCTCTCCATCGCATCCCTCCTAGCTCTTCAGATACGTTGCACGAAAACTCATCCCCACCGCTCTTTAGGTGCGTCGCGCGCGGCGCAACTCACCCTAACCGCTCTTCAGGTACGTCTCGCACGCACACGGCCCTACTCAGATACGTCGCTCACTCCACCCCTGACACAGACACACACAGACACACACACACACACACACACACACACACACACACACACACACACACACACACACACACACACACACACACACACACACACACACACACACACACACACACACACACACACACACACACACACACACACACACACACACAGATACACACAATGCGCCGGAGCGACTCCCTTCAGATTCAACATGCATAATCGCACTGGATAGCTTGGTGATGCGACATTAATTGTTTTATACTGAAACTTGCCTTCAAAAAGTGCTTCCTTAGTCTTATCCATATTTCTTTGCATGTTGAACACGTTCAACACAACAGGAAGTAAAAAAAAACCTGCAACTGCGTTAATTCCGTAAAAAAATTTTAACCCATTAAATATTTCAAATGAATCGCATGCGTTAACGCACAAATTTTGACAGCACTAACTATATATATATATAACTGTATATTTGAAGTGTTCAGTTTTTCCACTTACAAAGTATGCCATGTAAATAGCAAGTGGGCCGTGGAGTGACGCAACTGACTTTTAAAGGGAATGGGAGATGAGACTCTGATTGGCTTATACTCAAAACGCACCTATAACTCATTAGGAGAATAAGCTCAACCCTGTTAGACCATGCACTGCGGAGCAGAGCGTATTTTCCCATTTTTAAAATAGCAAAAGTGGATTCAGGCACGCCCTTTGCTTCAGACTTTGTGCCTAGACCTTAAAAATAGAGCCCTTATAAACCAAAACAACCAGTCTGTGCAAGAACCTGAACATTATTTACATTATTATTAGCTTTAATCTACAGCTAGGGAAACAGTTCTCAGTGCATAGATGAGTGTAGTGAGAGAGCTTCTAGTCGCTTGATGATGTATGTGCAAAAAAGTCATGCCTGTTTTGCAAAAAATGCCCATCCTCACTCTCGTCACCTCATGCGTTAATGTCCATATTCCAAATAGTCAATATGATGCTATTTGTATTATTCCTTTAACACCCCAAAATGAATGTATTAATTACGCTTGTGTTGTTAGTAGATCACACATACCTGATTATCACTGCCTGTGCTTGTTTGTGACCTAATTTTCACTTAGTAGATTACACCAGTCAATTTGGAAACAAGCTGTTGTGTCTGAGTTCTTTCATTTGAGCACTGTCAGTAAATCACCCGCACAATTACAATCCCATCAGCGCATTTACATGACTGCACTCCTATCATTTCATGGAGAAATTAGCCACTATTCACTATTCACTATATAATAACCATATTGTGATGGCAGACGTGAAGCTCACCTATCCTGAATGTAGTACTGAAGATCCAGATCATTGATGACAAATGGATTCCTCAGCTTCTCATAAGCCACAGCCTTATCAAGTGGGAAACCTGTGAAAACAGACAATAAACGCTGCTAATAAATACTTTTCTGATGTGTGAAAATATCAACAGGGAATGAACAGTAACATTTTAGTTTAAGGTAGAGTTCTCACTATTTACTAGAGGTTGATTTCCTGCCTATTCATAAGATATTGGCTGTTTATTTGTATCTATAATCACATGAACCGTGAATGAACCGTGAAGTGTAAAACAGCATTAGCTAATTAATTAATAAATAATGTTGAAGTATCGCCCTTTGTTTTTGATTCTCAGGTTAACTCGATGACAACGTATTGTAAAGTGTACTTGCATATTTCATATTATTTTACAAATATATGCACACTTTAAAGTCCTCATTTACTGTTCTGTTCTTCTGGAATGAGTCAAATAATTTCATCACCTGATTTGCTAGTAGTTTTCTTGTTTACGATTGATGTTTGCAATAAATTACGTGTATATAACCACAAAGGTTTTTTTACTGCGCACACAAACTGTAAAATTACATGTATATATCAGAATTTATCTTTGTTTTACACATAAAATCAGTTTTTTCTGTTCTGTATAATGCTATTTAAAAGGTTTGAAGTGGAGTGATGGGAAACAAAGCATCTTTATAATGTCTGTAAAAAGGTACATAAATATTGCATACTTTTTTTTATTTAATAATAAAAGATGATATCTAAACTGGTGCAACTTATTTCTTTTCCTTATTTTCTTTCTGATTTATCCCAATGGACCATTCATAATTTCTTCTCCCAGAAAAATGTAATACAGATGGCCAAAAAAGAGGTATAAATACTCATAAGGAATATATAAAGAATAAAAAATAAATAAATAAATCAAAAATCTAAATGTAATCTAATGGAATGGAACTAATGGACTTGGTTTCTGGAAAAAACACTATTTTTTATTTATTATATTATTTCATTAGGTAACAGAGAGAATACCACTAACCTTTGGAATGGAAAGAAATGAGACAATCACAGAGCGGCCAGTTTTCCACCGTCTCATTCAGAATGACTTCCTCTTCAAACGTAACCACAGTGATGTATTTGAACAGACTCAGTCTCTCCAGAATCTCCTTCATAGGTTTGGACTTTGACTTCTTGGACATGGCACAGATACCCACCACTATCTGTCTCTCTGGGGGCTGCAGATGCAACACGTGCAATTAATATTTACCTAAATTCATTAGATTTGTTTAAAGAAACACTCCACTATTTGGAAATAGGCTCATTTAAAAAATATCCTAGGAGTTAAGCAGTCGAGTTTTACCATTTTTGAATCCATGCAGCCATTTTCCAGGTCTGCCGGAAACACTTTTAGCTTAGCATAAATCATTGAATCAGATTAGACCATTCTTGCTGTGTCTTTTTCCTTCTCAACACTGCAATTTGACCTGGTGCTACCATACTCAGATGCAACTTACATAAAAAAAAAAAACTAATATATATATATATATATATATATATATTTTTTTTTTTTTTTTTTTTTATATATTTTTCTTTTGGAGAAAGCCTCGTTTGTTTTATTCCGACTAGAATAAAAGCGTTTTTTTTTTTTTAAACAGTTTTAAGGACAAAATCATTAGGCTATATTTTTTCAATAGTCTACTGAACAAACCATCGTTATGCAATAACTTGCCTAATTACCCTAACCTGCCTAGTTAACCTAATAAACCTAGTTAAGCCTTTAAATGTCACTTTAAGCTGTATAGAAGTGTCTTGAAAAATATCTAGTAAAATATTATTTACTGTCATCATGGCAAAGATAAAATAAATCAGTTATTAGAAATGAGTTAGTAAAACTATTATGTTTAGAAATGTGCTAAAAAAACTTCTCTCCGGTAAACAGAAACTGAGGGAAAAAATAAACAGGGGGCTAATAGTTCAGGCTAATAATTCTGACCTCAACTGTGTGTGTATATATATATATAAATATATTAATATATTTCGGAAGAGATGTTAAACTGAGGTCCTGACTCTCTGTGGTCATTAAAAATCCCAGGATGTCCTTCGAAAAAGAGTAGGGGTTTCACCCCGGCATCCAGGCTAAATTTGCCCATCGGCCGCTGTCCATCATGGCCTCCTAAACATCCTCATATTATAATTGACTTCATCACTCTGTCTCCTCTCCACCAATCAATTGATGTGTGGTCTGGCACAATAATGCAGCCGTCAAGTCATCCAGGTGGATTCTGCACACTGGTGGTGGATAAGCAGATCCCCCCCATTGAGAAAAGCGCATTGAGAGTCTAGAAAAGCGCTATATAAAAGTAAGCATTTATTATTATTATTTATTACAATTATAAAGATAAAGATAGTATTAGTTCTAACTAATGTAAACAATGTTGATCATGTTATTTTATGCTTGATTGTTCGATTTCTGTCCCTGAAAACCCTAAAGCAATGTTTATTTAACTTTTATATAAATGAAACAAAGCAAAGATATGCTTGTAATGTATTATTTATTGTAATTTATTAATTATGTAATGTATTATTAAACTAAATGAATGAATTAATATGTTACTGTGTATTGTAGAAAAGCAAAATACCACAATGTCCGATTTTCCCATTATCGTGCAGCCCTAATATACTTAAAATTCTTCCTGTGGATACATTTTTAAAAACATCCATCAAAGTGCTCCAGGACGCATGGAAAACCTGGGCTTAATCCTCTAATCAAATCAGAAAATGCTGTGACTTACTGAAATGAATCAGTTTATGCGGCATGTTTTTAAAATGAAATGCGCTTGATGGAGTGGGATTGCATGGGAAGCGGGAATGCTAACACAGATGCTAAAGAAGAAGATTACCTGCACACCTCTTACCAGCCGGCTGAACTCAAAACCAATCATTCACCGTCCCTAAGAGGCAGCAAAAGAGCAGGCGTTTTCCACTTACCGAATCATATTCTGCATCATCTCTCTCTTCATCCTCTTCTTCCACGTTCTCATACAGACAATCATAGCCGAGGACTCTGCCTGGATCCAGCAGTTCATCTCCCTCGCCGTCATCAGCTCCAACAAAAAAGCGAGGGTGATCCAAGTCCTCGTGCACAGACATGTTCACTACAGACAGCTGTCAGCCACTCACAGAGTCCCGGCAGAGGTCAAACTGAAGGTTAGAGCTGGTAATATCCAGCCTCACAGCCCTCTTCCTGCTCCTCACAGACACTCATCATCATCCTCTCCCTCTTTAACAGAGCACAAAAACACAACAACATTTTCAGAAGGGCTTTTCAGTGTTTCTAATAGAAGTCTCTGATGCCCCGTTTCCACTGAGCTATACAGTTCTGTACAATAGGATAGGGCTGGGCGATATTGTAAAAAAATTATTACAATATCATGTTTTATATCATTCGATATTGATAATTATTGAATATTATTTAACAATATATTTAGGAATATTAGGATTTTATCTGACCACTTTAATTTAATTTACCAATATTACTAAGGCAAATAGTTTTAATAATCAAAAACAAAAATATTTAAACAAAATGTCTGATATCTTTATATTAAAATAAACATAAGTGTTAAAGAGACTCCTAAACTTGATAAATAAAACGTTGCAAAGTGTGTGCGATGGTAAAGTAGATCTGTAACATCTGTAAGGTGTCAATAATAATGATACAATGAACCTCAAACTCTGTAAACAAAACTAATTATGTTGATCAAACCTAAGGGTGCTTTCACACCTGCCTTATTTAGTTCGATTGAATCGCACTAGGAGTTCGTTTTCCCTTTTGGTATGGTTCGTTTGGGCAGGTGTGAATGCAGCAATCGTGCTCGAGTGCGCACCAAAAGCGGACCAAATAAGCTTAACGAGACCTGCTTGAAGAGGTGGTCTCGATAGGCTTTCAAACGAACCCTGGAGCGGTTTGTTTGTGGTGAGAATATGATCCGTACTAAAACAGGTCCAACCGCAAAAAGTACTGCGCCTTTTGGACCAATTCAGCTGCCGTAGGCCGATGCGCTGTGCATTATGGGATATGGAGAAAAAATATTTGTTGACAGCGCTTTACCAACAGAGAGAGAGGTGCCCTGATGTATGCCCTAAATGCAGCTTTGGCAGTTGTGAGAACAGTACACATCTGGCCTCCTCCACGAGAAGCCCCATCGCGGCACACTACATCTTAACGTTGTTTTCTATTTGCAGCAGACAGGCAGAATAAATCAATTTTTATAACTTTAAAAGACATAGCGCAACATGGTGGCTCTTTACAGCTGGTGTGTGACCCCGTCTGAGTCTTTAAAATCTAGTTTTTCTTGTGTGTGTTTGTTTTATTTGCATTGGCGACTCCTAGAGGCAATTATGTTGAACTGCACACTCCAAAGTATCTTTGAGCCGTGCAATGGCAGCTGTATGAGACGGGATCATCCGCATGTCTAGCAGGTATATACGGTTTCCATATCATGCAGTTGACCAGCCAAACATTAAAAGCGATCGACTTCACGCACATTGCTATAAAGGCGCCATCTGAAGATGAATCTGCATACGTGAATCGGAAACATGTCCATTCAATAAATGTGCAAATAATATGTAATGCTCAAATGTGATTGGGCAGCTGAAAGCGCACATCCCTCCATCGCTGGGCAGCTGAAAATTAAAAAAAATTCACCCCCTCACAGTTGTCATGAATGGTAATTTTAGCTATATGAACCAAAATCGTTCTTTGTACCAGGCTGTAAACACCTTTTTTTCCTGCTCTAAAGTTGGCCATTCTAACAGTGGGCTCAATTGAAATTTGCTCTGTTATGGAGCCAGGACTAGCGGAACTTTGATGAATTGCAGTTTTTTCAGACACTTCCGTATTGGCTTCTTGAGGGAGAGCGGGAGGTTGTTGCTTGCTCTTAACCTGCACCTTTGCATAAGACCTTTTCTTTTTTAAATTAATTCACCGTGTGATGTTCAGACCCCACTGCGTTAACTGTTTCAGCTAAACTCTCCAACTCTATTTTTTTTTTCTTTTGTCATTAGTTCCAGAAGACAAACTTGCAAATAACACCGTTATTCTCCGGTCTACCTCCGATAGTAGCACCTCCAATTCACATTCTGTGAAGTTTCTCTTACTTCTCGCTTGCTGTTGCCATTGCTTTTTCATTTGGCTTTGCCAAAGTGGAGTCATTATCATATTTATATGGGAGAGGAAGCAGGGAGGGGTTTTGCGGTTGTGCACAAGCACTCAGTTTCATGTTAATTTAGATGTACAAAGAGAATATGCGTGGGATTCCAAGTACACAGTGTTTTATACATCTGAATTTTTCACTGCGTACGTACGCAAATTTACAGCTTTGTCCGGACGCAATGTTTTAGTTTTAATTCAACGCAACTCTTTGTACACGAGGCCCTGCCCCCTGGTGTTTCGAAACACATTAGTCATGTGACAAGGGTGTTTGGAATCACCTTAGTCACGCGACCTGGGTGTTTTAGATCATGCTTCGGTGAAGTGTTTCGAAACACTTGCGCTTCAGGATCTCGACACTGTGTCGAAACGTCACTTTAACATCAGCCATCCAACTTTTTATGAGCTGCTTTGAACTGTCGAAAAAAACTCAAGCTGACTTTTGTTTTGATCAGATTTAGTTTGAAACTATTATTTTAGTTAATTTTTTGATTTTGTTTGACATATACCGGGGTCTTTAGAGTGAAAACCAAATAATTACAATTAATTTTACTGCAGATTCATATTTATTAGACTAACAATTAGTCACAGGCTTTTCCATAGAGAATGAATTAAAAATTCATGACGCAATACTGGATCTAATGGTACAAACTCACCTCTAAGATGGGTCACAATAATCCCCAGATGCCCACAAGTTCAGAGTTAGCAATGATTATCCTGCAAAAAAAAAACAAAAAAAGATTTAAAATTACGGTAAGTTATTTATTTGTTTTATTAATGCACACTAATAACAGGAAATAAAACCTCAAGCAAACCTTCAGATAGAACAGTTCAATAAAAATAAACTCATGACTAGATATGAGACGATAACCGTTTTCAAGGTATACCGCGGTTTGGAAAAGTCAAGGTTTTCTGTTAAACAATTTCTGTTATATTGTTCCTACAGGATACGCAGGATTTTTCTTTTTATATATATATTATTTTTTACATTTTTTAGGACAACAGAATCTCCAGCAGAAAAGATATCCAAAGATGAGATTTTAATTTGTAAAGAAATCTGTGTTTTAGAAACTAATGAAGATAGCAGAAGTCTTCATTTGAATTATTTTGCCTGACATGTTTACTATTACAAAATATTTGAAATGTTTCTCAAAATAAAATACATTGGCTGTGTCGAAATTGCCTACTACTCATTAGGTACTGCATTTGAATGTACTACTCGACTGATCGAAAATTATGTTTTATGCAGTATGAAAGAGAGTAGTGTGAATGGAGCTCAGACATACTATGGATGCCATTTTGTCATCACCTGACCTACTCGCTTCACTCCCATTCATGAATTTTCTCATGGTGCATCATGGGATAGCGTAGCATCCATTGGATGTGCACTTTAGAATCTTGCCGGAAGTAGTAGGAAGTAGTAGGGTCCATATAATGCACACAACAAGGCAAATATCTGACCTTCTTTACCACACCCAAACATAACGCCACCAATTGGAAAATCAAGGAGAGGTCAGTATTAAAGATTATTCACACTAAATGCAGCATGACACAGCAAAGAGATTAACTGATGAAAGAAAAAGAGAAGCAAAATCTCCTTTTAGATGCTCTAAAGCATAGTCCACCCAAACATTTTAATTGACTCACTATTTACTCACTCTCAAGTATGAATGGTTATTGTTTAGATTTTATTAATATCAAATACTGATTCCAATACTGCTTATCGATAATCTTATCAATACTGTTATCTATAATTTGACGCAAAGAGACAAAAGTTTACAAATACCTGCAAACAAACAGAAGTAGATGCATAAAGTTTGGATAAATAAATAAATACGGCACTCAGACTGAGTTGCATGTAGGCATGGGATGATAAACGTTTTCAAGGTAAACTCCAGTTTGGAAAAGGCAATGTTTTAAAACCACCAAACTTTTCTGCTATACCGTTCTTACGATATATGTACGATTTTATTGACGTTTTTTTGTTTTGTTTTTTAGGACAACAGTATATACAGCAGAAAAGATGCTGTTTTAAATTGTAAAGAAATCTGTTTTCGAAACTAATGAAGACAGCAGAAGTCAATGATTTATTTGAATTATTTAGCCTGACATGTTTACTGCTCCAACATATTAGAAATGCTTCTCAAAATAAAATACATTGTTCAAAGGGGAAAATTTTTTTGTTTTTTTTTACCCAGACATTTAAAAAAAGAACATATTTAAGAGCAGTTATCACAATACCGTGAAAACGTGAAATTTTTATTCAAGGTTATCCTACCGTCAGAATCTTACGAGCCGCCTCGTTGGATTTAATCCTGCTAAGTATTTGCACTGCTGTGTCTTTTTTAAACTTATTTAACTTTGAACATTCTTAACAGTGATTGACACATCTGGACTGACTGTATTCATGGTCAAACTGAACTGTGACGTCCGTTCCCTGAAGGTTCAGATCAAATACATGTAGCACTACAATTAACAGTACTGTTTGTCTTGAAGTTCTCAGTACCCATCGCTACCATCAAGTGTTCCAAACCTTTTACCAGTTTCTTTAATCTGTATAACATAAGAGAAGATATTTTGAAGAACGTTGAAACTGGGTAACCATTGACCTTCATAGCAGGAAAACTAATACAATGGAAGTCAATTACAGGTTTCCAGCTTTCTTCAGAATATTTTCTTTTGTGTTCAACAGAAACAAAAGAAATTCAAACAAGTTTGGAACAAGGTGACCAAATGATGACAGAATTATGGGTGAACTTCCCCTTTAACTTCCATATGCAAGAGACAGTTTATAAATCCAACATTTGTGCATCAACATTTTAATAACAACAACAAAAAAAATCTAATAAATCTCCCTCATTTAAAGTTTTTAACAGCCCTTATTATATAATAAATAGAATTTACACACATGTAAATCTGTATTGAACAAAAAACACTGATGTAAAATGTTTCCAGTAAGTGTGTGTATAGATTACAAAGAATCAGAATGCTTGATGAGGATAAACTATTCAAGAAAAAAGGCAGAATTGTGAAGAACCTTTAAAGAATGTTTAACTAGCTATATGGGTTGTGTCAGTAGTTCAAAGAGGTTATGAACTGTAAACGCTTCAAGCTCCTGCTGACACATGGAATTCAGTTTAGTGACATCATAGTGGCAGAAATGACACGTTTACATTCACTTTTAAGTGTATTTAAAAATAAAATAAAATAAATAAATAAAACACAAAAAGGTTGCGACCTGTGGCCATTGTTTTATAGAAATGTTTTTTCTACACTGAAAAAAAAATACTTTTGCCGCTTGTTTAAACAACTTTTTTAAATGCAAAATTTTTTGTAACAACTTCATTATTTTATGTTCAATCCAAAATGATTACGTTAACGTTAACGATTTGTGTTGGGACCTTTTTATTCTTATTTAACTTTTTATTCAACAATTACAAACTTTTTTTTTATTACAACTATTACAAAACAGAAGGAAATATCTTGTCACAAATTTGTAAAAATATAAAAACAGCTAAACACTAACCCCCTGAGTGGTTTAAAAAAATAAACATGTTATAAAACAAATAAATTGTGGATAAGATAAACTTGTTCCAACTTGTACCAACAATTAACTCTACAATAAATAAAATAATATGGCAGTTATATCGCGATTTCGATGCTAAAACGATGTATCGTGCAACCCTAGTTTTGGCAATAGCAAAAAATGCATAGGTCAAAATTGCTGATTTTGTTCTTACACCAAAAATTTTTACAGTCAAAAATTAGGTACCATAAAATATATTTTAAATGTCCTGTATATAAAACCTTTCCTTTGAATTTCTAAGCATTCAGATTGTCTCAATATTTTGACTTCTTGCAACAACAGATACCAGATTTTTAAATAGTTGTCCAATCCAAATATTGTCCTATCCTAGCAAAGCATTAAATCAATGGAAACGTACCTAGTCATCTCTCATGTGATGTATAAATATCCATTTCAAAAAGCTGACAGATTCAGTGGTCTAGTTTCACACAAAAAATAAAAGGACAGTCTAAACCATTACAATGAATGACAATACTGAATCGCTGATGTTTATTACAAAATGGTGCTAAATTAACCATAGATGTGTTATTTGCCTTCTACACACAAGATATGGTGAAAACCCTGCCAGTGATCTGAGATCTAAACAGAGCCCTGCCATAATCCGAGGACATCTGTCACTGACACCACCTGTCTGACAGCACACAACACATCACAACACAACTCAACACCACACACAAAACGGAAATGATACCCTTTTTCCTCACACAGCAAGGGGAATTCACAACTAAACAAACAACTAACAATAACAACGTCAAACTTAATCACTTAGAAATATTATATACATATCATTATATATTTGTGGGATACTAGTTAAAAGCAAGTGTCACTTGACTGACAGCACAGATGTGTATTGTAAGAACATCAAGTACAGTAGGATTTACCTTCACATACATTAGTATAAAAGCAAAAGTCAAGGCAGGAGGTCAGTCAGTCAGTCATGTGCAGTCTGATGTCTCACTTCAAGCTGCTAATTTGCTCCAGCACAAATGTTTAACACGTGCACTATGTTGAAGATGATAAGCTATAAATGTATGCTCTTACCTGCGGTAAAAGAGATCGAAGTGAATCCAAGGCTGCGGGCTGTTATGTTAGCAATTCACACATAGAGAAACACTGAATGAGGAGCGCTAACATTAGCACGCAAGCTAAAAGCACCAGCAGAAAACATCACCACCATCATCATCCTTCAGCTAACGGACGCGCACGAACTACACATTTCTGATTCTCTGCAGGCCTATATAAGACTTTCATTACAGTCAGTGGTGTTACATGTCTGATTTTACCCCGGTGTAGGTTTTAAAAGTCAAAAAACGGCAGTAGAGGCGGTGTGTCGTCAGCCGTGAGGTCACCGCGAGGGCGGAGCCTTCAAACTAGAATGTGTGTGTTTTAACCGTTTTACCTGATTTTACTAAATCTGACCAATCAACAGCGCCGCCATAATGCGACTTGTGGTTCAGAAAAATTATAACTTAGCGTTTATACAGTTCAGTTGAAAGCAGAAGTTTACATACACTGTATAAAAAGGCACATGAGACTTTAATTCATTGTATTTAAATTTAATGAAATTAAATTTAAAAGTCATTTAAAAGTCAGATGTTAATGTGACTAAACTTTTTACTCTTTTAGGTAAGTCAGGATTATCAAACTTGTTTCTGTTAGGCTTAATATCAGAATAATGAGATAGATTTTTTTTTTTTTTAGAAATTGTTATAACTTTTCCTGAAAGTCAAGTTTACATACAAGATAAGATTATTATTATTATTATTATTATTATTATTATTTTATAATATTAATATTATTTTATTATTATTATTTTATTAAAGAATGCAAAAAGACAACCACAATCAGGAGATCGACCTAAGAGACATACAAAGGATAAAAAATACAAACTACATTAGCTGCAGAAAGAAAAAAGATTAACAAAACAAAAGAAGGGGTAAGTAAATTACAATTGTATAAAAGTGTATGAAAATAAATTAAGAGCATTAGGAAAGTGTTATAACTCAAATCAGAGTCAATAGACAACAGTTTTTCATATAGAACCAGGAATCTGACACATTTTTTGTTTTTACACATACGGAAAGATTTGAGCCGTGAGTCAACTTCAATCAGAAAATGTCGAAAAGTAGGGACTGAAGCCATGCATTTTTGCTTATGTATAAAAAAATTCCAAACAAGATAAAAGTTGAAGGTAAATTCTTTAGATTTATGTGAAGATTCTGAGTAATAATAAATAATTTATTTTAAATTAAAATATTGTGCAAAGGTAACAATAAGATTATTATGCCTCTGAAAAAGCTCAAATGATGATGTCAAGGTTTTGGAAGTTTCTGATTGGCTTATTGACAACATTGGAGTTAATTGGAGGCACAACTGTAGAATAGTATTTAAGGAAAACCTCAAACACACTGCTTCCTTGTGTGACAACATGGGAAAATCAACAAGCCAGAATCAACAACAAAAAAGCCAGATTACACTAGGAAATTCTAGAAAACATGTCTTGTGGTCAGATAGAAACTAAGATTGAACTGTTTGGCCATAATGACCAGTGTTACATTTGGAGGAAAAGGGGAAAGCTTACAAGGAACACCATCTTAACTGTGAAGTGTGTTTTACACTCTCCTAGTTGCAATCCAGTACTGGAAAACATGTGTACACACATTACACTACAGCCAATTTAGTTCATCTAATTCACCTACAGTATACCGCATGTCTTTGGACGGTGGTGGAAATTGGAGCACCAAGCGGAAACCCAAGCGAACACGGGAAAAACATGCAAACTACACACAGAATGCCAACTGGCTAACCACTGAGCAATGCCGCCCTATTATATTTAAATATATGAAGAAAATATTTCTATTTAAATGCATATTTAAATAGAACATTAATTAGACAAAAACTCAATTTATTGTCCCCCTACTGCCTGCTGCAAGAGAAAATACAACCTGTCCATTGAAGTGAATATATGAAAGCCACTTTTCACATTGCTGTACGTCCTGGAAAATAAAGGAAGTGTTTTAAGCTGTGTTTACACATTATAATCCACATCATTAATGTAAAAATATAAATAAAATAAATGCCAAAGGATTAGTCAAAATGAATCAGTGTAATGCCTTGTTTGGTAAAGTGATCATCCCCCTGAGGTAAAACATTATAAACTTGCTCAGGTGCAAGCAATCAACTTTCACATTAAATTCCAGGTAAATTGCTCCATTTGACATGAGTAGGAGAGGCTCTTTTGTATAAAAGACGCTGTTTCTTAAAGAAGACTGTTCATGTAAAGAATTACCAACATCACAGTTGGGAAAGTTCTTTCAAAAGACCTTCGGCATACAACTAAAAGGCACAGGTTAGAAGGCTACAAAACCCATTTACCTTCCACCAAGCTAATGATGACCCAAAGTATACTGCCAAAACAACAACAACAACAACAACAACAACAACAACAACAACAACCGAATGGCTCAAGTGTAAGAAGGGGAATGTCTTTGTTCTTGAAGGTGAGGCCAAGCCAAAGCCATTTTTTCATTGCCGTTCACCAAAGAATTTGACTGAACTTGAGCAATTCTAAAGAGAAGAAAAGGCAAATATTTCCCAGTCAAGATGAGCAAAGCTAATACAGACACATATAAAAAGACTGATGGCTGGAATTAAAGCAAAACATGGCTCTACGAGGTGAGTCAAGGGACTGATGACTTTTAACCCAGTTAGTCTATTTTAGTAAGAACTGTTGTGTTTTTTTTTTTTTGTTTTTTTTTTCTCTAATTGGTTTTGTTGTAAGACCAAAATTGTAAATAAATCTGGAAAGGGTATTTGAAATGTAGTTTGATTTCAGGCAGTTTGGCAAATAAAGTATAAGCACAACTGAAAACACAAGGGTGCTATTACTGCTATATAAAGGGCGAACAAAAGTAACTCAGCCAGGCACAGGTGAAACAATTTTAAAACAATGTCTTTACATTTGTGGTTTGGTTTTATTGTTTGTTTGTTTTTAGTCCGGACCATAAAAGTCCTCAATTTTTCCAGCATTCAAACGGTCATTTTTACCTGAAGGCACAAATCGTCACCTGACATTTTTGTCAAAATTAAGTTATTGATATATTCTTATGAAATTACAACTTATTTACGTCATAGGATATATTTTTTTTAAGTTTCTTAAATTTTAAGAATTTTTAATTAAAAGCAAATGTTACACTCACACTGTTTGTTATATGGAATGCAAAAACTTTGAAGCTCAAAATCATTCAGAACGCCATTCCAAGATGACGAAATAATTTTAAAAATCTTACCAAACATTAACTGTAACCTATTTTTTATTCTGGACAGTATACTGTTAAACCCTATGGGATAAGGAAAATGAATAATAGGAAAATATGCAATAATTCTTTCCAACTGTAAATCTGTTGACATTAAAGAACTTGTGAAAAACTGACCAATGGAAAAGAAGATCTATTTAGATTTTTCAACTGTTCATTGTAAATGCTGGTCTAAAGAGAAGGTACAATATGATGTCCAATCATAATCACAGAGTGATATCAAGAGTCAAGACATGGAAACTTTAAAAATAATACAGCCCAGCTAGCAAAATTCATATGGCTCAAATCTGGCCCCCACAAGACACTTACATCTGGCCCACATACCCCATATGGCACTTGGGCGGTCCGTTCCTGTTTGCCAGATCTGGGTCACAATTAAGCCCTAGCAATACCATAGATTTGCCAGAATTCAACCAACTGAACCAAGACTAAACCTATTCTGGGCCACAGTTTGCTTTTATTCTGGCCCAGCTCTGGCCTACACCATACACTTACATCCGGACCACATACATGAATGGAAGCAGTCCACATATGTTTTAAGATAACTGGGCCACATTTGCCATATCTTCTCTGGGCCACTTTAGGGTCATAGCCACATTAGCCAGAGCTTAATGCCCTGAATATTTGCCAAAAATGGCCCACATATGTCTTAAGATAACTGGGCCAATACTCCTTAGAGATTTGGGTCCATATTGACATATGGCTGCACATCCATGATGCGAATCTCCTGTTCCACCACATCCCAAAGGTGCTCTATTGGATTGAGAACTGATGATTGTGGAGGCCATTTGAGTACAGTAAATGTATTTTCATGTTCAAGAAACCAGTGTGAAATGATTTGTGCTTTATGACATGGTGCGTCATCCTGCTGGAAGTAGCTATCAGAAGATGGGTACATTGTGGTCATAAACGGATGGACATGGTCAGCAACAATACTCAAGTAGGCTGTGGCTTTGACATGATACTCAATTGGTACTAATGGGCCCAAAGTATGCCAGGAATATATCCCTCACACCATTACACCACCTGAACCATCGATACAAGGCAGGATGGATTAATGCTTTCATGTTGTTGATGCCAAATTCTGACCCGACCATCCGAATGTTGCAGCAAAAATTCAGACCCATCAGACCAGGGAATGTTTTTCCAATCTTCAGTTGTCATATTTTGGTTAGCCTGTGCAAACTGTAGCTTCAGTTTCCTGATCTTAGCTGACAGGAATGGCACCCGGTGTGGTCTTCTGCTGCTGTAAGTAACCCATCTGCCTCAAGACCTGACCTGACTCTGACCTCTGACATCAACAGTGCATTTGCTCCAACAGAACTGCCGCTCAATGGATATTTTCTTTTTTATGGACCATTCTCTGTAAACCCTAGAGATGATTGTGCGATCCCAGTAGATTAGCAGTTTCTGAAATACTTAGACCAGCCCATCTGGCATCAATAACCATGTGATGTTCAAAGTCACTTAAATCACCTTTCTGCCTCATTCTGATGCTCGGTTTGAACTGCAGCAGATCGTCTTGACCATGTCTACTTTGCGTTAACAAGCAGTTGGACTGGTGAACCAAATAAAGTGGCTTGTGAGTGTATAAGTGCAAATGAATACATTTTCCTTCTTTTTCAGACACATTCACACTTAAGGCAATCCAACCACCAGAGGAAGCGCAAAAAAATGGTTTTAAAGACTTACAAACCACTTCTTGTGTTCTGCTTCTGTGATCGCATCAACACAAAATACATAATCTAATAATGACTGTATTATATAATAGTCTAGAACTGGTTAGATGATGTAGCCACATGGGTGGCAGGGTTAGATTAAGCTTTCTTCAAAGAAAAAAACATTCTATGTAGGGGGAAAAGCGTGAACTGCTTTTGCAGAGTTAGATGTGTTTCTGGGATAGCTGTGAAAATGTAATCCAAACTTAAAACCCAAGCCTCTAAGCCTAACCCAAAGCTATTCCAGAGGCAAATTATGAAAAACAATAGTAGAACCACCTATTCCTAATTGTCACCATAAACCTGTCATTCATTCATTCATTTTC